TTCTCACAAAATGGTGGCGCCCAGTCAGGACGATCTGATCGATAATCAAGTTGTATATCGTGATAAAACGAGTCTTACATCGCGAAATGCATCAAATCACGTGAGCACCTTGATTAAAAACATGAAAAGATGTGGAAAATATCTGCTGACAACAAGTTGGCGGTGTACATGCTTTGCAAATTCTGCAATCGACCGAAATCTGCACGACAGTTTATGAACCGGATTTCGATTTCGGTGCACGATTTTGATTGGACTATGCATAGACTCGTTAGTCCAGCCAAAATCTAACTCCATAATACCAGCCTAGTTCGGCAAGGGTGGAAACTGGACTTGTGAAGTCAGTTTACTCTCTTGCCTCGGGAAGATGGCCGTCATTCAGCTGGATTATTGCTGAGCGCAGCGTTGAACAACACATAAAACAAACATAGTTGCTGGGGACCAACTCTAACTCACAATCTCCACAGACTGATGATTGTCTTTTTTTCATCAAAACTCTTTTGAATTATTAAAAGCAAAACATACACTACACTTGTAGATTGACTGAGATTCCCAGAGTGAATCAGGTTAGATGTCTTCCACTTCAGTGTAACCACTGTGCATGAGAATTGTGACGACCAACCGTCAAAGGATCCTGGCTTTGGCAAGGGACACAACCCTGCACAAAGTATTGCAGTATCTTCGACCACCCTTAACCACAACTTCTGTAAATCCTTGAATAAACTCTCAGCAGGTATTTTTTCCCGAAAGTTCTGGAAGGTCAATATATATAGAAAGGTCATAGCCCGTAGTTTATTCAAGGCAGTGGGTTATTGGACCGGCATTTTTTCAAGGTAGGCATTTATTCAAGGATTTACTGTATATGATACAACCAAGATAAATAACCAATCAACAATTACACATAAAATATGTCCTGTTTTATTTGGCATTTCTCTATCAAATACATTTGATGAAATGATACACTTATATTTCATGAACATTCATCTCACAAATTTAACATTTACAAACAATTCATACAAGACACTCACAAAATAATTTATCTCTCACCAAGATCTCCAAGAGTATTCATGACGCTTGTCGCTCTCAGATTATCCTATCTCACCAACATCACTCCTCCCATATTTCTTTTCAATACAGAATTAACAAAAAGAACTTATTCGTTGTACATCCTAAAAACCTTCTCTACAAGTGCCTCTGTTTCAGACACATTCAGATGTACAAGTATAAACATTATCAACAGTGATACAGAATTCAAAATAGTTCCTGTACTTGAACACCATATACTGCAAATATAACAATTTCACTTATAAATAAAACAATATTAACCACTGTTGCCAAGTAAATCATTTAATTTAACAAAACAAATCCACACACTTTTTCCCAGGATATTTGGCGTGACGATAACACATCTCATCTTATAAAGAATGTTAGAGACATCCCAACATGGCGCCTACCTCTTCAAGCATTTCCCGCGTAGCTAGGCGAGGGCTACATGTACTATTTACATTTTGTATATACATCTTGTATACACAACTGCATACACTCCTCTATGTACAGGCAGTCGGCTATAAGTTATATGGCAAGTATCTAGTTCCTACAGCTGAAATTCTACAAAGAACTGAATAAACTTAATCGGAATGGCTTGATCTCCTGTATGCAACGTGAGCTTTTCATAACCAGCAGATCATCCATAACATCATTTAGACAACTTGAAAAGATTCTGTGTCATTAAAGTCGAGGGTTAAAATGAACCTGCCTGACATGTTAGTGGTGACTAGGTCACAGTTCAAGGGTCAAATGTCATTTGTATAGTTAAATGAAAGGAAATGCCCCCTGCAGTCAAGGATGTTCACTGTACCAGTTTCATATACTACTCAAAAGAGTGAGTGAGTGAGTGAGTGTGGTTTTACGCCGCTTTTTGCAATATTCCAGCAATATCACAGCGAGGGACACCAGAAATGGGCTTCACACACTGTACCCATGTCGGGAATCGAACCTGTGTCTTCGGCGTGACGAGCAAACGCTTTAACCACTAGGCTACCCGACCGCCCCCTTTACTCAAAAGAAATTAAAGAACACCCGAGTCTTTCATACTACTAGTCTGTCATGGCATCACACATTAACTACAGTAATATGAAATAATTGGATGTTAACTTTTCTTGAGTAGTATACATACTACTCAACATTAGATAGGGATAATTAGATATACAGTGTTCCCTCGCTATTGCGCTCTTCAATATAGCGCTAACTCTGTTATAGGGCGCAGTAAAGCATGGCTTCCAAAATTTACTTACATTTTTAATAAACTCAAGTTTTCCAATGACATAATGTTTTCCCCCATCTCAAAAAACATTATCAGCTGATCATGTATCATGGGACCATTAAAAATATCCCTCTGAGATGTGGAGTACTATAGCCCCAGACAGCACCACTACAGCTACTGGAACTTTGTCTACAAGTGAGTGGTGAATACATAGTGTGAACTACCCGACAATAACACAGTAATGTCTGGTGGACAAACACAGCATTGTTCCTACACCTCATAGTTAATCCTCAAGGGGCATCTTAGAAGCAGTGATATCAGTGGACACAGGGTCCATTTATGGATAACAACTTCTTCATTCTTCGCGACAGGTGCTGGTACCTTTATCTAAAAAAGGCTCTAGCATCTGTGCTGCAAAATCACATTGAAAGAATCAAGAAGCTGAAATCCATGTCACCTGTCTCTGCATCATAGGTGTTTTGTTTGCTCATATGTGTGCCCTTGAAATTGGGAAACATATCAGAATTTAATCATTCACAATATTTTATTTTGAACAATCCAAAACAATGGATTTTTAACAACTTTCATTAAAAGTTTGTTCACTTGCCACACTATAGTATCTGAGAAATTACTTATCATATTTTTCATATTTTTGTCAGACAATAAGCCGTACACAAACCATAGGATCGGATGTGTCATGTAACACCTCTCAGAGATAGCCAGTGAACAGTCCTCATATCACCTGGGGACATATTCATAAACATACTAAAACAATAAAGGATCTCAAGCTGCCCAAAATAATTCTAAACTAAGATTTATACTCAGAGCAACTTTTAGTTAAATCTCAAGAGTAACTCTCAGAGGGAATTTCTACGTATCTAAGGTAAAATCTGTGCTATTTATAGGAATACGACTATGAGGGAACACGACATATACAAATGAATACAGGCCCTGATCATCACAAGGAAACAGAAAGTTAGTATTAATCTCGTTTAGTGGATAATTTTCTCACACTATGTAATGCATGTAGGAGTACATTAAAACTAGAAAGAGTAAAGGCTGAACTGTGTCTGCACACACGGGGCAGGAGACCAGGATAAACGACATAATGCCAGGATTGTGACTAAAACATATGCTGTACATTCTGACTTCACAGTGGCTGTTGCATACAGTTCAATGAACACATCACACACTTCCAGATGAGGGGCGGTCAGGTAGCCTAGTGGTTAAAGCGTTCGCTCGTCACGCCGAAGACCCGGGTTCGAATCCCGACATGGGTACAATGTGTGAAGCCCATTTCTGGTGTCCCCCGCCGTGATATTGCTGGAATATTGCTAAAAGCGGCGTAAAACCAAACTCACTCACTCACTCACTTCCCGATGACATCACACACTTCCAGATGACATCACACACTTCCAGATGACATCACGCACTGGAACACTGAAAGCTAGACTGTAACAGGTCCTCCAACTATCCGAGCATTACAAGACTTTTTGACAAGATTAATGTATCACATCATAAGTCATGTGATGAGTGAGTGAGTGAGTGAGTGAGTTGGGTTTAACGCCGCTTTTAACAGTATTCCAGTTATATCGCGGCGTGTTAGCTTAATGTGGGAGGAAAGCCCGAAGTGACGCAGGTCTTAGACGTTAACCACTTCGGTGAAACCCACAAGCATGGGTATGGTGCTGACAAACCTAAAAACATAATCGGGGCGAACCTGGATTCGAACCCACAATCATAGGTTTCTGGCGTGCCCAAGGGACGCAACTCTGCACAGCGAATCGCGGCGCCTTAGACGACTGGGCCACCCGTGCCCCCGTAGTCATGTGATGATACACAACGATACATGTGTGACGTGATATGAGGATATGGCATGATCATGAATTGTAAAAATAGTTTCTGAAGGGATGTACAGGAAATCCCGAGCCATAGTTAGCACGGTCAGGTCAACTGATGCAAGTTACTGAACACAGTGTCAAACACATCACTTCCTTTGATAATAGGTAAAAGACAAGTGTCAAGTGTCAGTGTATCATGTCATGGTTCATCCTAGATTACCAAGTGTATATCTCCATGCTATCATGATCAACACCCTCAAGCCATTTGCTATAATAGCTTTGTCATGAGCTTAGATTCAAATTAGATGACGCTTAAATTAGCCATCCAATCAAATTACATGATGCTTAAATTAGCCATCCAATCAAATTACATGACGCCTAAATTAGCCATCCAATCAAATTACATGACGCTTAAATTAGCCATCCAATCAAATTACATGATGCCTAAATTAGCCATCCAATCAAATTACATGACGCTTAAATTAGCCATCCAATCAAATTACATGACGCTTAAATTAGCCATCCAATCAAATTACATGATGCCTAAACTAGCCATCCAATCAAATTACATGACGCTTAAATCAAATTATACATTATGCTTACAGTCACAAGAGATATTCTGTGCTTAGACAGTGAACAGAGAATAAGATGGTGAAAGTCCAGTGTATTTAGTGTAACAGAATGGAGATCTACTACCTCGACAATCAAGGATGATCATGTTTCATATCATCACTATACTAATACGACATGTTTTTTTTATCATGTCGACAATGTGAGTGAGTGAGTTGGGTTTAACGCTGCTTTTAACAGAATTCCAGTTATATCACGGCATGTCAGCTTAATGTGTGAGGAAAGCCTGAAGTGATGCAGGTCTCAGACATTTTCCACTCTGGTGAAACCCACGAGCACGGGTATGGATGGCGCTGACAAACCTTGAAACATAATCGGGGTAAACCGGGATTCGAACCCACAATTATAGGTTTCTGGCGTGCCCAAGGGATGCAACTCTACACAGCGAATCGCAGCACCTTAGACGACTGGGACAGCTGAAGAACACATATTGACATGAAGTCAGGGTACCGATTTCCTCCAAACACCAGGTCTCCAACAGGAGCAGGCCTCCAATAAGCACCGGTAACGAACAGTCCACAATACAATAAGCACAGGTCTCTAATAAGCAGTGGGTATGTTAGATTTGAAATACTTCACCCTAGAATAAATAAAAGCTTACAAACAAAGGCTCCAATTTTAGCACTTCCTGTCCTTAGCACCACATCTAAAGTCAAATAAACTCTGTACTAAGATCATAAAATTCAATTGTTCAATTCACTTTTAGTGACTGAAGTTCATGCAACACATAGTTGACAGATATAGATAGTGCTGGGTCTCAAGTTCCCACCTGGCCTCCATTACTTGCTGGGTCTGGAAGTTTGTTCAAAGAGGAAAAGAGGAAATAAGGTACGGTAAGCCCAGTCCAATAGCTACACCCACATCAGTGTACAACAGTGTATCACCATGATCACGTATATCACATGTACAACTATAACCAAGCAGGCAAGATAACAATCTCCCACACTTCATCAGACAAACAAACCCATTCTTTAAGCAGCCATGTTGACCATGTTGACTGTGTGTAACACAGGACAACAGTACATTTCTCTATCAGAACAATTTGAATTTTGCTTCAGTTTAACAGCCTAAGTCCAAAAACCTAATATAATGGTCAGGTGGGTCCCCAAATTTTGTTTGGTTCTTCCGTGTAGAGTTTTCTTCTCAAAGCACAGACCCAAATCATATCCTTTCTCTAATAAAAACAAAGACGTATATACATACATCACAAACACCCACCTGCTACAAGAATATCAAATGGTTGAAACCTAATTGACACTTGGCCAATTATCTCTACAACTATATCCTCTGGCACCACTCCCACTTGCATACAACAACGGTAGCACTATGACTTCTGCATGTCTCTGCACAAGCTTCATTCTTCTGCACAACTAGGGGTGTTCAGATCATCCTATTGCTACAATGGTATTATGCATGTGGCCAGGTGCCTGAAGACTTAGAGAGAAGTAGAGATCAGAAGTCGAGTGGCTCACTATTTCCACAGGTTCCCACCATACAACATTTATTTCTAAAATATCATATTAATGATGGAGAAACCCAGGAGGGTAATACACTTTTTATAATATAATGTCATGCTTAAAATATTGGATGTTGTAATGACAATCAATGTAGTAGCATCAGACATCCTTATGAATACAATGTTAAGTGTTTGTTTGCATGTTATTTAACGCCGCACTCAGCAATATTCCCGCTATAGGACGGCGGTCTGTAAACAATCGAGTCTGGACCAGACAATCCAGTGATTGACATCATGAGCATCGATCAGGCGCCTTTTACGACAAGCATAGTCGCATTTTACAGCAAGCATGGTTTGCTGCAGACCTGTTCCACCTTGAAATGTTTAGTGCACTGAGGAATTTATTACACAGTGCCAAATGACTTTCAGCCATGTTTGTCGACATGTTTGGGCCAAAGAGTGGAAAACCCTTTCTAAGCTCATTGGGAATGCTAGTCAATTGAGGAAGAAGCCATTGCATGGATGTAGGGGACTGTAAAGTAGTTCCTGCTTGGCCCCTTCATTGCATATTTATCATGACACCAAGTCTTTTTGTACCAGTTTATCGCATCAATAACACAAGTCTTTATGTGCTGAAACAAATTAGCTACTAATCAACACTGAGGGGATAGGTAACCTAAGAGACAAGACTTAATATACATCAATCAGCTACGGACCCTTTGACATGGAGGCCACGAGTGCAAATCCTGAGAAACATCTAGTTGAACTCAATCTTTAAAATCAGATCTTAGTTTTCACTACCGATAAACAAAAATCTGAGGACATCCCATTAAGGTTAACACGGCGTATTCCGTCTGATTCCGTCAAAATGATCGTCTATCTCTCACTTCAATGGGAGAAACATTTGAATGGAAGAGACTTTGCATAGCCTGAATGTTCTTTTTCTCAGTTTTCAAATTTTAAATCTAGAACTTTGTCAAAATATTTTTCAAAGCAAAGTTTGGAATGGAAGTCACCTGTTTGAAACTAGTGCAGTATAGCTCTAGAAAGCTGCTTTCTGATTTTCTAATGTTGTCTTCTCGTTAGTCATTTCATTCATCGGTCAAAGTTCGCGGAATGTCATTCAAATGGATGTCCTCAGGCCTTTGGTTAGCCATTGTGAGAACTACGATCTGATTTTAATGAGATTGGTTGCTACTCCTCACTAGTGCATTATTGCTTGGATATTATCATACCGGTATATCACACAATATTTGTCATGTTCGTTTGTGGAAATGATCCAAAGGAATTCATCTAAACAAGTGATAATGTTTCAAGTTCCTGATGCTATATGATAAATAAAGATAAAGCAGAGGAGAGAGAATTGGGTTTAACGCCACTTTGGACAGTATACCCATTATATCACGGCACATCAGAATAATGTTTGAAGAAAGCACAAGTGATAGAAGTCTCAGACAATTACCACTTTTCTGAAACCCACAAGCTGTAGCTCAGGCTTATCATGTTCGGTCAAATTATTGTAACACTGGTCATTTACCCACAAAGCATGATTCGCAATCAACGTAATATCAGACCCACAATCAGCAGATCCTGGAACACGGAAGGGAAACAATTCTGCACAGTGAATGGCTGTATCTTAGAGTACTGTGTAAGCCACAAGAAGCCAAAGAGACAGGCAAACATGTACAGGTGAGTGTTTGAACAAATTAGCATATTTACCTGACTTCTCATGATCAACACTGGAAATAAGTTAAAAACTGATATCTGAGACAAAAAAACAACAACTTGATCATGTTGATTGCATACTTGATTGCAAAACAGACTTTCACTCTCTCAATATTCCGATATCTGCTCAAATAAACAGGACCACATGGATGAGGTTATTATCATGATTATTAGTCTTACTCCAGCAGTGTGGGCAAACATCAACGATATGCAATGGGAAGAACGCTTGGATTCATGTTTTCAAGAAACACTTCTTGTTCATTGAAGTAGTTTGATTCAACAGATTCTACAAACATGATCTGACAAATGTAAACACGCAAAAGAATGCTTGATGTTTAAAAATGATTCATCTGCACAAAATCAGACATGGGAAATATATAGTTTTAAGGGTATGTCTGACTTCTGAAAAAATCCAATGCAGCAGTCATCAACAGAGATGATATGAAATATCAATTAATTACTGGGAATCTTATCTCCACTATGTGCACCACAGGGAGAGCATGAAGTATAGTTCTGAAATATCTTAGGCCCTCATTTTATATAAGTACTGTATAACAAGACACTTTTCCTCAAAATAATGCATTTTACTAAAACAATAGCGCAAGGCGACCGGTCAGCAAAAAAACTTTTTCCACAATCATAAACCACTTGGTTTTTTTCCTTGTGCAGCCAGGGCAATATCAAACAATATGAGACATTTTAATGAAAAAAAGAAAGTGTCAAGGTTCTGAATGGCATTTAGAAGTGATACACATAAGAGAGAATAAATGGATGTCAACTTCTATATTACCGGTATGATGAGGAACTTACTCCTTCATCAGGTGAGTGAATGATTGAACACTAATTAATGAATGAACATGATGAATGAATGTTTCTGCTTCTGTTATCTCATTTGCTTGTTACTTTTGTCTTTTCTACATGTACCTATATGCTCCCTGCATCCCAGCATTCATCCGAAGCGATGTGTTCCTCATAATAAAGAAGCTGACATCCATAAACTCTCCCTCGAAAAGAAAGTGACTGATTACACCGTATTGTTCAACTATTATCATTGATTAACATGATTACCAGGATAATTGCAAGGAATTTCTGGAAATGTTTGCCTTCTGTTAAGGATTACAGATCAGCCATTGCTAAGAAACATTCCCTGTAACATGTGTGACTCACACCAGTGAGTTTGGTTTTACGCCACTGTTAGCAATATTCCAGCAATATCACGGCATGGGACACGCCACTGTTAGCAATATTCCAGCAATAATTCCACCAGAAATGAGCTTCACACATAGCACCCATGTAGGGACTCGAACCTGGGTCTTTGGCGTGACGAGTGAACGCTTTAACCACTAGGCTACTCTGCCGCCCCTGTAACTCAGACTGAAGGATAAACATGACGTTAGTGCCAACATTGTGAGTGAATTCTTTAAGAAATATTGCAGCCATATCATAGCTGGTGTTACCAAGATTAGGCTTCATGCAATGTACACATGTGGGGAGTCAAACCTTACCCGCTGGGCTAACCAACCAGGATGTATGTGAAGCAAGTCATGTACAGTCTTCAATCAACCAGACATCAGTAATGACACTTAACATGGTTTAAGTAGACGTATATATTGATATAGATTGCACAATGCCACATGACATAAAATAATATTGTAACTGCTTTTGAATTTCAAGTTTTAAAAGTCATTTTGCGACATGTTCTACATTAACAAACAAGAAACTAATTGTTTTTAAAAATCAGGATTGAACAAATATGAAATGTTAGTAAATGCTTAATTTAACAAACAAATGTAGATAGCAGGATTAGTTTTGAGTCATACATGTTTGAGTCATACATGTTTGAAGGTTGCATAAATTGAAAAGAAAATCACCCTGTGTTTGACGATTTAGAAAACATTTCAAGTGACACATCTCACCCACAACTTGTCCCTCAGCTGGAAGTACAACCAACAGAGGGCAGAGTCACCAGCTGTGACAATGAAGGGAAGTATGCTGACACAGTACACCGGGACAGACTAACAGCTGGACTAAATGGAAGGTTTCATATTTTCCAAATCCATGTCGTATTGAACTTTTTAATCAGTTACGACAAGGCTTAAATGTTCATTGTCAACGTCATACCACTCTTTCCTCAGCCAAAACAAGCCTAGAACATACCCCAGCAGTGTTACTGAAAAGCAAACTGTCTCCCTCAAAACTACTTGTACGCATGTACGAGTTTCTCAGATGTGAGAAGAAATGAAATATAACAAATGAAAGTAATTTCTGTACATCAAATCAATATGTTAATTCCTGGACTAAAATAATCAATAATGGCAATCAATGGGATGGCATCTACACATGTTGCAGGAATCATCTGTGAGTGGATCCTGGGTACATCGTGAGCACAAGGAGCTGTAATGGTACACCAGGACCTGGCTACTTCTACCGGAGACTAGTGAGTGAGTGTCATGCTGAGCTGTGGAGGAGGAGGAGGAGGATGGAGGATGGGGAGCTATTTCCCGAACCGCTGCTCTGTGTCCCCGTACGTTGACACCAGCGACAGGTAATTCTTGTAGCTAATATTCCAATGTGATGATATAGACCTGAAACACAGACAGGGAAGCATTCTGGGTGAGCTGGAGTCATTGCTGCTCTTGAAAGTATTTCAGTTATATAAAAGCATGTCAGCTTGATCCTGAGTAAGTGTGATTTTAAACACTTTTAAATTCCAGCAATACCACAGCGGGGGGACACCAGAAATTGGCCTCACACACAGTACCCACATGGAAAATCGAACCTTGACCACACAGGCGTCACAGGCTGGGATCCAGAAATATTCTCTTGCCAATTGGACATTTGCAGTTTGATCATGCCCACCTCATCTCTGGGGTGATGGATGTATGAACAAACAGAATAAACTCAAGTGTCACTTTCATAACATATATGGTGTGCCCTCGCCATTGCGCCTTTCAATGCCTCGGTTATGGCGTGCAGTAACAATTGGCTCCCAAAATTTAATTACATTTTTTTAAAACTCAAGGTTTACACTGACACGAAAAAACATTATCAGCTGATCACTGCGAGCACGTAACACCAGAAATACAGTCATCAAATCCAAATATGCGATCCCATTATTATACGATCTCAGCATCTGGTTATAAAATTGTGTTCATTGTATATCTAGACTTATGTTTGTAAGATATTTTATCAATTTTATTCAAAATTTCATCTAATATTGTTTACAATAACTTTGGCGAAATCGTGTGTGAAGTGATTGGTAGATCGCACAACTCACCATTATTTAGGGCAACCACCGTCAGATTACCGCTATTGATGCCTTGCAATGAACTTTAGTTGCCAGAGAATGAATACATCTATCATAAATGCCATACTTTGACCCATTAAAAGTCATATTTGTGGCAATGTGACTATTAATGACAACATTACATTTTCGCAATCAAAATACATGGAGCGAAGGAAGTCCCTACGGTGACTGGTCCATACGTAAAAATATCCTGCAATAGCAATCAGCCATACCAAAGTGTTACGTTTAAGGTTCTTATAATTATAAATGTATATAGAAAAAGCCGCAACTGAAATAACACGATATTCCTTTGAAAATAATAATTTCAGATACAGTTTGTTCCGACCATTGCATCAAAATTCTTCGACTCTGTATCATTGGGTACTTATTGCTTATTGAGTTAATCACCGGCAGATTGTTGCGACAATGTGTGCACAGCTGATTGCTATTTCCGACTTAGTTTACGAGAAAATACACATGGCAATCTTCATTTCTGCATATAAAATGCCTTGCATATAAAATGCCTTGGAGAGCAGGAAATGACAAAAGAGTTCTATATTTCCAAATAAAAAAGTTATAAATATGAACATTGTTTCAATGATTCATGTATTGGGGAGTGGACTGAGGATGTCATGAAAAACTGTTACACAAAATGAGAAGGGGGTGAGTGATGGGGGTTCAGCAAAATCCATACAGTCCTGAAACCAGTCCCACCCCATTCCCCCTCTATAATAAATGACATTACTTCATTTTTTAAAAATCTTAAACTGTTTACTCATTTTGGGAAAAAAACAATAGAGTGATGAATAGATGAGAGAAAAAAATGTAATAACCCAAATATCATGAATATAATAGAAAACCTAGAGTCAAAACTCAATTGCTCAAAAAGTTATCTTGAGCTCTGTGTACATTGCCAATAAACATGATAAAGCCCTCAAGAACTTACAATATTTCACTTAGTCGAATTTCCCATGGTAAATATCCCAAGAGTGAATCTACTGGCCCAAATCGTATCACCATGTCTGGGTCAGGGAACTTGTGGGCATCTGAAACAAACATGAGCATCTGTTAAAATACATCATGTACATATTCATACTAATATCTGCTGACCATGCAGGAATTTACCCAGACCTCCTTCGAGGCCGATATTCAGCCCCAAGTCTGCAGCAAAATTAATGTCAACATCCACACACTGAATTAAACATTTCTCCATTCATGCTGTTGTAGTTTTAACTAATGTCATGGTTTTGTAAACATTGTAAGGTGACTTGTATTTCACTGATAACAGGACCAGTATATACTATGATATAGAAGAAGAGGCGTTAATACTTTGCCATTATTGCATTGAATGCAATGTTAAAATTCAATCAATGTTACAATACCTCAGAATTTAAGAAATGAGAATAAAATCCCAATTTTGAACAAAATGTCAATTTTGTCAATATGCCTGCACTTAGCAGGTTTAGTTTGGACAAATCTCTGCCATGCTGACGGTATCAACAAGTTGAGTTAAGGGTGTTTATTCTGCAGAGATGGAAATTGGCAGTAGTCCTGTAGTCCTTGCCAAACTGCCCAATTGTTAAGGTATCATAAGGAATAGTAGAAATTTGCCCTTTTTTGAGTTATCATTATAGTGAGTGAGTGAGTGAGTTTGGTTTTACGCCGCTTTTAGCAATATTCCATCAATATCCCGGCGGGGGACACCAGAAATGGGCTTCACACATTGTACCCATGTCGGGAATCGAACCCAGGTCTTCGGCGTGACGAGCGAACGCTTTAACCACTAGGCTACCCAACCGCCCCAGTGATCATTATAAGGACTGGTGGACTAAAACAGTTAGTTTCTATCACTGTTCTGTCTTCATCAATATCTGCAGCAGACATACATATATACTCAGCATCATTATTGAGGGGTCATGCAGGCAATAAGAGATAAAAGTATTCAAAACACCGCATTTTCAACTGCAGTCCAGCTGTTTGTGGAATGAACCATTTTATACCCACATTGACTGTTACTTGTCATTAACTGCACATGAATGGGCAAAACCACTGGTTGCATTCAAGCTTGTGCATCTTCCCACATCTTCCCGAAGCAAGAAAGTTAACTGACTATAAAATTCCAGTTTCCACCCTTGCCGAACTAGGCTGGTATTATGGAGTTACATTTTGGCTGGGCTAACGAGTCTGTGCATAGTCCAATCAAAATCGTGCAACGAAATCGAAATCCGGTTCGTAAACTGTCGTGCTGAATTCGGTCAATTGCAGGATTAGCAAAGCATGTGCACCTCCAACTAGTCAACAGATATTTTCCAAACCTTTTCATGATTTTAATCAAGGTGCTCACGTGATTTGATGCACTCCACGATGTAAGACTTGTTTTATCACAATATAGATCTTGATTATCGATCAGATCGTCTTCGCTGTGCGCCGCCATTTTTTTTTAATCAAATGCAAGTGATACGAGAGGTGGAATGTGATTGGTCCATATGAGAGGTTAAGAAGGTTCATAACTCGTAATAACCACTGGTTCCGCTACGATCGAGCCCAGGAATTCCAGCCTAGTTCGGCAAGGTTGGAAACTGGACTTCAAAAGTCAGTAAACTCTCTTGCCTGGGGAAGATGATCTTCCCGAGGCAAGAGAGTTAACTGACTATAAAAGTCCAGTTTCCACCCTTGCCGAACTAGGCTGGTATCATGGAGTTACATTTTGGCTGGACTGACGAGTCTATGCATAGTCCAATCAAAATCTCACAATGAAATCAACATCTGGGTCGTAAACTGCCGTCCAGATTTCGGTCAATTGCAGGACTTGCAAAGCAGGTGTACCAGCAACTTTGTGTCAACAAATGTTTTCCAAATCTTTTCATGTTTACAATATAGATGCACATGTGATCTGATGCACTTTGCGAACCCGTTTTATTACAATATAGATCTTGATAATAACTCAGATCATCTTCACTGGGCGACACCATTTTAAGTGAAGCAAATGAAACTGATATGAGAGGTGGAATCTGGTTGGTCAATAGGAGGGACACAGAAGGGACATAACTCATAATAGCCACTGGTGATGCTACAATCAAGACCAGAAATTCCAGCCTAGTTCAGCAAGGGTGGAAACCGGACTTTTACAGTCAATTAACTCCCTTGCCTTGGGAAGATGAGACGCGTGTCGCTTGGGTAGCTTTTCCCACCACATTTAATCTTGCACATTTGATTGTATTTAATACTTGTCCATTTTTCCACTTTCATAAAACTAAAAGCATCAACTCAAGGTCACATTGTCCCATGTTCTTCACACTGTCAACATACTCAGACCAAGTGATGCTTGTTGGCAAATGTTCATGTTCAACACCCTACATACCTAGGTGACCCTTCAATAAAGACACTGAGTCTATGGAAGTGGATCATCCACTATCACGGCATGAACCCCTTGTGAACACAACCACTGCTTAACCATGGCAACAATGCAACAGGGTTGGTAATGACAATGCAACACAAATTCGTCTTCATGGATAGTCCTATAAACTAATGAACTCTTTTGAAGTTGAAATAAAGGGATATTCCTCTGCTGATCTCAATGCCTAAAAATTTCTTTATTTCACACATGGCAGATAGAAATTGCAATAAGTCAGAAGGAATTTGATCAGATTTTGCAAAGAATCTTTCTCTGCTACCACATTTATAATAGGGATTGCAATACATAGCATACTCTGGCAGACCGACTGGAAGTAGAGGTTAGGCTTGAATTGTCGGATATAACAAACAGCAACACTGCATGGCAACCCAATGTATTGACAAACGGACAAATGCCAAATAGTATATACACACCCCTGAAATATTGACACTGTATTCTACTGTAGTTATTTTCAAAACATTGTTAAGAAATACATGGAACAAAAAGTAAAATAAACTAGACACATCACGGTTTGTTACTCGTTAGCCATTCTATGTTAGCTGCTAACTGAAACTGTAAACAGCAGATTCTGTGTCTTGTTACATCTCTTGAAAATCGAATACATCAGATTGACACAATATCAATACTGAAAGTGTCAAACTGCAAAAGATAATTAATAATATGAAACATACACTGTACAAGATAACAAATACCAGCATGCACAATTTTAGCTGGTTAGGAAGTTCAATGAAACCGTAACCAGTTATCATGATTATGCGAATAATCATGATGGGTTTATTAAAGCTGATTCAGCAAATTATATCCCATCATGCCATGCATGCCTCCTGGGAAAATATATAACAATCAGTGTTTTGAAACTAACTCTAGAAATTACCAGTCCACCCTAATTTTTGTCAGTCCAAACTTTCAACAAATACAAAATACACCTTATATCAAAATTACCTGGTTTCAATTCTTTTAACATCATGTTCAATGGAATGATGTCATATCTGAAGTTACTTAGTTAGATCTGCACATCATTGACACCCATTGCAGTCCCAATTTTCTCTTATTTTTTTTTAATATTTTGAGACTACATCACAAATGTGTCGCAAAGCGAAATATTATTTCCTTGCACTAAAAATAGACAAGGGGAAACCCTGATGGTAACAGACAAGCTGATTTCATTCGAAAAATATACTGGCACTTATATGAATATCGCTGATGTTTTGCTCAGCAACAAAGATTTATAAGGTACTTGATTTGCCGGTCCACAGGGATTGGGAGTCACATGTATTACCGGTCCAAGCTTAATTGTACTGGTAAAAAATTGGTAATTACCAGTAAACGGGAACACTGACATTATACCAAGAATAATGTCCCCTACCTTGTAGCAAGGCATCCACAGTACACGGCGTGATGTCTTCCAAGCGGTACTGGTGCCCTGACACCAGTTTACTCAGGGACTGCGTCATCTCCACCAGGTTCTGGCGACCATCGCCAAGGGAGAGAAGCCGCACCCTTATCTGCTTGATATTCGAACAGCCTGAAAAAGACAGCAACAGCTGGGGACAGTGTACAATGAACATGTTCTGTTATTGATTCCATTAATCTGATTACACAAACTAGCAGGGTGAGAGTTGGCCATTGATCATCTTCCAAGCAGTAACGTCACCTTGTAACACACACAAAGCGATTGTGCAGCTGTGAGAACAGAGAGAAGACATTCACATCTAACCACCTGCTACAAAAATTGGGTGTCTGATTGTCAGTTGTTTTATAAAACCACACGTTATTCAGCATACAGGGGAATATTAGCTAACAATAGGGGAGTATGCTGCAGTCTCAACCATATAATAATAAAAATAATTTAGGAACATAATCAGGGCGAACCAGGATTCAAACCCACAATCATAGGTTTCTGGCATGCCTAAGGGACACAACTCTGCACAGTGGGTTGCAGGCAAATGATTGGGCACATCCAAGTCACCAACTCTGACTACCTGATGTAAAAACTTGCTTATAAAAGCCATACAACAAGTTAAATGTATTTTCAGAGATATAGTGGAAGCGAACAGACTGTCACTGTCAAGAAAAGGTTACTCCATATCATGTAAAGATTTATCATATCATATAGCAGTTCCCTTTTACTTATATAAGCCTATATCAATCTGCAATCCACAACATATTGAACATTTCAAATTACCATGGTACATTGTAATTAGATTAGCAACTGTATGAGAGTTGCTTGATAAATACTTACAACATGATGTAAACAGCTTGTTTTGAGAAACAAGATGTTTTGAAACAAAACTACAATTCATTACGAAATCTAACATCAACTGATATTTTGTTAAAATGACCCCCTTCAGAAGACATCGGACTCCCTGTATAAGAGCTAGGGAGTTATATGACCCCTAGTTATAAGAGGCTGGGTCAAACCCTGTGTCAGCTGCACCACAGGCACATTGTTTCTGTAGGCATTCCCACTGCTTACCATTGCTTTCCACAACTGCTACAGAAAGGGTGGTCAGGCTCACTGACTTGGTTGATGCATGTCATCGATCCCAAATGCGTGGATGGATGCTCATGATATTAATCACTGGATTGTCTGGTCCAGACTCGATTATTTACAGACCGCCGTCATATAGGTGGAATATTGCTGAGTGCGCCGTTAAACAACAATGAGTGAGTGAGTGTTATGGTTTTACGCCGCTTTTAGCAATATTCCAGCAGTATCGGGGCGGGGGACACCAGAAATGGGCTTCACACATTGTACCCATGTCGGGAATCGAACCCTAGTTTTCGGTGTGACGAGCGAACGCTTTAACCACTAGGCTACCCAACCGCCCCCGTTAAACAACAAACCAAACCAAACCAAAAAAGCTACACAAAGTGAGTGAGCTGAAACCCACAAGCACGAGCATAGTACTGACAAACCTAGAGACATAATCGGGGCGACCGGGGATTCAAACCCACGATCATAGTTTTCTGGCATGCCCAAGGGACGAAACTCACAAAATTACAGATTGATGTGCCAGATAGCGCCACTATGAGAAATGAGCATGTGGCATAGATGGATGAGATTATAATTACATTTTGCTATTGATGAATACATCAACTATAGTAACAAGATAAACCCAACATTGCAACAGCTGTCAACTGGATAACTGAAAAAACTGAAAACTTCATAAACAGTGTCCATCACTCATTATTAGGAGTGTCATGTTACATCAAACTGCCAGTGTTTTGATATGTTTCCCCTACGATTGTACTATATCGATACAAATTTAAAAACGCTGATGGTATTGTCGATAGTATGCACAACAAACAAGTTTCAATAGTTGCAATTGATAATAAATAAAACATAAATTATGAGTCACAAAACTCAGCTGTCATGGTTGAATTTTAAACCTACCTTGTGTTGATTAGCAAGGATTGCGGTAACTTCAGTGTAAGTTACTTCCCTTTGGTTTAAGTTATGACAGGGAGGAAAATGTCCGACTTTGAAATTGACGCCAATACTTTATTCATTTCTATTACACTGATTAATTTAATTGTCAAGCCTTAAAGTTAGTTTAATACTATCACTATAACTGTTGCCATGGTTAACATCTATTGCAATGCCATTCCAATAGTGAAAATAGTCATCCTCACTCATTATGCAGGGAAAGAAATAACCCAAGAAAGTCTGCTAGCATCAATAGTTGTAACTAAAAGCAACACCTAAAAAAATGGTTGAGTGAGTGAGTTGGGTTTAACGACGTATTCCAGTTATATCGCAGCATGTCAGCTTAATGTGGGAGGAAAGCCTGAAGTGATGCAGGTCTCAGACATTTACCATTTCGGGGAAACCCACGAGCACGGGTATGGTGCTGACAAACCTAGAACCGGGATTTGAACCCACAATCATAGGTTTCTGGCGTGCCCAAGGGATGCAACTCTGCACAGCGAATTGCGGCGCCTTAGACGACTGAGTCACCCGTGCCCCCAAAAAATGTTTGAAATTTTACCAGCCCTTAAGATAAATTTAACATTGACAAAACAGGTCCTGGCTAGCAGGCTAGTGCTGATCATGCTGATTGCTATGTCTGTTGTGCCCATGAGACACAGGTATTTAGCATGCAGGACATAGACACATGATGACACCATAATGCAACTAACTACTGAATGAATGATCATTTAGCTCCCATCATATCATCGATTTAAACATTAGGATGTTGGGACTTAATCATGTTAATGTACTATTCATGTTTTCATGGCTTTGCCAGTGAAACTGCTTCTAACATATTTATCATGTTGAGTTAAAACCCATTATCTAGAGGGGATATGTTTATCCTTGACTGTCAAGTGTGTGAATGAGTTTGTGTTACCATGGTTACATGTAGCCTTAATGGCATTTCAGTTATACTTAAAGCACATAATGTCAGCTTGGGGAGGAAAGCCTGCAGTATTGCAGTCTTGACCACTTTGATGAACTAGCAATCATTATCAGGGGGTACTGGGATTGAAAACAATAAGTGGATCCTTGCACAGTCAAGGGGGATAACACTGTATTATGTGTAATTGAGTTGTGGCCCTAGAAACTGGGACACTTGTGACCCCAAACATAGATTACCCCTAACTAGCCATGGTAACCAGTTCACTGAATTCCAAACTAAGAGAGTGGGCTGGGTTCAGCACACTGTAAACAGTATTTCAATCTTATCAAGCCCAACCACTTATTATGAATTAAATCCAAGCTTGATGTGCTAGAATATGTTGAAGTGACTAACACGATCAAAGAGACAACCTTCAGTTATTATACGCATTGAGATTTGGAAGTTTATTTACGGATACCCTGACTAAGGGAAATTTAATTGGGATGGGGACAGTTGGTATGGTTGATGTGGATAATTTTCAAGCAGTCAATTTAAAGGTGTCAATTTCCATTACCCTGTGTGGGAATTTAATTTGAGAATTTCAGACCTGCTATAAGACACTTTATGCCCCTCTCGTATGTAGTGAGTGATTGAGTGAGTGAGTATGGTTTTACGCCGCTTTTAACAATATTCCAGCAATATCACGGCGGGGGACACCAGAAATGGGCTTCACACATTGTACCCATGTCAGGAATTGAACACGAGTCTTCGGCGCTCTTGTATGTAAGCAAGAGTCATCAGAAAGATGACATATCCCCCGGCAGCTGTCTGTAAAGTAACCACAAGTAAATGTGCAACTCTTTATGTAATGAGTCAAGAGTTGAATGTTCTTGAAGAAGCATACATTGTTTACCCAAAAAGATCCACCATGGTCGCATCCATGAAACTAGCAATCGTGTCCTTGTCTAACTTCTTTCCATAAAGATTTAAGAAAATAAAAATTTAAAAATTACAAAATAGCAAAAGGCACCACTTCAGCATGTAACAGATACATCTTTCAAGTTTCGATCAAATATACTGAATGGTTTTCGAATTCTGCCCCGGAAACAAACCCCATCCCCAATGGAGTCCATGTCCAACTTCTTTCCATAAAAAAATTTTAAAATAAAAATTCGAAAAATCCCAAAATATCAAAAGGTACCACTTCAGTATGTCACTGATAGATTTGTCAGGTTTCGATCAAATACACTGAATGGTTTTCGAGTTCTGTCCTGGAAAAGGAAATGATTACAGACAGACATGCTGATCGCTATATCCCCCGCATTACATGCCGGGGGGATAAAAAGTGCAAACTCACCTTGTTCACCGAGAGAAAATCTTAAAATATTTATGTACATATTCATGGCAATTGTATTTATTTCATTATGGAAAACTAAACCAGTAGCCGGAATTTAGTGAGGCGCTCATAGATCAGTGAAATCCACATTTTCAAGTTGCCACCCTGGCTGTTAAGGGTGAAATAATACACCAAAACTCTGATGCACGACAATATGTGGACTTTGATACAATTCCTGATGCACATGAACTGGTATCATAATTCATGATACAAAAAACATATTTTCAACTTAATGAAAGATTAACCCTACGATATTGTGACCAGTACCGAGATACGTATGTATCGACTCACAGCATGGCCTCAGTATCGTTGCACCCCTAATAGTTTTGACAAAGAGTGGTCATGATAGTCTCAGTTTCAATCTGTGGAGAAACTGAGGTGGCAGCAGCCAATGTAATTTGTAATATAATACTTTTGGTAATAAATCATGTAAATCTCACCTCCATCCTTTTTCTCCGAGCTGCTCTTGGAATGGAAATCAATATCAAATTTATTCTGATCTGAAGCTAGGATGTGCTCTTTGCTCTTCTGTATTTCAGACTGGAGTAAAAAACTATTTCTTTTTATTTCACCTGAAAGAAGAACAACATATAAATCTTTATTGGAATATGCACAGTTGAAGTGAGTATATTATGAACATCAGTCTACTGACCTCCAAGATCCATGATGCATTTCAATGTACACAACATTATAGCATGTTATAGTGTGTACAATGCTTGCAAATTTGGAAGTCAAAATGAAGTAATTTTAGTCCTTTTAGTGGCTTTGAGAGCCATGGGAAACTTCAGAATACCCTAATAACAAAGAGTTATCTCCCCTAACCATGCTACCATGTGACAGGATTGTGAAATGTGGCTTTAGTATCACATTTTAACATGAAAAGAATACATGGAGACTAGACAATGTAGGAAACAATTATATGGATATATATTTGCTTGTGACTGTAATCACTATATTCTGTTGTATATAACAAAAACATGAAGTGTTTGAACTCATTGAAAATAGTCAAATCATGCACATGTTGCAAGGATGGAAATGAACCAAGATAGTATTACCGACCCCCACCTCCCACACACACATAAAAAATGTTTGAAATTCTACCAGCCGTTAGGATACCTTTAACATTAACAAAACTGGTCCAGGCTAGTGCTAATTTCCATTCCTGCCTTGCACCAGAGACCATCTATTATATGGTCTCTGCTTGCACATGCATGCTTGTAAGTTCTTCCATGTAAGAGGGGTCTGTCTGTCATTACTTAACTTTCCAGGACATTGACTGTCATCCAAAATGTCCTGAAGATAATTTTCAATTTTGGTGATGGTATGGACATGATGGAATAACGTCGCATCATAATTTGCTAAAATCATGAATATGGCCAAATGGCATTTGTCTCTAGCAAAATCATTGTCTGTGGGATATATCTAATACTTATACTGTGTGTGAGTTGTAAATCAAGTTCGAAAGCAAGTTTGAACAAAATACTGAATTGTCTACCACATGAGATAGATTGTAGGGCAATACAATCCATGCATATGTCTTGGGAAGGGTTCCAGATCAGTTCATTTTCAAGGACACTGACCATTGCTCACTGTCACTCATAATGTCCTGAACGTTTATAGTCTGCCATAGATGGTGGTGGCATGTAGGACCAGTACCGGTAAGCCTACACAGCAGAATATGGTAGCAATTGGAAAGACTTCCGTCGGTATCCCCAATCCAAAAGTTGTATATGTATGCATTGCTGCTCTATCCTGTTAGTTATATACAGGGTTTTCTATGACTCACAAACATGTGTCCAGTACGCACAAATGTAGAGAATGGACACACAAAAAGAATACACTGCTCTCTAGGGACGCACAATAATATTCATTATATCTACAGCGCATAAACAGCAGTTATGGGTGTCTGTCATTTCATCCATCAATCATGGCCAATGTCCACATGATCTTTGATTCATTCCAGGTTCTGATGAAATTATCAAAATGTACAGTACACAACACCATTTCTTTACTTTACAGGACCCTCATATTGACCACAAGGACCCTTAAAATTAATTAATTTTTTTAGGGTGGACACAGGCGGAGTCTTACAAAGATGTGTTTATACGTTTAAATGGACAGGAGTCACAAGTGTCTAAATAAACAACCCGGGTGGTTGTAACACATCGCTTATCACTAACTGTCACTGACGTCTGTTTATCACTGTTTACAACAAGATAATATAACACATATCGATACACGCGAAATCTTAGGATAAGAACAACGCATGATCAGAAAGAAATGAGGGTCACACTTACCATTTATATCATATACACTTATATAGGAGATACCAAATGCCACCGACCAAACAATAACGTTGGCAAGATCGGAGTAAGAATATTCATTTTCCACGACCACTACTCCCACGTGGAGAGGCAATTTCTTCAAACTTTTGGCATCAGATCTTATTTTCGTGATAGCAGTTTTCTTTCCCAACACGCTGTACGCAAGTGGAAATTGAAAAATGATCTGCCGCAAGAATACACCGAGTCCCAACACGCAGTGTATCAACTGCAGTAGCACTGTCCTTAACATTTTTCTATGTTAAGGAACTGATGCAAGTTACATAGTCCGCTCTCCAAGCAAATCCCTAAAACCGGCTTCCGCTGCGTGACTATTCCGGAAGTTCCTCCAGCGAGAAAGGAAAGTGACGGCTCTGATTGGTAGATAATATTGTCTTGCATCAGAAAAATAACGCGAAATAAAAAAAGTGTCCATAAACATACGTAATACATATGGCTTATTGTTCTAATTTATAGGTTATTGTTTTGTTTTGTGTGTTGACGTCGAGTGACGTGTATCAGGTATGTCGGGCTCTCGCCAGCTGTACCCATTTGATTGGATGGAAGTTTGTGGGGGCACCGCCTACATGTCAAAAGTGGATTTGTAAACAAACAAATGTTGTACACATTCGCTATACTTACATAATATATATCTGATGCACGAATCATTTATTGATGAAACTAACTTGAACATCATAATAAATACCAATCGATATATATAGTTGCAAGTTTGAAAAAAATCCGTGATATTTATACATTTGTTGATTCACGTGAATACTGTATATCTAAATATCTTAGTTCATAATCCACGTATCACGTGAGGTTATCTATACATTTCATATTAATTCGTATTGTATGTATTAAAAGAGCAGAGGCAAAGATTGAAAGGAAATCATTACTTCGAACCGTTTGCTAATATATATATATATATATATATATATATATATATATATATATATATATATATATATTGTGCCCTAAACTTATTGAAGGAACATTTGAAAATGTAAAATAAAACAATAGAGACATTTAAAACAAAAATAAACCTTCGACATAAGCATATCCAGAACTAGTCGAGGCGGGAGCATGGGTGGCCCAGTCGTCGAAGGCGCCGCATTTCGCTGTGCAGATGTGCATCCCTTGGACAAGCCAGAAACCTATGATTGTGGGTTCGAATCCCGGTTCGCCCCGATTATGTTTCTAGGTTTGTCAGTAACATACCCGTGCTCGTGGGTTTCACCAAAGTGGTAACATACTTACTTAAATTCGGAATTTAACATGCGCTTTCTGTCATATGCGTATTATCAAACTGGTAAACGTCTAAAACCTACATATCACTTCGGACTGACACGTTCCGAGCGGCGTAAAACACAATCCCCGCATTTTCACACTTGTTTTTGCTGTTGAATGGAACTAATGCCAGTGACCATTGTATCATATTGCCCCTACCGCGGGGGATGGCCAATTAGCATAGACGGATCCAGAGTATACGTTGTATAGGCAGTAAAACTGACTGAGACTGAGAGAGAGGATTTTGATATTTTGGACCCCTCCCTTTTAAAAATGCTGGGTCCGCCCTTGGTTATTTATGGGGGTGAATGAGTAAGTGGAGATCGTTTTATCATAATCATATGATCAGTAATCATAATCGCTCGTACAATGTCTGAGTTAGGCACAAACAATCCGCCAGCTAGGTCACTTATAACCATTCGATCCTCTTTACAAGTAATAGGCTTATACCTCAAGAAAGGTGTACTGAACGTTTCAGTTTGACAAGAGTCACTGATGACCACTCATTTCAACATCTGTAACTAAAACGAAAATGGTGCGGGAGGGGGGAGGGGAGATATAGGGATGTGACCAGCCCGAGGGCGCAGTTGACATGCATGGTGTCGGTGACTGAAAATGGATCCGTCAGTGGGTACCAGATCGTAGACTAACATCTAGTCTCTGAAATGAACATATTTGATAGAAATAAACAGTTGTTAAATTATAGTTATAAAATATAATAAAAAGGAGCCCAGAGAATTTCTTCATTGTCAGATACTGCAGTAATCTAGGCTTGCCAAACATTATAGACTTGCGTGGGCTGTATTGGATATATTTGTTTCAGGGTCTGTATGACAGACAAACCAGATCGTATTGCTGTGGTGACCATCCCCTTATCCGTCCATTGTTTAACATAAGTTGTCTATATATACTACTCAAAAGTAGTTTAAGAACACCACATTCTTTCATATTTCTAAAGTTAATTTGTCATATCGATTTTGCAAAGTCAAGACCTGTACCGTTTTCGCCGTCAAGTGTAGCTGCCGCTTTCGGCTAGTCAAGCTAAGGTACATCTTCCTGAGGCAAGAGCGTTCACTAGCCTTTTAATCAAAGTCTTGTTTCCGACTAGACTTTGAACAGGCTAGTGGACACGTTTGCCTAGGGTATCGTTTTCGCCATGTCAAACAGCTTGTTGGAAGGTTACTGAATATTTATAACTATAGAATTGATAAGGACTATGTACAGCTTTCCGGGCTGGACCATCTCTATACATTATTCAATGTTTACCAACCGGTCTGTTTATTAGTTTCTGTACACAAAGACATCTATATTTCCTTACCCCTTTTTTATACTTCATTTGTTACTTCTAATCAGATGTTGGCAGTACATTCACAAGCATAAACACATCTTTTAGCCACAGACTTCGTTTATGAATTATTAGATACTAGGCATTGGGTCAGTGCGTATTGAACAAAACAAATTGAACTGAAACTTAATTAACCAGGATAATTAAACTTTAATAACTTGAAACTCAATTACACGAATAAAGTGGTAATGGGGCCCATGTTCACCCCCGAATAATCAGCAGTTCATCCCACCAGTATAAAAACAGCTGTTACAAACAGCTGATCAACATATTTATAAATGGGAAGTCCCGTCTATGCCAAGTCATGTGACAATCACGTGATCTCAGTTTCAAAATGTCGGACAGCGAAGAAAGTGTACCGCCTTTGTCCAAAAAACAACGTGTATTCACTCAAGTGCAGAATGATGGATCTGGCGATGAAATGGTAATCGAATATTGATTATGACATAATTCAAAATGAGTTTCGTTTATTGAATTTTAAATCTATTTGTTTCTAGACTGCCTAGATCTTGTGACGTTCAATCTCCCGCGAAATTTTGAGCCATTTACAGAGCCATGTGTGAATTACATTTTGGTGCAGATTGATTCCTTAACTTTAAGAAAGCCTTATTTTGCCAATTGTTAATGAAGATCTAGTTCCTAATGCCCGAGTTGAATTTTGATGCGCAGTTATTGACTGTTAATATGTATATATCATTGACAATATAAATTACAGTACAACTAGCCTGGTATAGAAATCAAAACATCAGGATCACACTAAGCTGTGTTTATTTTCCGCTCTATACCATAATGGGTGCTAGCTGACCTGTAAGCCTGACTGTAATAAAAACAAAGTATAAGAGTTTAATCTATCTTCTGACGTGTCTGTAAAGCTCTTTAAAAACGCCCCTGAATTCCTGGTTCCATATAGCGACTGTGGAATGGAATGTATGTACGTATATGTATTTTATGAAACCGAAACCAATCAAGATTCGGCCTATAGTATTAGAAAGCCAGCTCAGTTAGGGGAGAGAAATGTGTTGTGTAATAAAAGATTTCATAAAAAAATGTGTTAGTCCAGCATGCGACATAATTAATGATCTTACTTACAGCTAACTAATTAAGTTTATGGGTTGGAAAAACATGTGTGACCTAGCTTATTGTGTGTCATTGTACCCAATAGAGCCTAGACATTGATCACAGGTGTAGGGTAATAAAGTGTTCTTGTTGCCACACCTGCCTTCCTATGGGAACACATAAACATTGTTAGGAGTGCAGAATGGTGCACCTGAAACTATTCATTCCTGTCTGTGTTAAAACAGGATGAGATATCAAGCACAACAAGCACCAAGGAAGAGGAGTCGTCGCGGAGTGACACACCCACGTTGGTGTCGCGAAGGATGGGGAGTATCGGGAGGATGAAGAAGGGATGGAAGAAGTGTAAGCTACAGTACAAGTGTACAAACTTCCTTAAGGTCAGTAGTGTCTCGTAGGGTGTGATGACTTATTCATCCTGAACATGGGATATTTATTCAGCAATGTTCTTCATTAGTATATAAGTCAAGGGCTTCTTGTCATTGCCCTAATGCTAAAAGTTAAAGTTATGGGGTCCCTAGATTCAAAGGCTATAGGACCCCCCTTCATTGAGAACACTGTCTGGTGATATGATGCATTACTGAATGCATTCTGCTGTTTAATCTTACCAAAGTGAAGGAATTCTTGAGTAGGATAGTGCATAAATGGTCCAGGATAGTGGACCAGCAATTGATACAATTATTAAAAAGTCAATTTTGCCAAATAAATGTCCTGAAAACTTCATTGATTTTTCAACAATTAAAGATATTGAATAATGTTATTGCTCCATTTGGAAGATCCATTACAATATGAATGAAGTATTTAGTTTCTTCCTTTAGTAATTTTGATATGGAGGACATTTGAGATGATGAAATTAAATTTGTAACTGTTTTCATTAATTACTCTAAATATTGTAAATATATGAACACTTCTTCCTCTCCAGGAAGACCATGGGCAGCCCATATTTGGTATTCAGGTGAACATGAATGTCCGCGATGGAGAGCCTGTCATGTTTGCCACGACTGGCTGCAATAGGGTAAGTAGTATCCAGGTTAGGGGCAGTGGGGTAGCCTGTCATGTTTGCCACGACTGGCTGTAATAGGGTAAGTAGTATCCAGGTTAGGGGCAGTGGGGTAGCGGGGTAGCCTGGTGTTTGCCACAACTGGTTGTAATAGGGTAAGTAGTATCCAGGTTAGGGGCACTGGGGTAGCCTGTCATGTTTGCCACGACTGGCTGTAATAGAGTAAGTAGTATCCAGGTTAAGGGCAGTGGGGTAGCCTTGTGTTTGCCACAACTGGTTGTAATAGTGTAAGTAGTATCCAGGTTAAGGGCAGTGGGGTAGCCTTGTGTTTGCCACAACTGGTTGTAATAGAGTAAGTAGTATCCAGGTTAGGGGCAGTGGGGAAGCCTGGTGTTTGCCACAGCTGGTTGTAATAGGGTAAGTAGTATCCAGGTTAGGGGCAGTGGGTAGCCTGGTGTTTGCCACGACTGGGACTGGCTGCAATAGGGTAAGTAGTATCCAGGTTAAGGGCAGTGGGTAGCCTGGTGTTAGCCACGACTGGTTGTAATAGGGTAAGTAGTATCCAGGTTAGGGGCAGTGGGGTAGCCTGGAGCTCAGTGATGGTAATGCCTATGTGGAATCACCCAAACACAGTTATTTAGATTTGTATTTTGGGATTCATATTGCATTGCGACACTTTCCTGGCAATGGATACCATGTAGCCTACCCACCATATCATACCTGTCTCATGTCTGTCTCATGTCTGTCTCATGTCTGGACCATGTCTGTACCATGTCTGTACCATGTCCAAATGAGCTTCACACGATGTTGACGATGAAGTTGTATTGTTGTATGGACTCGATCGCTAAGTGTCACTGAAGTAGTTCTCTTTAGCTTATTCTTGAACCTGATGGGCCTTGTCGCAGGAATATAAGGCCCATATTGTACAGAAATCGAGGGTCTGATTTTTCATTGATCCGTGACCCCTGGCATTGAAGCACTACTCTGCCATGTTGTATGCTGTATATTATTGTTGCATGTTGCAGGTCACCATATATGAATGTCTGGATAACGGCAAGGTGAAGGTCCTTCAGGCATACATAGATCCTGCAGTATCCTTCCCATAGGTCAAGATCGCTGGAGATCTATCAAACAATTAACTAGTTAACTAAAACTGGGAATTTCTAACCCTGAAAAACTTTATTCAGAAACAAGTGTCAAAGAGAATCACCTTGCATTGTATACTGCTTATTGTCCTCAGCACTAACCCAAATAATGGAAAAAGACTGGTTAAAAAAGGTCTTGCCCAAACTTCTCTTTACATCAGTTTCCATAGATTTTAGTGATAATGTGTATACTGTTTTAGCTGTCCATACCAGACCAAAACAATTTTGACTGACTTTTGGCTTAGGAGTAATTTGTGAAGAGAAACTTACCTAATGATACCTATAACATGAGCGCATTGCTTTGGGTGAGTGGGCAGATAATTTCACTGTCATGTAAGTTCAGTTGATGCAGTCAGTATAAAGTTTTCCTTGACTGTGAGAATGATGAAAACTTCTATTGCTGTGCCTGGTCCTATGATGAGGTGGGGCAGCCCCTGTTGGCGGCGGCCGGTCTGCGAGGGATCGTACGGATCATCAGCCCTCTTGCCATGCAGTGTATCAAGGTAGGCAAGGGGAGATAATTGGGATATTTTGTCACACAGAATCTGATTGGTTGTTCTGTCTGTGAGATATGCACTTATATCCTTTCAAGTTTGATATGGATATTCCTGTTGTCATTATCATTCCACGATAAACCAAACTAATTATTTGGCAAATGGTCCAGAAAGCTTCAACAAATATGCATAATATGGTTAAGTATTTTTTTACTTATTTGTAACAGATATTTCATATTAATAATTAATAATAGACCCGTGAAGATCCGGGGTAGAATAGGTCTTCAGGAACCCATGCTTGCTGTAAAAGGCGACTATGCTTGTCGTAAGAGGCGACTTATGGGATCAGATGGTCAGATTCGCTGACTTGGTTGATGCTTGTGAACGATCCCAATAGCGTGGATCGATGCTCATGATGTCAATCACTGGATTGTTTGGTCCAGATTTGATTATTCATAGACCACCATGATATAGCTGGAATATTGTTGAGTGCGGCATGAAACAACAAACAAAACAAAAAAATCATAATATTAATAGTCATTCATCTTATCAATATTATTAATAGCCTTTAATGGAATTTCTCAAAATGTTTACATTTTATGGATATCTCATCATACTGTTGTTTTTTTAAAACCAGGCAGGATTGAAATTGTGGTTCGTCAGATTGCTTTTTGTCCCGGGGTAGTGGTCGATATATTGGGTGTTTCCCTTAGTATAGGCCTGAGAGTTTGATTTAGTTCTAGGAAGTCCCATGGCTTGTCCTGCTTGTACACTGGAGAGCAATTTAATATTCTAGCTACCCCGTAACTCTGTTTCAGCACTTTATAGGCCACGGAAATGCAGTGAATGAATTGAAATTTCATCCTCGGGATCCCAACCTGCTGCTGTCTGTCAGTAAAGGTAGAACAATGAATACTGATTGTAATGCTTACAGTACCTTAGTGTTGATTACCTGTATAAAAGTTGAAAGTAAACATTGCTTTAACTATCTCAGGATTATGACAAAAAACCATTGTGCATGGTGTTTAATTTTATTTAATCTACACACAGTTTAGTTGTGTATTTGCTCATGACAACATTATGAAAGGTGATCACATCCATGAAATTTGTAAATAATAAGCGTGTACAACTTAAAGTGACAGTCAGTAATATTTCGGTTGTCTTAAAGCAGCCTATAAATAATCAAGTCTTGACCAGCCAAACCAGTGATTGAAAGCATGAGCAACGATCCACGCCTTTGAGTATGCAATCTTACTGCGAGCATGAGGCCTAACTTGACCCTGAATCCCCAAAAGGACGTTGAATAATGAGCACCTTGCCATCGCGTGTATATGCTGTTTGTAATGATCCCTCTTCATACGTTTCATAACAGCTGTTTCTGTTGCTCCTTGTCAGATCACACGCTACGTATCTGGAACATCAAGACTGACCTGTGTGTCATGATCCTGGGCGGGGTCGATGGACACCGAGACGAAGTGCTCAGTGCGGTCAGTACCTCATGTGTCATACCACTAGACAGCTGGGGACTAAACCTAGACCTGTAGACAGCTCTAGACCACTAGACAGCTGGGGACTAAATCTTGACCTGTAGACAGCTCTCGTCTTACTCTAGACCACTAGACAGCTGGCGACTAAATCTAGACCTGAAGACATCTCTAGACTTACTCTTCATCACTAGACAGCTTGGGACTAAACCTAGACCAGTAGACAGCTGGAGACTTACTCTAGAACACTAGACAGCTGGGGACTAAACCTACACCAGTATACATCTTGAGACTAACTCTAGACCACTAGACAGCTGGAGACTAAATCTACATCTCTAGATAGCTGGAGACTAAATCTAGACCACTAGACAGCTGGAGACTTACTCTAGAACTGTAGACAGCTGGAGACTAAATCTAGACCTGTTGACAGCTGGACACTAACTCTAGAACACTAGACAGCTGGGGACTAAACCTAGACCTGATCACAGCTGGAGACTTACTCTAGACCACTAGACAGCTTGAGACTAAATCTAGACCATTAGACAGCTGGAGACTAAATCTAGACCTGTAGACAGGTGGAGAGCTACTCTAGACCTGTGGACAGCTGGAGACTTACTTCAGACCACTAGACAGCTGGAGACTATATCTACATCTCTAGATAGCTGGAGACTAAATCTAGACCACTAGACAGCTGGAGACTAAATCTAGACCTGTAGACAGTGGGGAGCTACTCTAGACCCGGGACAGCAGGAGACTTACTTCAGACCACTAGACAGCTGGAGACTTACTTTTGACCAATAGACAGCTGGAGACTAAATCTAGACCTGTAAACAGGCGGAGACATGAAGCACAGATTCCCGATGCTCCCTGTAACATAGAGTAGTATAATGTACTTGACATCTAACTGCAGTGTTGAGGTGACAATACCTCTAACAGAATGTGTATCCTGTATCCACTCCAGGACTTCAACATAGACGGGTCCCGCATCGTGTCGTGTGGAATGGACCACTCCCTGAAGATGTGGAAGATTGACACAGAGATGTTCCGAGATGCAGTCCTGGCGTCCTACAATTACAACCCTGGAAAAAATAACTTGTGAGTCAAATGCCGTTTTGTTGTTTGGGCTCAGCAGGGTTAGATACAGACACATTTCCATCAGCTCTGTGACAATCCAGGTTACTATAGGTCTTCAGCAACCCATGCTTGTTGTAAGAGGACAGTGACGGGATCGGGTGGTCAGGCTCACTGACTTGGTTGCTGCATGTCATCGTATCCCAATTGCGTAGATCGATGATGCCAATCACTGGACTGTCTGGTTCAGACTTGATTATTTACAGACCGCTGTCATATAGCTGGAATATTGCTGGGTGCCTTTCTATAAGTCCTGAGACTTGTGAAAAATAGGAAGGTCTGCTTGTTTTCTCCCACTGTCATTGTTTTGTACCACCTGTGCCAATCTCTTTAAAATCAGGTCTTTTACTCCAATTCCATACCCCTCTCAGACCGTTATGGAAACAGTGAAAGATCTCAGTTCAATGTGATTGCACTCATTCGAAATAATATCTGGACTATTTGGATTTTCTCGTGACGTCTGTCTGTAATACATCAGTTCTGTGTTCTTATCTTCGCTCATCATGCACATTCCCGGACTCTCTCAGTCAATAAGTTTTGTTTCAACATGTTCAAACAAGGAAATCTCTTCCAGGCTTCCTTCATGTGTTTATTATTTCTATTTGTTTGTTATTTCTATATTCGGGGCGGTCGGGTAGCCTAGTGGTTAAAGCGTTCACTCATCATGCTGAAGACCCGGGTTCGATTCCCGACTTTGGTACAATGTGTGAAGTCCATTTCTGGTTTCCCCCGCCGTGATATTGCTGGAATATTGCTAAAAGTGGCGTAAATCCATGCTCACTCACTCACTCACTCACTATTTCTATATTCAACAGTTCTCTCCCCTTCGGACCCCCATTTTCATGTCCGAGCCCATCAAGAAACATGACTGAGAGTCCCCATGACTCACAGTTTGAAAGTCCCAAATAACATGTAAATCCCTGTAAAATATGACTTGTGTTTTGCAGACCATTCCCAACAGTCTCCAACCATTTCCCCGACTTCTCTACACGGGACATTCACCGGAACTATGTGGACTGTGTGAAGTGGCTCGGAAACTTTGTTCTTTCAAAGGTTGGTGTGACAGACTCCCTTGGTTTGGATTGGTCCCCTGTTATCTACGCTTATCATTGAAGTCCGTGAACATCATAGGCCCGTGAAAATCTGGGGTAGAATACGTCTTCAGCAACCCATTCTTACTGTAAGCGACTATGCTTGTCGTAAGAAGCGACTAAGGGGATCGGGTGGTCAGGCTCGCTGACTTGTTTGATGCATGTCATTGTATCCTAATTGCGTGGATCGATGCTCATGATGTCAATCACTGGATTATCTGGTCCAGACTCAATTATTTACAGAAAGCCGTCATATAACTGGAATATTGCTGAGTGAGTCATTGAACAAGGAAACAAACAATAAAACATTTGCAGCCTAAAATGGTGGATAGTATCTAGCTTGCTCAAGGTTTTCAGATGCTTGTTTGCTTGGTGCACACCACAGGCCATTGTCGCATTGCTTGATTATTTCTAGATCACAAGTGTCAGAAATACACTTTTCTGTATATTGTAAAGATATATAGGATGGTGCATTTCTGACACTTGTTGGCGCGATGGGCTAGGGTAGTGGTTAAAGTGTTTGTTCGTCGTGTGGAAGACTTGGTTCAGTTCCCGACATGGGTACAATGTATGAAGCCAATTTCTGGTGTCCTGTACAGTGATATTGCTGGAATATTGCTCAAAGTGGCATTAAACCATACTCCCTCACTCACTCTCACTTGTGTGATATGAATCGATGTAGACATATTTAAGCAATGACATAGGGGCCTGTAGTCCGGACGTGAGTTTTTACAAACTGTCTTGGAACAGCGGTAATAATGCTCGCTCATGAACACCTGGTGTCAGAATATCCAACTTACACTGACATACTTCTTGTCATGTTACATGCTTGCCGTAAAAGGTGACTATGCTTGTCGGAAATGGCGACTAACAGGATTGGGTGGTTAGGCTCGCTGACTTGGTTGATGCATGTCTTCGATCCCAATTGCGTGGATCGATGCTCATAATATCAATCACTGGGTTGTCTTGTCCAGACTCGGTTATTTACAGACCGCCGTCACATAGCTGTAATATTGCTGAGTCCGGCGTTAACCAACAAACCAACCAACCAAATCTTGTCATGTTAACAATGACACCATTCACAACTCTTGAATCGTTGAATACAAGACGGTGTCGATGCTATCAGTGTTGAAGGCCCCTGACTCAGTTATGGACCACGGGCTGCCTAGATGTAGCTGGAATATTGTTGACAGCAGCCATCTTCCTGAGGCAAGGGAGTTAACAGACTGTAAAAGTCCAGTTTCCACCCTTGTTGAACAAGGCTGGAATTTCTGGGCTCGATTGAATCGCCACCAGTGTCAGTTACGAGTTATGACCCTCCTATGTGGCTCCTATTGACCAATCAGATTCCACCTCTCATATCTCTTGCATTTGCTTCAAACAAAATGGCAGCGCCCAATCAAGACGATCTGATCGATAATCAAAACATATATTGTGATAAGACGGGTATTACCTCGTTAAGTGCACCTTGACTTAAAACATGGAAAAATTTGGAATATATTTGTTGGCGCCAAGTTGGTGGTACGTGTACATGTTTTGCAAATCCTGCAATCAACCGAAATCTGCATGTCAGTTTATGAACCAGATGTCAATTTCTTTACGCAAATTTGATTGGTCTATGCATAGACTTGTTAGTGCAACCAAAATATAACTCCATAATTCCAGCCTGGTTTGGCAAGGGTGGAAACTAGTCATTTAACTCCCTTGCCTTGGGAAGATGGACAGCAGCATTAAACATCATTCACCAGTTCAAAGTATTTTATCCCCCGCTTAATTCCCAAACCTTTCAGTCGTGTGAGAACAGCATCATCTGCTGGAAGCCTGCGAGTCTGGACTACACTGACACCAACATCAAGGCCTCTGACAACACCGTGTCCATCCTACACAGGTTCGAGTACAGGGAGTGTGAGATCTGGTACATGCGCTTCTGTCTCGACTACTTTCAGAAGGTGAGGGAGGACATACCATTTACTTGATGCTGTTTGCAGCATTTCTGAGCGAGAGGCTTAATATTGAAGTTCTTACATTCAAGTTAGGCATGAAACGATACATTGGTGCACTGGCACATCATACGTTTTCACATAACAATATGATACACGATACATTTTGTAATGTATTGATACAAGACGATACACTTGCTAAAATAAATTACATGTATTTACCAGTCATTTGAGGACCCCCAAGAGTTTTTGTCTTTCAAAATGTAAAATGTGTTGAAATTAGCGTTTCAAGTTCACTGCTAGAAATAGTCAGTACAAACATGTGTCTACCTGCTTGAACCTGCTCTGAAATATTTATAGTCAAGATGTTTATGTGAGATTGGACAAAACTATGCGAATCCCAATACATATCGTATTATGACCTATGTATCGAGACCTTCCTGTATCGTTTCACCCCTAATTCAAGAAAAATACCAATGACTTTGTCAATTTTATTTGAAATGTCTTGAGGGATTGAAGTTGTTGTAAATCAAGCATGCCTCGAGCAAGTGTTTTTGATAGCCTTGGCTACAACATAGGATTCAAAATGTCTGCCATAGCAAGATAGTTTTATTAAGATAAACATCCTTGGTGCTAACTTCTTCTTTTTCTGAAGGGGTGGTTGGGTAGCCTAGTGGTTAAAGCGTTCGCTCGTCACGCCGAAGACCAGGGTTCGATTCCCGACATGGGTATAATGTGTGAAGCCCATTACTGGTGTCCCCCACCGTGATATTGCTGGAATATTGCTAAAAGGGGCGTAAAACCATCCTCACTCACTCTTTTTTTCAGAACAGATTGGTCATAGTGTTTCCAGAAGAAGTCTTGAGATAGGAAATAGCTTAATATGTTAATAGTGCAGTGTTGTGAAAAGTTGGTTGAAATGCGAGTATTTGTTTTGTAGATAATGGCGTTGGGAAACCAGGTGGGAAAGATCTTTGTGTGGGACCTGGATGTTGAAGACCCAACGCTATGCAGGTGAGCTATCTGTCTGCTGATGGAAGGCTATGTTATTCTCCCCTGTGGAGATTGCAGGTTAGAAAAGGATCCCAAGCTATCCTGGTCGTAAGATGTGACTTGATGCATTGGGAGTTAAGATCGTGACTTGGTTGGTAGCATGTCATTCTACCCTGACACAGTTGTTGCTCATAATATCAATCACTGGTTTGTCTGGACCAGACTTCATTATTTTCAGGCTGCCATCTCATAGCTGGAATAGCGCTTAGCATTTTAGCCAACAGGCTGGGGTCAAAATATGTCGTACATATCTGTACCACATCCGGTTATAAGGTACACGTATTGTCTTAATTGAGAAAGTAAATAAAGATGGAGACATGTATTTAAACTTAATAAGTTTTTGGTGATAAAGTTATAGCCACACCCTGTTTTTTATTGCCTCCCTCAAGTACATGTTACATTTTTTCATGACACCCCCTCCTCTCTGTATATTAAATTACCAGTTTCTATATTACTAAGTAATTTTCAAATATATTACCCTCACCCTCATTCCCCCCCCCCCCCCCCCCCCCCCCCCCCCCCTCCCCTCCCCTCACACCCAGCCACCCCATTCCATTATATATTACCAGTCCGTTACAATGTATGACCTTTCTTTGTGCTGTTCATGCTATCAACCCCTGGTTTATCTTGCCCATACTTGATTATACACATTCTGCTAGGATATAACTGCAATATTGTAACATCACTCACTCCGGCATCAGTTGTATACACAGACCATTTCTTTTTCAGATTTACAAAATTGTCTCATGCGAAGTGTACTGTCGCCATACGTCAAACAGCCCTCTCAAAAGATGGAAACATCCTATTGGCTGTCACTGATGATGGAATGATGTGGAGGTGGGACAGAATCAAGTGAATAGCCAATCAAAGCTGCTTATACCAAAGGGAGACCACTCTGGATCAACACATCAAGTTGCCAAGCAACCATGAAAGAGAAGACATACTGATACAAAACTATTGAACATAGGTTAATGTGTTCTACCATGAATCATGGCTAATAATCTTAGTGCATTGGAAACAAATCTTTGGCAATGCAGGCTTACAATTGTTGATAGTAAGAATTTGGAAAATGAATGTTGCTTAGACATGGTTAAAGAGGGACCAGAGCAGGGTCAATTCGGTTGTGTTAAAGTTGATTCAGTCATTTAAAACCTGATATTCTTTGCAGGAAAACTAGTACTTTTAAACATGGCATGAAAGGTTAACTGGTATGAAAGAATTGGGTGGTCCTTAAAGTTTTGTTAGGGCTAAAAAAATCAAAGAATTGGTTCTCAGGCAATGGCTTTTGAAAATATTGGTGGGGGGGGGGGGCTTTTTTTTAAAACTAGTATGCTACCAAATAAACAGCCTCCCTACAATAACATTTTCCTTGATAAGTAAAATACTGGAATACAGAATTTGACTACCGTTGGCCGGCAATGAGCTTTGATTTTATCTCACATGGCGAAAACATTATCTTGGGCACACAAGACAAAGATGCATGTCAACTGACATGTACTGACATGTACTGAAGTATGCCAGTTCGTCCTATTATTACAATATCTGGCTTTAAAAGTGTTCATTGTGTATCTGGACATACGTTTGTAATCCATATTATTACTTTTCTCCATGGTTTCGAGCATTAGTTGTTCGAGATACACAGTTTGAATTTGTAAATCATCATGTCGAGGGATGTTTTATCGTAAATTTCATTGACTAGATTTGCAAACGGCAAAGAAGCACACAGACTCCTATTGCCGCCATGATCATTATATGAGGTGTGCAGTAAAGCAGTGCACATGTAAAGGGAAGTAACTGCCTGCTGCATTGGATCGCAACTGTGCCTGAGAACCAAGACTTATTTGTTTTAGCCTTAGTGGTATATACTAAGCTACCACTAAGTTTTATTAAAACATTTCCTTGAGTTTCATCAGATCCAGGTCCCCCTGTATTATATGTGTGGGATCAGAGCGAACCTGTGGGAAAGTAGAGAGAACAACTTTGTTTTTGATGTGTCGGTGCTGAAGACGATTGTCTGGGGTGTTGTTTTATATGCCATCATGACCTGTGCAGAATCTCAGGACTTGCATCTGTACAAACTCATTTTTGAACACATTGTTTTCAGATCATTTTAAAGATATTTTTATCAAATAAGGCCATTATTTTGTTTGTTTGTTGGATCATGGAGCTGACCTTAATCCGTTATGAAAATATACAATAATCAAATTAAACACCTTTTTTTTCGTCATCAAGACACACACCAGAATATTTTTGTAATGCACTTTTTTATATTAAAAAATGATCAAATAAATGCTGAATTGGATATTCATGTTACCAAATCATCATTCACAACTGATTCTTTGCACAAGAAATCTAGCGTTCTGTCCCTTGTCCTTGATACACTGTCTTGGCCAAAGTTAACTGCCTTAATTTTCAGAGAAAAGCAAACATTTCCACACTTAATAAGTTTAGAAGTCAAAGGTATGTAAGTTGAGTCTGAAGTCCATTTCTTTCCTCCTCTGACTTGAAACAGCTGTGATCCAACTACATCATAATTGATGACCTTTTCTCATTACATCTGACTGCAACCTTTGCTGAATACAATGTCTGTGTCAATTGTCATTGTATGTGTCATTTCTGAAATAATTGGCATTTCGACACAAACAAATATGATCATTACACCTTGAAAATATTGGAGGTGGATGTACTTTAAAATATGAATTTGTATTAAGCCAGAAAATATTGATGTATTATGAGGTTCACTGTTGATAGTTGAACACCTGTCCAACCAACCTTTTGCAACATTAATGCCCCAAATTATAAAATATTCACGTTCTGCCGTCATCATACAGTAGAAAGCACCTGTCCTGGTGTTAGTGGACATCCTCGACCAACTTCTCGAGGCAAGAGAGTTAACTGACATTAAAAGTCCAGTTTCCACCCTTGCTGAACTAGGCTTGAATTCCTGGGCGCCACCAGTGGCTATTACATGTACCAGTTATGTCCGTTCTAAGCCTCTCCTATTGACCAATCAGATCCCCCCTCTCGTGTAACTTGCATTTGCTTCAAACAAAATGGCAGCGCCCAGTCTATACAATCAGATTAATCATCAAAATCTATTTAGTGATAAAACGGGTCTTCCATCACAAAATGCATCAACTCAAGTGAGCACCTTGAATAAAAACATGAAAGGGATTTGGTATATATCTGCTGACGAGTTAGTGGTGCACATGCTTTGCAAATCCTGCAATCGACCAAAATCTGCACGACAGTTTACGAACCGGATTTTGGTTTCATTGCGCGATTCTGATTGGACTATGCATAGACTTGTTAGTCCAGCCGAAATGCAACTCCATAATACCAGCCTAGTTCGGCAAGGGTGGAAACTACTTTTATAGTCAGTTAACTCTCTTGTCTCAGGAAGATGTCCCTCAACAGAATAACAAATGTCACACAGTGTATATATTTGTACATACATGAAGCTCTTGCTTGTTTTTAGTGTCATACAAGTCATTCATTTCTTTGTTGGTGCCTGGAACTAAACTGCCTGTACCACATACCCTAAGTCCATTAATGTCCTATAAAAAAACATGCTCGGGTTGAATCTACCCTGGCTTGACCAAAGCACCAAAAGAAATAATTGCCTGTCTGGTCAATTGTAAGGAATAAATAAATATTTTTAAAAACTTATGCAAGTGCCTTTGATAAGAATAAATTCTTCCTCAATTCAACCTCAGCTGTTCAAACCTTCAGACTAAATATATCCTGCCACTCAGTCAAGGATTTTCGGAATGTCCCAGATAGTTTATGTCCAGGCTTTCAACTGATTTCATTACATGAACATGTCGTGCCTTGTATTTGATGACAATAAAAGGGCACAACCATCTGCAAGAAAGTATTTTGTTTCAATTTTGGGATAGAAGACATGGATGCCAGTTTGGAAGTTGTTTTTCACCCAACTGTGATCTTTCTGAAGAACATTAAGAAGTATGACATCCATGGGCGGATACAGAGCGGGGGTGCGCACCCCCCCTTTTCGAAAAAAATCTTTATTTCTGTATAAATTACCACCAAAGACAAAAAATAGATCTTAATTGTGCACCCCCCTTTTAAAAAAAGCTGTATCCGCCCATGACATCTTACATCATTAGTGCAAGCCCCGTGAGGATTCCGGGTGGGAATTGGTCCTCAGGAACCTACCGGTATGCTGGTCATAAGTAACGACCAAATGGTTCAGGTGGTCAGGCTTGGTGACTTAGTTGATGGATTGTTGTTCACAATATCAATCAGTGGATTAGTTGCAGGCTGCCATCATATAGGTGGAATGTTACTGAGTGTGGCGTGAAACCAATTCACTCCGTGTTGTCTTCAATAATATTATATTGCATATTAACGTTCTGCTACATTCACATCCTAAAGATTTTGCATTCAACATCTCCTCTTACCAGGTTCCATTTTGTTGTGGATGAGGTGAGGTGAAATGGGGTTTAACGTCGCGTCCAAGATTATTGCACTTATATAGCGACGTGTGTGTTTGTGTGACTGCTTGTACTAGTCCGGACTGATGCCGATTTAGAGTGCTAGCTCACTGAGATACTATGCCGCAGTTTAACATGAATACCCCACTCAGACACAGTATACGGACTCCGATCCGACCAGTCTTTGTTTAAGCTCCTTAATGCCGAGCGCCAGATGGCTTTTGGTATGATGCGGCCGGGATCGAACCCTGGACCTACCGCTCTCCAGGCTGACACTCTACCACTTTGACCACGGAGGCTGTCCTTGTGGATGAACAGACAAATCACAGACAGTATGACTTGCTGAACTTTCATTACCAGAGTTTCAGTGTGGGGGCAGGATAGAAGCCCTAGGTACTCACAAGAGTCCAACTTGCAGATTATCATCACTAGCGCTATCAAGATTCGATGATGTGTTGATGCATCACAAATTTACACTTGACTATATGATACACGATATACATACTGATGTGTCCAACACGAAGCGACTAACAGGATCGGGCAGTCAGGCCCCCTGAATTGGTTGATGCATGTCATGCTATCCAAATTGCATAGATCGATCGCTCATGATGTCAATCACTGGATTGTCTGGTCCAGACTCAATTATTTAAAGACCACCGTCATATAGTGGCGTTAAACAACAAACAAACAAACTAATGTGTCTATTCATGACATCACTCTGAATCAGTTTTCAAAAGGCGGTATGTACAAAATTTTGCAATAACTTGGCCTGATAACTATTTTGGCTAGCATTTCCTTTCTGCCATTTATGAAACCAAATGCTAAATCTGATTACATAATACTATTAGAACAAGACACAAACTGGTGGTATGGAGACATGACCACTAGTCCGTTAGTCTGAGACAAGTCAAAATTTAGAATGACTTTTTGTTTCTCCCCAAATCTAATTGTGTTGCATAAGCTGCTGGTACTAAATGACTAGTTACATATGGCCACTGGTGTCTACCCCTGCATGGAACATGGAGTATGAGTGTGGATCATATGATGATATGTTCCAATACGTGAGGTAGGCATATCGTTACACCCCGAGTGGTCACCCATCCACCTGCTCTTAGCTGCTGGAGTTCCATAGCTTCTTGATTTATGATGAAGACCACCACAGATCCCCATGGTCCATGGTACCAACTTGGGTTGAATGCTGTTTCAAAGAATATTTCAGTTACATCACAGCGTGTTAGCTTAAAGTTGGAGGAAAGCCCCAAGCTACACAGGTAGGATGTGTAGTGAGTGAGTAGGTGTTTATGCCACTTTTTTTAGCAATATTCCAGCAATATCATGGCGAGGGACACCAGAAATGGGTTTCATACATTGTACCCATGTGGGGAATCAAACCTGGGTCTTCGGTCTGACAAGCGAATGCTCTATCCACTAGGCTACCACACCACCCGGGGTAATGGTGCTGACAAGGAATTGGAGCCCTGCGTCAGCAAGTCCTGGCACTGCTAAGGGATGCAACTCTGAACAGTTCATAGTACGGCCTTAGCTACTAGTCCACACATAGTCCAAGATTTATTTCAGCAGAATGAATGTCCATACCAACAAAAACAAGATGACTTTTGACACACTGATGACAAAAACAACAAAAGACAAAATATTTTTTATTTTATCATATAATTTGTTCAATGTGCCCAATCAACCATAAAGCTTTCACTCCCCTCCAGAATCTTACAGTTCCAATATACCTTGATTGATGAGGAAGTGCAAAAAGGGGAGACAACTCTTTAAGACAAACAACTTCATCAACTTGGAAAGTGAACTGCCACAGCAATTGCATAGTGAAAGAAGCTTGGGGGCTCAAAAGCGCAGAATAAATCCAGCCCATACTTTTTATAAACAAAGAAGACTTCCTGTAGCAGTTATCTCCCTCTATAACCTTGATTTGGTGATATGCGCCTGAAAACGTACAATACTTCTTATTGTCTCATTAAGATTGTGCCTTTAATATGTGTGGCCTTGATACAAGAGATCCATTGTCATACTAATTTACAAAACCAGCTGAAACATTCAGAAGCTGAGCATGACCAAATGCTTTTCAATCCAGTTCAAATATCTGTCCTGTATAGAGAAGCAACAGCAAAAACTGGGCTCAAGGCCATTAGGTACGGGCCATTTAGTATTCTGAGAAGGGTCTTCTATTGTTTGGGATATATCTAAGGCCAGGCATTTTATATTTTTCGGATTACGGACCCGCAGACTCTAATGTAAAAATCAAATCAAATCAGATTTTCCATTGTTTTCCCTGCCGATAGACGCATAGTCAGTTATTTTAATTGTTATCATCACCTTTTAAAAAAGAAACATGAATTTACCCTTGTAAACTAGTAAAGAGATACATAATCAATTTTTGTTGATCTCAAAGCCGAACATGAATAGCCTCCCTTGACAATTGTCCGTGTTGTAAGTGGTAGAATTTTTAATGTTACAAGGGGCTTTATCGTCACAAATGGTGGTCTTTTGAGCACAGAATATGTTCATAAAGTATGCCAGAGGCATTCTGCATTAAAAAAAAATGCATCTGGCTTTTTCTTGTTTTTTTCCTCCTGCAACCCTGGACTTCGGGCTGAAAAATCCATAATCCTAAAAATATGCCTGGCCTAATCAGTCCTGACGTCAAAACTTGGATTTATTCTCTGAAATGAGAAGCCAAACAGTATTGTCTTGACTCACAACAGATTTTATTAGAACATTCAGAATATCCTGTGAATAATGTTTTGGGGGTAAAACCTGGACAAATTTCATAATCATTTTTTTAAATTCCAGGCAACCTCAGAATATCAAATGGTCAACCCCTTATGGTGATTAATAATTCTGATAAATGCTGAAATCAAAAATGCTAATACGCAGGGAACAAAGTTATACTATTTTGATAGGGAAATGATACAACAAACAGATAAATACTAGAATGAAACAAAATGTTAAAAGTAGTAAATAGACCATGATCATCAGAGCAATCATCACAGATGTAACCATGAGTAACCATAAGTAGAAACAAAAACATCATCTAAAAAGTTGACAACAGTTTAGCTACAATTTTGACAAAATATTTCTGACAAGTGTGATATAACATTTAAAACATTGGACCTGCCAAAACATATATGAATAAAGAATTTCAAAATTTTGTAGTTTGCATAATCAGAGATGTTCTGACTTGTGGCCCAGACAACTTTCAATGAAATACTCCATAATTATTACCTGGATAGTGTTATACAGGTCGTAATATCTACATTGTACAGTTGTATATAAAACCTACGAAGGACATGACGAGATTGGAATACATTTCATTCACTGTATTAATATAAAAATCGTCATATAAACATTTTGATACATATACATGTACATGTAAATACATCAAGAGACAGTATATATACATAAATACATTACAGCAATGCTAAGTGGAGTGTTTATTAAAGGCTTTCACATTTAGGATACATGTAAATGAAAATATATGGAAGTACAAAATAAACCGTATTTGGTATGCTGGTTCATGTTGCTTTCATAACCAAAATATCAGGCAGCAAGATCGGCTCATATTGATGTCGGTCACACATTACATTAATACTTAAGTAAATCTACAATACAGCATTTTAAACATTTATTCAAAACATATGCATCGTAAGAGGCATCAGTTCAATGAACAAATATTTTCTCTTTCTGAATCTGACAGGGAATATGGGGCTAAAACTGGTGCCATTGAAGAATTATCTTTCGGAAATCGGTCAAATAGTATCACACAGGATTAAACTACATCTCCATGTCAACCTCACTTGAACACTCTGAATATCCACATTAAAATTAAGTGCACTGGTACATGATGAAGAAAACTTTGCTTTATCATGCAATTAGGACTACCGGTATCTTTAAATTTCAAAAGGTTTCATTATGAAAGCATTGAAGTCATAGCTACACCTTACTGTTTTAGTGCTATCGCACAGTGAGAGGTGTCTAGTGAACACATGAAAGACCTATTTCTCCGCAAGATGTTTTCATGGTTACTCTATTTTTTTTGCAGTGCTGTCATACAGATACGATAATAACAGATGTCTTCTTTGAATCCAACACTACAGCAATGTGTGACCACACCTAGACATTCTCCCTTTTACAATTGTTTGACTTAATGCTGACTTCAAATATTAAAACACATCTGTGACGTCATTCTATTGTTTCAGCGCTGCATTATTTTTCAGGAATGGACAGTTGATTGTGTCCATCTCGAGCTGATCTCTACAATGCATGCTACACAGCTCTTTAGAATGTTTTGTCAAAGTGTGAGAACAGAGATGTGTTTTAAGTAGGGGAATATCCTCGTAACTCTCCATTTCTTTAAATTAATGGGCCTCTGCCCCTGTGGGGCCACCGCTCCATTATTGTAAATGAATGATGAGTTACTCGGACATTCCCCTATACATACACTCAGCTGATAATAATATAAGGTCCATATATTAGGCTTAAGAAAATAAAAGAACTGGTTCTCAGGCAATGACTTTTGAAAATATAGTGTGGGCGGGTGGTGTTTTCTTTTTTTTGCTTGTTCGAACTAGTATGTAACCAAAGCTAAATTTTTTTAGCCTTAACAAGTTACAATCTACTGAAAACTTATTGGGAGTAGCAGACTCACTTTCTTCTCTTCATGACTTTGGCAATGTGTAACCCTTTAAACTATCCTGGACCTGCCTCTGCACCCAAACCTACCCTTACAATGTATGGATAATGCCCAATACATTCAAATTCCATAATCATACAGTCATACACCAAATGAAAATTTAAAACCTAAACTGCACTGCTAACTACTGCAGTTGAATGGCATGACATGACAGTTAAAGAGGAACTACACTCTGGTCAACAGGCAGTCCCAGCAACGTTGATTCAAGACCCAATTTCATTATCACTGCTGTGACCTTTATAAAAGTTGTCACGAATTGTACATCTTTTGGATCATAATTGATTTATCTGAACGGAGTCTCAAGTCCCACAATGCAGACAGATAGCCATAACAGGAACGAATTCGTCTTAAGAGGGCTGGCTGCCCCAACAAAACTGATCAAGTCATTCAAAATAACAAATATCTCTCTGCCATGTGTGCAAACTCAGATTTATAAAGCACACTGTTTTTAATTAACTGTTATTGACTCCTGTATATATGGAATGGTCTAGCGAATAGTGAGTCCAAACGAAAGTGTGATCCCCGGCCATGTCATACCAAAACATGTTAAAAGATGGTAATTGTTATTACCGTCACTGGCTCTCAGCATTAAGGGAATAAAATCAGGACAGGTTGGCTCGGAGTCAGTATACTGTGTCTGAGTTTGGTATTCATGTTAAAACTGCAGCATGGTATCTCAGGGGGCTAGTACTATGAAGCCAGCATTTGTCAGGGCTAGTACAAGGAGCCACACACACACACACCTACACACACACACACACACACACACACACACACACACACACACACACACACACACACACACCTACACGCATTCCCATGCACATCGCTATTTAAGTGCAATAATCTTGAACGCAACGTTAAACCCCATTTCACCTCACTTCACCAATAACACGGAGACAACATCTCTGTTCCACACAGGACAATTAACCATGTGTAGACTGAAAATTAGCACCAGACCAGACCAGACTGCAGTTCTCTCAATCATCAGTGAAATGATACCAGTGAAATGATACCAGTGAAATGATACCAGCATAATGACAAGCAACAGTGTCCCCGACATTAGCACCATGTCACATGACCAGGCTGCACGAAGCAGAATATCGGTGCCTTGCTTCACGTCTGAATGCTTATCTGGAAAAAGCAGGTACAACATCTACTGCTTAAGTACGTTAACAGGGCTGTAAAATACAACCGGACAATATTATTTATATCCGGGTCTATGATTGTGAAATAATGCACAAGTGGTACACATAAGATTCACTGGTGTTATACTCCGCTTAAATTGCATCCTTTATTGATCTTCATTAAGATGATATCTTTTGCTCCAGTACATTACCCAGGGAGGAGAATGGATATTTTCCTTTTCCTTGTAACTTATTTTCAATAGAGCGTGGTCCATAAATTGGGGTGTTTATGGGGGAAGCCATCAGATTTAAAAAAATTTGTCTTCACTAAAATTCGCAGAAATTCCTTTGACGGCCCTATCCAAATGAAATATGCCTGCATTCAGCTTTCAAAAACAATATGGCTTCATTTCATTACCACCTTGATTCACAAATGTCGACATTAACAGAAGAAAACCTACACAGAACACAAATAATTCTTCAAGGGGACTCCCTTTTGGGTGAAGATACCATTGTGCTAAAAAAACGACAGGATTTATAAAACATCCGCAACAACAAAATGACATTTTTATTATTTCCATTCAGAAGTGGCCGTTTAACTTCATTTTCAAGATTCAGAAATCAAATAACGAGAATTTAGAAGTGTGATCTTCATGCAGAGAATTATCAAATCGGAACAAAAGATGTGATTGTAATGAGACTGATCATCACAACATGGTATTTTCTGCTGCTATGTTCGTAACAAGACCTTGGGAGACGATGATACATGATGGTGGCATCATACGATTCATAGATCACTTGGTGAATTGTTACAGCCCTGTAACCATGGTAACATGCACTCACACTAATACTGAAAATGCATTAATTTCAACAATCACACTTTCGACTCAGAACAGGACTTATGAACTCTTATCAAAGCCTTGTCACCGACACCAAGAAATGTAGAGCTGATGAGACTGATCTTTCATCAGATATCATGGACCATCGTTGTTACAAAGCCACCAAAATATACAGTATCAAAGTTGAGTTTACACTTGAATTTAAACAGCTCCATAGGTAGATGTTTCTTATTCACAAGCTCACTCAACATGCTTTTTTTTGTTTGTTTGTTGTTTAACGCCGCACTCAGCAATATTCCAGCTATATGACGGCGGTCTGTTAATAATCGAGTCTGGACCAGACAATCCAGTGATTGATATCATGAGCATCGATCCACGCAATTGGGATCGATGACATGCATCAACCAAGTCAGCGAGCCTGACCAACCCACTCAACATGCAGTTTGTAACAATTCATGATGTATGAGAATGCAAGGGAGATATTTAAATATCCTGTATGACGTGACTTCATTATCTGACCAGAAGAAGTGTAATACAATTTCCATCATGACATCTGTTTGTTCATGAAGGGAAGTTAAGCTTAGATCATGTTTTTCAGTGGTCAAAGGTAACATGATGAATGAATGGACAACATGTTCCACAAGAACAAGAAGTCATGATGAAATTCTTGATGTTTTGACGTCATGAAGCGGTGCTAATGAGGTCAAAATATCACGAGATGCCAAATCATCCACTGTTTCCTAGGGTTCACATTCATGGTTTTATTTTGTTGTCATGGTGAAACAGTAAGTGAGTGAGTTAGGCTTAGTACCACTTTGAACTATTTCAGTTACAAACCATTGCATCCTGGCAAGGCAAAGGGATGCAACTCTGCCCATTGAATCATGATGCCCCAGACCACTAGTCCCCCCATGGTGTATAAACATGATATCAAACTGTGTAAAAAGCATATGAAAATAACTGTTGATTATTTGAAATAATAACACTGTCATATACTTGATCATACTTTTCATTGCAATTGCGGCTCGAGTTGGGCAGCGCCTTCGTTATCTACCATAACAAGGAATTAGAACATTTTCAGTATTTCAGCATTATACAAAGGGAGATCACTTCCTTTCTTCAACATAGTTGGCAGGAAACAAGCCAGCCTTTCCATGGCATTCACCTCGCCACCATCCATCGTCAATCTGAAAGTAACATTCTATTGCATTATCCTGATATCATCAAATATTGAACAAATGTAGTAGTGGTAACAATGAAGAACTTCAGTTATCTCAGTTAAGGCCTTAGGGTGAAACTCAAGCAGCTGTAGAACACAAATACACTGAACAAAAACTACTTACCTTTTCAATATTAGTGATGATATCATCTGGATCAAAGGACAGTTCATCTTCATCAGCTACAAAACACGACAAACATTGATTTCTGTAAAAACATCATTATTATTATAATTACAAAGATAACCATGATACCCAATATGACCATGATAAAACCCCAACCCCATCCATGATCAATAAGATAACCATGACAACCAAGATAACCATAACCATGACAACCAAGATAACTATGGTAACTAAGATAACTAAGACAACCAAGATAACCATAACCATAACAAGATAACCATGGTAACCATGGTAACCAAGACAACCATAACCATGACAACCAAGATAACCACAACATCCAAGATCACAATAACCATGACAACCTAGATAACTATAAACAAAATAACCATGCTAAGCAAGGCAACCAGGATAACCATAACCATGACAATCAAAACCACAACCAAGACAACCATGGTAACCAACACAACCAAAGCCATGACAACTAATATAACAATAACCAAGATCACCATACCCGTGATAATCAAGATACTCATTATTGCCAAGATAACCAAGATAACCAGGATAACCAGGATAAGTACAGGGACATGTAGTGTAATCAAACTACTATATGGAGTGAGTGAGTGAAAGTTGTGTATTCCACCAACATCACGGCTGCTTGTAATTAATCTAATCCAGATACAACCGAGACTGGAAGCGTGAACAACAATCCACACCATCGCAGTACGATGAAAGGCCATCAGCCATGTAACAGAGCCACTCCATACTCAACCCTTAGACAAGCATGAGGTACTGCGAGCCCTACTTGAACGGAATCCCAACAGGGGAAGTGTACAGTGTATAGTAATCCACCTTCAGTGTACTGATCTGGGACACTCACCGGCCTGGTAGTCATACAAAGCTACAGCTGTAATGCCTGTGTCTCCACCGGCCGTGTCGGTGTCGTTGTACACACTCTCCTCTTCCTCTTGCACCGCCGGCGCAACATCATCCGGCGTGTTGTACGTATCTTCTGGCTCAAAGTCGTCAGCAGTATTACTGTATACATCTTCTTGTTCCGGTTCCTGCTCCGGTTCCGGTTCTGGTTCCGGCTCCTGTACAGCAGGTTCTGGCTCTGGCTCTGGTTCAGGTTCTGTGGATGGCCTCTCTTCCTCCTGCCACCTCTCCTTCTCCAGACGAGCCTGGAAGGACAACATTCTTTTATAGGGTTATGAACAGTTCAACCAACCTTCAAACAAGGTGAAGATGATCAGAATAAAAAGTGGTTGGTTGTTTGTTGTTTAACGCCGCACTCAGCAATATTCCAGCTACATGACGGTGGTCTGTAAATAATCGAGTCTGGACCAGACAATCCAGTGATTGACATCATGAGCATCGATCCACGCAATTGGGACATGATGACATGCATCAACCAAGTCAGCGACCCTGGCCACTCGATCCTGTTAGTTGCCTCTTACGACAAGCATAGTCACCTTTTACAGAAAGCATGGGTTGCTGAAGACCTATTCTACCCCGGATCTTAACGGGTCGAGTGAGTGAGTGAGTGAGTGAGTGAGTGAGTGAGTGAGTGAGTGAGTGAGTGAGTGAGTGAGTGAGTGAGTGAGTGAGTGAGTGAGTGAGTGAGTGAGTGAGTGAGTGAGTGAGTGAGTGAGTGAGTGAGTGAGTGAGTGAGTGAGTGAGTGAGTGAGTGAGTGAGTGAGTGAGTGAGTGAGTGAGTGAGTGAGTGAGTGAGTGAGTGAGTGAGTGAGTGAGTGAGTGAGTGAGTGAGTGAGTGAGTGAGTGAGTGAGTGAGTGAGTGAGTGAGTGAGTGAGTGAGTGAGTGAGTGAGTGAGTGAGTGAGTGAGTGAGTGAGTGAGTGAGTGAGTGAGTGAGTGAGTGAGTGAGTGAGTGAGTGAGTGAGTGAGTGAGTGAGTGAGTGAGTGAGTGAGTGAGCGAGCAAGCAAGCAAGCGAGCAAGCAAGCGATCATGACTTAATAGACCTTCCATCATCAATAATGGCAAGCATGGGTTGCAGAAGACCTATTCTACCCTGGATCTTTACAGGTCAAGTTGAAGGAGACGGTACCATGGGTTCAATCCAATTCTTCTTTTAAACTAGCAGTTTTCGGAGAAGTATGTAGTCCTTTCAATAAAGGTGCATTTAGCCAAACAACTTAACAAATATCAGCCAAAAATATATTTCTCACCAGAGCAACTGGTTGAATGGATTCATGATCTGGTGGATTGAGTGTCTGCCCCATGAGTTTAAGGTTGCCTGTACCAAAAGACCTTAAAATATGTTACCCTGACTGGTGCTTGGTATTAATAGGGGATAATACAAACTTGTCTACTCGGAGCCAGTGTAATGTGTAAATATGGTAAATCCGTGGGCTAGCACAACAAAACAGATGAAAGTCTGTTCATGCACTTTGCTATGTGAGTGCAATAAACTTGAGCACGATGTTAAACCCCATTTCACCTAACCTCATGAAACTTGTCTCACCTAAAGGGAGGTAACTCCGCTGCACCTACCTCCACCTGTTTCTTCTGTTCCTCCTGTTCTCGTTTTTCCCGTGCCTCTCTCCTCGCCCTCTCCTCCTCCGCCCTCTTCTTGCCTTCCTCTTCCCCTGACTTGGCCATGTTCTCAAACCGAGCCTTCAGATTCTTAGCACCCTCAGAACCTGAAACACCAAGTGCCGTCTGATAACAACCAGTTTGGCTTAAAACCGCTTTCAACATTTTCTGTTTCATCACAGCATGTTTGCAAAATGTCAGAGAAAAGCCTCAAGTGATGTTGGTTGTAGCTGATGATCTCATTAGAGAATCCACAGACAGAGCTTTAGGGCAGTCTGGGGTTGAAACCCAAAATACATAGGACTAATGGCAGGGTGAATAGAGAAGACCTGTTTTAAGATGTTTGGTCTTTTAAATTCATAGCCTCACAAGTATGATGCATGTTTGAGAGATTTGGATGAGGTGAGGTGAGGTGAGGTGAGGTGAGGTGAGGTGAGGTGAAATTTGGTTTAATGTCGCTTCAAAGATTATTGCACTTATATAGCGAAGTGTGTGTGTGTGTGTGTATGCGTGCGTGCGTCTGCGTGTGCGTGCTTGTACTAGTCCCGACTGATGCCGATTTATAGTGCTAGCTCACTGAGATACCATGCCGCAGTTTAACAGTATACAGACTCCGAGCCGACAAGTCCTTAATGCCAACGCCAGACAGGGTAACAAGAAGTACCATCTTTTAACGTCTTTTGGTATGACGTGGCCAGTGATCGAACCATAGACCTTCCGCTCTCCGGGCGGACACTCTTCCACGGAGGGGTCTTCAGATCTTGATGCATAGAGAAGTGTGATGGTTGAATTCACTCAACAGCCAACACCAAGGCAACTATTGACATTATGGAACATTTTCATGTTGCTCTATACAAGTCTGGAGCATACAACCCAGGGAGTGATAGTGCAAGCATTGATCCACGCTGACGGGGTACAACGACGTGCAATCACCCAAGTCACCCAGTCTGACCACCCATTCAATAAGGTTGCGATGTACAATACACACAGGTTGCTGGAGACGGGGGTGTTGTACAAGTAGCAGGCAGCAAGCCCAAACATCCCTCAATTAATCAATAAGTACTTCTTAATGGCACAGATTTGGATCAAGCAATATCGAAAAAGCAATGTTGTACAAGCCTCCTGAAGATAACGACTTACTTGAATCAGCTCTTGTTTTTGTGTAACTGGAAGAAACACCTTGCATATCTTCAAAAGTACCCGCATTCTGAAATAAGAAATTCATAATGCATAAATAATGGATAACTATGGTCACCCAGCACAGTAGCTGACCTGTATATAGTCAAAAGTTTAAAATGTTAACCAAGGCATTTACAATGCCATACAATTGTTTTCATTGTTTCACAAAGAAATCCAGCTTGATGCATAGAGATGTGTGACGGCCAATCAAGGCAACTATTGACGTCATCATATTGATGATAGATTGACGCACCACTTTGAAGAGTATTTCAGTTGTATCATGGTGTGTTAGCTTCATGTGGGAGGAAACCCTGCTTGTCTTTTACAGTCATGTAGTATTCTGGTGAAACCCAGGAGCTATGGTGCTGACAAACTTAGAAATACAGGATCAGGAAAATCTGGGGTATCAAGCCCATGATCACAGGCATTCCTGAGGGACACAAGTCTGCAGAGCAAATAGATGACTGGCTCCCCAAGGACCCAAATGCAGGTGCAGGCATTGCTTTTCACCACCATGGTGAAACCCACGAGTAGAGTACCAGGACTAAATTTATGATCATAGGTTCCTGGCATGTCTAAGGGGCACAACTCTAAGGGGCTGTGAATTGACGACTGTGGCACCCATGCCTTTCTGGTGTTGAGGTGAAATGGGGTTTAATGCCACTGAGATACCATGCCGCAGTTTAACATGAATACCCCACTACTGACTCGAACCAAACAGTCCTTGTTTTAGCCTCTTAATGCCGAGCGCCAGACAGGGTAACAACAAGTACTATTTTTAAACGTCTTTTGGTATGACGGGGATCGCACCATGAACCTTCCGCTCACCGGGCAGACGCTCTACCGCTAGACCACGGAGGCAGTCATGCCCTTTGGAAGCTAAGAGCCATGAATCAGCTTGACATTGTACCCCTGTAAGATTTAAAGGGAGAATTTTAAAATAATTGTTAAAGTAGCAGAACCTACCTTGTCCATCTTGTCTTTTTCCACACCAAATTTGCCTCCGAAACCTTTCTTCATGTCTGTCTGAGAAGAGTGAAGTTCTGGCTTTGTGATGCTGTCATAACCGGCGGCGTTCTTATCTTGTCTGTCTTTCTGTACCCCAAACTTCCCACCAAATCCTTTGGAATAATCTGCATGCAAGTCATAGTAATCATAATCATTATTCTATCAATACTTGCAAATCATTATAACTATTATCCTTTCAACATTGCATGCATGTTTCCCTATAAATGCAGGCTTCATCAAAAATATGTTGCATAGTGTCTTTATATACATTGTCTCTTTCAAAGATATTCTTGGCATTTCCATGGCAACTCCAGGAGAACGGTCATCTGCATCCTGACATTTCCTTACTTTACAAGCTGAAATGGATGAGCAATGGGAAAAATGTAATTAGACTCATACTGTTGATTACCTCTCCCTGTTTCTAAAGGCAGTGGAAACTTGCTGTGCCATGTTCCCGGGGAACAGTGAAAATATCTTACCCAAACGCACCCTGGTGTGATTGTGCAGATCAGGGGTGCGTTTCGGCGATATGTTTTCTACTGATCTTAACCAGTCATCCAAGTATTGCAATCAGGCGATAGACAATTGCAATGCATCAAAAGTTTATCTGTTGTTATTTGCCAAATCCGAAAGTAATAAATAAGTCAACTCTGAAACAAGTACCTGTCTGTGACTCATGTTTTTCCACTTTTTCCTTGTGGTCCCAGCCCACGGCCGACTTGTCCATGTTCTCCTTCTGCACACCAAACTTCCCTCCGAACCCTTTAGAGTGATCTGAAACATGCCCATGTGAGACAATGATTAATTTAGTGTGGCTGTCTTGTGATCTGAAACATCATCATGTGAGACAATGATTAATTTAGTGTCATTGTCTTGTGATCTGAAACATGAGTGAGTGAGACAATAAATAATTTAGTGTGAATGTCTTGTGATCTTGAACATGCCCATGTGAGACAATGACTAATTTTGTGTGACTGTCGTGTGATCTGAAACATGCCCCTGTGAGAAAATGAATAATTTAGTGTGGCTGTCGTGTGATCTGAAACATGCCCCTGTGAGACAATGAATAATTTAGTGTGGCTGTCGCATGATCTTAAACATGCCTATATATGCGATAGTGACTAATTTTGTGTGACTGTCGTTTGATCTGAAACATGCCCCTGCGAGACAATGAGTGGATGCTGCTTAAGTCCACAGTCATCAATATTTAATTAAATCAAATAATGAATTTGCATAGCATACTTTCCAAATTATAACTGCTTTAGATCTACATTATTACCCTGGTCAATGGATTAGTCTGCACTCAATTGATTCTACGCCCCAATCTGGCAGTGAGGTGCTGGAAGGATAATGGTCACATCCTCCCAGGTGCCCATTCACTGCTGGGTGAACAAAGTCACTTGCCTAAGGAGACACCACATGTGATACACCTACTGCCCCCCGACCAATGTTGTTTAACCACCCCAGATGTGTGACCTGTGTGACCTGTGTGCTGTGTGCTGTACACACATCTCTGTGCCACCATTTATGTAGAAAAATATCAAATTGCTACAAAGTGTGTTTATGTGTGTACATGTTTATGTTAGTTTGTATATATAATGAGATTCCATTCAAGATGGCAGCGCCCAGAGAGTGATTGTGTTGCAAGGATAACTTTTCAGGGGAAGGGCCATTAGATGTAAGTCTTGATCAGAGTGGCGCTGTAAGTTGAGTTGAGTGAAACAGAAAAGACGACATTGACACCAGATATCGTTGTGTCATCATTGTATTATTCCAATCTAGTTACAGCCCATGTTGACCTACCTGTCTGTGACTCGTGTTTTCCTAGCTTCTCCTTGTGGTCCCAGCCCACGGCCGACTTGTCCATGTTCTCCTTCTGCACACCAAACTTCCCTCCGAACCCTTTAGAGTGATCTGAAACATGCCCATGAGCATGATGAGAGACGATGACTGAATTAGTAAATGCTACTGAGGTCTACGGTTAGCAATATTACACTATAATCTAGTGTGAGCGTTGTGTGATCTGAAACGTGGGAGTGAGAGTATTGTTTGTTGTACAAGGAAGCAATTAAGAAATACTGGGAATCTGAGCAAGGCAAACTAGTGGATGATAGAGTGAGCATCAACCCATCAGGACATGATGACAAACAATGAGCAAATCACAGAGGCCACCTGTTCCTTCTAGTTGACAGTTCTTAGGGCAAACATGGGACACGGAGAACTTATTTTGCCGAGGAAGGAAAGCATGGGATACTGGTTAACAAATCTACCCCTAACTTTCGACAGGGTGGAACTCAGTTAATGGTGTCAACATCACACTGAACTGAGACATCACCTGCTAGGAGATTCCCCGCTAGTCTCACCTGTCTGTGAGGCATGTTTCTCCACCTTCTCTCTGTGTTCATATCCCACGGCCGACTTGTCCTGCCGATCCTTCTGGATTCCAAACTTGCCCCCAAAACCCTGGGAGTAATCTGAATGTACAAATAATAGTTAAGACAACTACAACTTCTCCTTCAACCAGATATCAACAGGAGGAAATGTTCCAGCCACAAATCTCTGCAGCTCTCCTAAACCTGTCGTGGATATTGTCAACATCAGATAATGATACTCATAATAAAAGTGGTAAACAAGCATATGCAATAATAACTTACAAACAAAGTAGTATCAATATCTCATATACTACCAAAAATATATTCTTAGGGTGAAAATATCATTTATACTTATCCTGACTCATACTGCTTATCTCATCTCATCCCGTAAAGGAAGTAGAAAATCCTGTGGTGTTCCAAAGAACAAACAAAAACATCTCACCCAAACACACCAGTTAATCACTTGCTTGATAACGGTGTTAGAACCTACACCGAAACGTCGCTCTTCATTGTAATAAAGAAGTTGTTCATCCATAAATTCTCATCCTTACTAATACTTAGTACTCCAACTTCTAAATGCCTGTCAAAGAAGTCATACTAATTGCTTGAATCTCACGGTTGGTGGTGGGATCCACCGTGTGCAGGATTCAGATCTGTTCAATTAACCCCATGGGAATGTCTTCTTACTTCTTATACATCAATCTGTAGTGGGCCACCACCTCTGTACTTGTGACAGTAGGAGAAAATCAAGAGATTTCGTGGATTTTTAAGTGCTTATTGAATTATATAACAGCTTACTTAGAACGATTCTTTATTAAGACAAGCATTTGTCACAGAGTGACGAAATATCCCCCGCCATATACACCATAGTACCAAATATGAAGATAATCCAGCGATTAGTTCTTGAGATATTGTGGCAACACCGTTTTCCAACTCCAAAAACAGATTTGCCTGCTGTGACCTTGAAAATGGGGTCAAGGTCACCAAATCTGACAGGTGTATGCGGTGTCTGTATATACACGATAGTTCCAAATATGAAGACAATCCAGTGTTTAGTTCTTGAGATATCGCGGCAACACCGTTTTCTAACTCCAAAAGCAGATTTGCCTGCTGTGACCTTGAAAATGGGGTCAAGGTCACCAAAACCGACTGGTGTCTGCGGTGTCTGTATATACACCATAGTTCCAAATATGAAGACAATCGAGAGGTTTAGTTCTTGAGATATCGCGGCAACACTGTTTTCCAACTCCAAAAGCAGATTTGCCTGCTGTGACCTTGAAAATGGGATCAAGGTCACCAAAACCGACTGGTGTCTGCGGAGTCTGTATATACACCATAGTTCCAAATATGAAGACAATCCAGTGTTTAGTTCTTGAGATATCGCGGCAACACCGTTTTCCAACTCCAAAAGCAGATTTGCCTGCTGTGACCTTGAAAATGGGGTCAAGGTCACCAAAACCGACTGGTGTCTGCGGTGTCTGTATATACACCATAGTTCCAAATATGAAGACAATCCAGTGTTTAGTTCTTGAGATATCGCGGCAACACCGTTTTCCAACTCTAAAAGCAGATTTGTCTGCTGTGACCTTGAAAATGGGATCAAGGTCACCAAAACCGACTGGTGTCTGCGGAGTCTGTATATACACCATAGTTCCAAATATGAAGACAATCCAGTGTTTAGTTCTTGAGATATCGCGGCAACACTGTTTTCCAACTCCAAAAGCAGATATGCCTGCTGTGACCTTTAAAATGGGGTCAAGGTCACCAAAACTGACTGGTGTCTGCGGAGTCTGTATATACACAATAGTTCCAAATATGAAGACAATCCAGTGTTTAGTTCTTGAGATATCGCGGCAACACTGTTTTCCAACTCTAAAAGCAGATTTGTCTGCTGTGACCTTGAAAATGTGATCAAGGTCACCAAAACCGACTGGTGTCTGCGGAGTCTGTATATACACCATAGTTCCAAATATGAAGACAATCCAGTGTTTAGTTCTTGAGATATCGCGGCAACACTGTTTTCCAACTCCAAAAGCAGATTTGTCTGCTGTGACCTTGAAAATGGGATCAAGGTCACCAAAACCGACTGGTGTCTGCGGAGTCTGTATATACACCATAGTTCCAAATATGAAGACAATCCAGTGTTTAGTTCTTCAGATATCGCGGCAACACCGTTTTCCAACTCCAAAAGCAGATTTGTCTGCTGTGACCTTGAAAATGGGATCAAGGTCACCAAAACCGACTGGTGTCTGCGGAGTCTGTATATACACCATAGTTCCAAATATGAAGACAATCCAGTGTTTAGTTCTTCAGATATCGCGGCAACAAACAGGTGGGACGTACGGACGGACGGACGTACGGACGGACGTACGGACGGTCGTGAATACTATATAAAAAGGTCATAATCTTGACACAATCGACATAACTCATGTTCCGAATTACTTAGTGACCATGAACTCTCAGTTGATTCTTGGCGACAAAATACCAGGGGAGACCCAGATGGGCTGATGCGCTGTCGCCATTGTCGGATCTTGTGCGGCTGAAATCTATGGCATTGATTTCTGACATTCTGGCAGCCAGTAAAAACAAACTGCTCAAATCCAGTTTCTTCAAGCGTTTGTATGCGTCACTGGTAAGATGCTTGAGGACTAGTTTTGAAATCTTTTGTTGACCTTCTCATCAGTAAGAACGGAGCAGAGCGATCAGTTCAGGAACTTTAGTCAGTTTGATACCGTTATACATGGTAAGAACGGAGCAGACGGCTGCTAGACATGTGCCCAGTGTTGAACCATGGAGATTCTTGGTAACTCTGAGGTGACAGAGGAATTCTGCAAATTGAGGTGAAGTGGGTTTAGCTGCTGAGAATCTTTTACTTCTTACAAATTGGTCAAAACTCTTCCACTTGTCATCATATAGATTTCTAGTAGCTCCATGAAAAACTGTGGAGACAGCTGTAGCAGCTCTGGCTGAGTATCCTCGTCTGGAGAGGGTGTTTGTGATGTGCTCCATACGTGAAGCGCGAAGATGTTTGGGTTTGGACGAACTTGTCCTGAGTGAGGATGAAGAAGTAGGTTTGACCACGTTGGAAGTTTAAGTTCCGGATTCCCCGCTAGGGCAATAAGGTCTGGAAACCAGGGTCTCGCCGGCCAGGAAGGTGCGACCAAAAGCAGTAGAAGGCCCTTTGTGTGTCTGACCTGTAGGACTGATGGTAATAGTGAGGGCAGGGGGAACACATAAGCCTCCTTCCGACGATATTGCCAGTGTGTCGACAGCCCAAGCTAGAGTGTCTGGAAATGGGGAGATGAAAGTCCTTATTTGATTGTTGAATCAACTAATGGGCAACCACCTTGTCATATGGCCATATTGAGGGAAAGAGGGGGTGCAGAAGGTACCAACAGTCTGTAGCCTTTCTTCAGAATGTTAGTGATGAATGTGTCCTCGAGAATGTCCCAACTCCTGGTAGTCATGGATACAAGGTATAGAAGAAGTGAGGATGCATCAGCAACTCCTGGTTGTCATGGATACAAGGTATAAAAGAAGTGAGGATGCATCAGCAACTCCTGGTTGTCATAGATACAAGGTATAGAAGAAATGAGGATGCATCAGCAATTCCTGGTTGTCATAGATACAAGGTATAGAAGAAATGAGGATGCATCAGCAACTCCTGGTCGTCATAGATACAAGGTATAAAAGAAGTGAGGATGCATCAGCAACTCCTGGTCATCATAGATACAAGGTATAGAAAAAGTGAGGATGCATCAGCAACTCCTGGTTGTCATGGATACAAGGTAAAGAAGAAGTGAGGATGCATCAGCAATTCCTGGTTGTCATAGATACAAGGTATAGAAGAAGTGAGGATGCATCAGCAACTCCTGGTCATCGTAGATACAAGGTATAGAAAAAGTAAGGATGCATCAGCAACTCCTGGTTGTCATGGATACAAGGGATAGAAGAAGTGAGGATGCATCAGCAACTCCTGGTTGTCATAGATACAAGGTGTAGAAGAAGTGAGGATGCATCAGCAACTCCTGGTTGTCATGGATACAAGGGATAGAAGAAGTAAGGATGCATCAGCAACTCCTGGTCGTCATAGATACAAGGTATAAAAGAAGTGAGGATGCATCAGCAACTCCTGGTTGTCATAGATACAAGGATTAGAAGCAGTGAGGATGCATCAGTAAAAGAAGGCTGAAACACATCCTTCTCCTGTAAAAGGAAGGAGGTGTGAGTGCTTGGAGCCATAGCAGAAGTTGAGAACGGTGAGAAGTGTTAGGCACGTTGTCAGAGATCGGAGTAGATGCGGTAGACGGCGTAGGTGGTTTGTTGAGTGGGTGTTGTTGCTGCATAGCAAGGATCACTTGCTGAGTATCATTATCTACTAAGTCATTGGATGAAAGAGGCATGGTACTTTGCAGGTTGCTGATAAAAGGCAGGTTGCGTGAACATAGGAGGCTGCGCCAACTACTGCACCTGTGTAAAAGCTGCAGCCTGCGTGAACCCTGTTGGTCGTGTGATTGGTAGGGGTTGAGAGAAGGTCTGAGGCTGCGCGAAGGCCCGGTCCTGTGTGCAGGACTGCATGCGTGAAACCTGTGAAAGGTTCACTAGCAACGGGAGCTGTGTGGATGTCGGCAGCTGCGTGCAGGAAGCATGTTTCTGCCACTTGGCCTTCGTAGACCCCACTAGGGGTAATGATGTGGGCTTTGTGAAGGAGGGGACCTTTGTGCAGCCATCCTTCAACATGACTTCCTCATCAATGACTGTTTCTTCCCCTTCGTCTGCTTCTCATCGCCTGATATTAAGGACGCAGCAAAAGACTTCTTTGACATCTGCGAGGAAGGGTTCTCAGCATCCATCTCATCTATGACCACAAAGGATCTGTCGTCATGTGAAGAAGAAATTGATATTGAGAGAGTGGCGAGTAAACCCGCTTTATCACGTGCTTGCGATGCGGCTACGCAGCTAATGGATTCGTTTGGTGGGTGAGATGGTTTTCTCTTTTCTTGGGTACACAGCACAGGAGTTTCCACTACCTTTTCGGAAGGAGATGAGATAAGCAATTAGTATGAGTCTGGATAAGGAAACATAACAGTTGGGAAACACCTGAGTCTTTCATATTACAAGAGTTATTCAGTCATGACATGACATTTTCAATATGGTTGCTATGGCTATGATGGCTGTGACATCATTGATGGAACCATAATTATTTCTAAAAATTCATAAACTCAGATGTCTGAGATGAACATGAGGCAATTCTAGACACAAGGTGGTATGTAGGATCAAAGACCATAGCCGGGTCAAACATCAAAGTAGATTTCCAAAACTGAAAACCCAAATGATACTTGTTGAAGAGAAGTTGCAACTCAACTAAACTGTTGCCTCCTACATCATAAAGTCAGTTTCCTATCTGCAACCCAGTTATCAATCATCAAGTATTACATGTAGTACTGATATTTTTTATCTTTTCACATATATGTCACAAAAAGCGGCCAACATGCAGATAGGCTTTAAGTAATTATCACTCCCATCTTTTCAACTGATTTTCTGGAATCGTTTCGGCTCAAGTCACAATGATCCAGTCTTACCTGTCTGTGACTCGTGTTTCCCCAGCTTCTCCTTGTGGTCCCAGCCCACAGCTGACTTGTCCATGTTCTCCTTCTGCACACCAAACTTCCCTCCGAACCCTTTAGAGTGATCTGAAACATGCCCATGTGAGACAATGACTAATTTTGTGTGACTGTTGTGTGATCTGAAACATGCCCATGTGAAACAATGACTAATATAGTGTGATCGTTGAGTGATCTGAAACGTGAGTGAGTGAGTGAGTGAGTGAGCAAGCATGACTATATAGACCTTACATCATCAAATCTAGACCATACATTGAACCATTCATATCATATGATGGACAGCCCAATACACTTTGTATTACGATTTGATAAATATGCAAATGAGGTGAAACTGGGATTTCGAGCACACAATCAAAGGTTTCTGGCACTAATAAGGACTCAAATCCGCACAGCAATAATCGGCACGTCACACGACTGGGACATCCATGACCCATATAAGCCTTAAGCCTTAAACATTGTACGAATGTGGGAACTAAACTTGGGCCTAAAGCTTGAGTGAACAAGTTAACCACCAATCCATTCCACCACACCCAACCACAACATAATATTTCTGCTAACAAGTATGTGCAGAGTTGAAAGGATGACAAAGTTAGGGTGAGGATTGCTAGGTAGAGCTTTTCATCATGCAAGAATCTTTTCATTTTTTATAGGAACATGTATCAGTCCACAGCATGTTGATGACCATGTCTTGTTAAGAATATCTTGGAGTTACACGACTCTCAAACGAATATGAAGTCAGTCCTGATGACTCAGTTTTCATTGGTTAGTTGTAAGTAGGAGGGGAGCATGGTGATAAGGTAGATCAGGGTTTGTATTTTCACTGAACCGTCAAGACACAAATGACACCTACCTTTTGCTGAAGCGTGTTTCTCTGTTTTACCCTCATAGTCATATCCCATTGCCGACTGGAACACAACACTGACACATTAGTACTGGGGGAGGGGCATAGCACATACATGTAAGTGTGTGTGTGTGTGTGTGGGGGGGTACCCCACTGCCAACTGCAACACAACACCGACACATTAGGTACTGGGGGGAGGGGAAATGGGGGGTAATGGCGCATTCAAGATCATCGCACTTATATAGCCAAGTACAAGCATGTGTGTGGGGGTTGCTGGGGCGGGGGAAGAGGAGGAGGACAGGAGGGGGTGCTGCTGCTAGTACAAGACCGGACTAAAGATGATTTTATAGCTGGCCCTCTGTGATACCATGCCACAGTTCAACATGGAGACAACGCTCAGATACAGTGTACTGACTCTCAGTCCTTGTTTAACATTCTTAACGCTGATTGCCAGGCAGGGTAACAACAAGTTACAAGTACCATCTATTAACGTTTTTTGGTATGACGCTAGGAGGGAGGGGGGTACGAAACCACCGACATTCCACGCTCCCGGAAGATGCTCTATATAAATATTCACAGGCCATAATGTTGGGTATAATAACACCATACTCATAAGTGATGTGTGCAAGTTTTTAATGCCACACTCAACACCATTCCAGCTATATGATGGTGGCCTGTAAATAATCAAGTCTGGACCAGACAATCTAGTGATCGACATTATGAGCCACGATCCACGCTGTTGGGGTATGAAGACACACATCAACAAGTCACTGAGCCTGACATCATGATCAATTTGGCCACCTCTTACAGCATAGGACATTGGGGATCAATTCTAACCCAGAATTAATTGATTTTATGGTTTAATGATTATTATTGTTTTCCTTTATACTATCAGGCATCTGTAGAGTAAGTAATCAAATCAGCCGGGCCCAACGTTTAATGTATTTTGTTTAAACATCATTGAGACAATCTACTCTTGCTCAACATGTGATGGTGACACAGATCACCAGCATCTGTCCACACCTGGTCCTTCCTGTCTGTCTGGACACCGTACTTGCCGCCGAAGCCCTTGGCAGCGTCGGTCTGGCTGGCATGCTTGGACAGCTTCTCCTGGTAGTCATGGCCGACAGCAGACTAAAAATGAAATAAACACAAAATGTTAATGAACACAGTTTTGGGGACTGACTGAGTTGGGATTTAATTCTGCTTTCAACAATAATGTGTGAGGTAAGCTCAAAGTGGCATAGTCTGTATACCACTATGGCAAAGTGAGGTATTTATCTAGACCTCACAGGCCCAATTTGTCTGCCACAAATGTCAGTAACAATTCCCAAATTGGAATCATAAATTTCCCAGTCATGACTAAGGTTATGGCTTTTTGGAGGTGATTTGTGTTACACAGGACCACCAATAAAGTGGGAGAGGCTTTCAGGCATAGTCTTACATTATTGCATTCAATAGAATGTTAATACTATGTTAAAATACCTCTGACTTTAAAAACTAAAAGCTTGTTTCTTCACAATGTGCCTGACAGGAGCACTTCGTTTGGCAACCTAGAGAAATCCCTAAAAGAATGGGTGAAGTTCTACAGCATCATAATGTGGTGAATCTGGGAATCGTACCAGACAGTAGATCCTGGCATTGTTAAGAGATGCAACCACAGGAAGTTACAGTGCCCAGGACTAGTCCTCTTTATTAATGTCACCGAGACATCACAAACTACATAAGCATTCTACCATGGAGATCTTAACAAACACCACTATCGACACATCATGACGCTGTATGGGTTCAAGTTTCATTAATGCGAACAAAGACATTCGCATTTAGTTCATGCTCGCGTCAATTTCAAGGTTTACAGTACACCCACAATGTTTGTCGAGGGCAAATTCTGCTCTTTTCATTTCCAGCCTCAGACAAGACACAAATTTCCCAGCATACCTTGTCCATCCTGTCTTCCTGGACTCCAAATGTCCCACCATAACCATATGACGCCTTCGGCCCCTTCTCGAACTCCGCCTTCTTTGTAGTCTTGTCATCATTCTGTACCTCCTGTCGCAGTTTCTTCAAGCTGAAGGAGACAGCAGTGTCTATACAGGGATGGAGGTACTGTCTATCTTTTTCAACATTATAACGTGGTTACAAAGGAAATGTTGTTTTTTTCCCAGAATATTATATAATTATGTTTCTCTGGAAGCTCATGTGAGATCGTAGCGATCCACGATCTCCAGCATTGTCAGTGTGTACCTATTCTGTACATCATCTGTTTTGTGTATATGAAGCATATATTGTGAGTGCCATTGACCATGTTACCATGGAAACTAGGTGCTATATTGTATATAAATCAATTATCATCATTATTGTCATCATCATCATCATCATCAAAACATCTAATGTAAAGTATATGTTGCGATATTCCTGTTGTCATGGCAAGTGCCATCATCATCGCCATCATCATCATCATCATCATCATCAATAAAACAAGATCAAATACAACGTATGATGGTTGCGATATTCCTGTTGCCATGTCAAGTGCCATTTATCTAAAGATTGGGGCATGATGGTCAACACAATCACGAAATGTTTTACTCTGTGAACTTGGTGAAAAGCCAACAAGGTATTTGAGGTTCAAATTCTGTTTAACTTTCCAACACAGCACACGCTTTCATTTGTGTTCCAACTGACTACTCACTCCAGGGACTCCTGGTGCCCCGACCCCTCCACCGTCTTGGCCCCCCATCGCTGCTCCTGCTCACTCACATCATTCTGGGGACAAAATGAAGAGGAATTGCATGTATAGAATTTTGGCATTCCTGTTGCCATGGTTACTGAATAATACAGAAGTCATGTGACTTGTGAAAGTGCCCCAGCTTTCTGTAGTTGGCAAAGAATGACTGTCAAACATTATCTCACTATAACAAGTTGTGCTGCTATTTCCATTTAGTGAAATATTGACACAATAACTTATCACAAAGTATGGACTCAGCATAACAATTTCTCACCACAACCTCCAGATTTACCATTAATACTAGATATTATTCGGAATAACTTACCTCATCTTCTGGATCAATCATTTATACTTGGTATCAATAACAATAACTCACCACAACGTCGGAGTCTATCATAAATGCTTGGTATCAATCATAACAACTCACCACAAAGTTGTGGTCTATCATTAATATGTAGTATCAACCACAATAACTCACAACATCGGGGTCTATCATTAATACTTGGTATCAATCACAACAACTCACCACAAAGTCGGGGTCAGTCTCCCAGTCATCATCGTCTGCCACTGGGGCTTGCACATTTTTCCCAGCTGAAGCCTTCCACATGATCTGCCAACATCACAATCAGGACATCAGTACACAACACACTCGGTGTGCCCTTGATCTAGTCTCACAAAGCCCATAATCCTGTGCTTCTGCTTGAACAAGTTACAAAATCTCTGTGTTGCCTTGGAATACTGTTAAGCTTTTTATCGCTTGCCCACTCCGTCCCCATATCAGGCAGTCCTAGTCCTAAGGGACACAACTCTGAACAGCAAACTGCAGTGTACTTGACAACTGGACCACCCACTCCCACTGATCTAGCATGGAACAGTATTTCTGTGATACAGGGAATGTCAGCTAACTGGTGCTGAAAGCCCAAAGGTCATAATCATGAACAATCTGGCATGATAAAGAGAGACAACGCTGAACAGCAAATTGCAGTGTACTAAACAACTGGACCACCCACTCCCACTGATCTAGCATGGAACAGTATTTCTGTGATACAGAGAATGTTAGCTAACTGGTGCTGAAAGCCCAAAGGTCATAATCATGAACAATCTGGCACGATAAAGAGAGACAACTCTGAACAGCAAATTGCAGTGTACTTGACAACTGGACCACCCACTCCCACTGATCTAGCATGGAACAGTATTTCTGTGATACAGGGAATGTCAGCTAACTGGTGCTGAAAGCCCAAAGGTCATAATCATGAACAATCTGGCACAATAAAGAGAGACAACGCTGAACAGCAAATTGCAGTGTACTAAACAACTGGACCACCCACTCCCACTGATCTAGCATGGAACAGTATTTCTGTGATACAGGGAATGTCAGCTAACTGGTGCTGAAAGCCCAAAGGTCATAATCATGAACAATCTGGCACGATAAAGAGAGACAACGCTGAACAACAAATTGCAGTGTACTAAACAACTGGACCACCCACTCCCACTGATCTAGCATGGAACAATATTTCTGTGATACAGGGAATGTCAGCTAACTGGTACTGAAAGCCCAAAGGTCATAATCATGAACAATCTGGCACAATAAAGGGACACAACTCTGAACAGCAAATTGCAGTGTTCTAGACAACTGGACCACCCACTCCCACCGATCTAGCATGGAACAATATTTCTGTGATACAGGGAATGTCAGCTAACTGGTACTGAAAGCCCAAAGGTCATAATCATGAACAATCTGGCACAATAAAGGGAGACAACGCTGAACAGCAAATTGCAGTGTTCTAGACAACTGGACCACCCACTCCCACTGATCTAGCATGGAACAATATTTCTGTGATACAGGGAATGTCAGCTAACTGGTACTGAAAGCCCAAAGGTCATAATCATGAACAATCTGGCACAATAAAGAGAGACAACTCTGAACAGCAAACTGCTACACTTTAGGCATGTCAGATGACTAGGCAACCTGCGGCCCCTAGTACATCTTGAGCACGATGTTGTCACATGTTACTCGTGAAAATATGTTTGTCAAACTTCACTCGATGAGATATACATCGTATTTGTCAAAAAGCATGAAATAGTAAATTTATCATATTTGATGCTAAAATGCTCCCTTTTCGAAAATTTGTCAACAGCTGGTCAAGTCACATTCTCAGTCTCTACAGTGATCGACAGCAAGTGCACAAAATAGTTCCTCAATTAAAACTTAAACCAACACATGCAAAATTATGTTTTCATAATATTCAATATTTATTGTTGATTCTCCATGTTTGGAAGAACATTAAATCTTAAAGAATGATGTTTCAAGCTGTTTTGTGGTGCACAAGTGGGAAAGCACACGAAAACATGTATTAAGAGAGCGGCAATCATGGCAAAGTGTGTGGTGCCAAAGTCAAGTCAAACAAGAACACACCAGACAGCATGGTGTGTGTTGTTTTGTTGTAGGAAAGCTGTATGACATCAAGTAGTCAATATCACAGGGGGAAAGTTTGCTTCTCATCTTGTTTTGTTCTGGTTTTACGATAGCAGAAAAACCAAGGGAGATAACTTTCATGTGTGTGTGTGTGTGTGTGTGCGTGTGCGTGCGCAAACACTCTCACTAGGCCAAATAAATCTGGATGCTATGATACAAGAATCATATACTTGAAATCATTTAGTCATATACATTGTATCAGCTGTTACACAGGCAGTTTGATTAATGAAGTCATTCCCATGCATAAAGCCAAAGAAGCAACATTTTTCTTAATCTTAAGTTATTCATCATTTCATTTGTCTATTTTGTATGCAGGATTGCATCTCCAAAATTCTAAAGGACATAATTTTTTGTGTTGTTTACATAAATGCATACTACATGACACACAAATTTTAATATTTTATTCAACATGTTTAATGGGGTTGCAGTGTCTATACATCAGTGATGCGTGCTATAGTCATAACATGATCAATGTGATGCATGTAAACTTTGGCTAAAGACTCTCGACACTGGCTAGTTTTTCAAGTCTAACATAATCTAAAGTCAAAGTGTCTAAACATGATAAACACTGGCCACGATCACTGAGTAAACATATCCACAAGGAAATACTTCAAGGGTATGAATAGTTGAACAATGAATAGTTCAGGGGTATGCCTTTTCCTAGTTTAACATGTTTAAATATTGTAACAGAAAAATATCCAATAAAAGCATATCCCCGTGTATGTAACTATTGTCATGATTGTAATGAACATGACTCTTGTTTTAGTTTAACTTCCTTGTAACAGTATTCACATGTGAAACCTAACAACATATACTGCATGTTTTAAGGACAAACAAGTCATTAAAAACAGGTAAGATTCAAGGATAACTTTTTAAACATTTCTAACTTGATCATCATTTGATTCTTATTCTCAAGACTGTTTATAACGAACACGCTTATAACGAACTGACCGATATAACAAACTTAGTTTTTAGTCCCGACCATTTGTTGTATAAATGCTGTATATAGAATCTATGCTTATAACGAACTACGGTTATTACAAACTAAAATTAGTGGTCCCTTTAAGTTCATTACAACTGTAGTTTACTGTAGTTACACTTTCAGTATGTTTAAAAAAGGGGTGGGTCCCTGGGCTTTGCTCCATATTTTTTCATGGAACTAGGGCTGTGACCATTGTAATGATACAATTTGCTGCAATACAGTGTTTGCTTGCTTGAACTTTTAATGCCACCATTATCACAGCTATATGACGGTGGCCCATAAATAATTAAATCCCGGAAAAGGCAAAACAGTGATTAATATAATGAGCAATGCCTCCTGCTATCAGGGCATGATGACATGCCATCCATCAAGTCACTGGGCCTGACCGTAAAATCCATTTTGTTGCCTCATTGGACAAAATAAAGTATACATATTTGGAGGAAGGTGACTAACATGAATAAAGAAGCTATAAATATATACTGCTTCTTGAAAACAAATAGCTAATCGGCGATGAAGAGGTGCGCTGTAAATCACACAGTCCACATACGTTTAAGGCAATATAAAGGAACTGATTGGACTTTTGGAACAGCAATCATTCCAATGTATATCACAATTTCATTTTTGTTAAACAATTTCCTTCTTCCGCAAATGATACTGCGCTGTTATCCTGATAATGATTCATGTGCAAAAATCGGCGTATGAGCAGTGGAAGTGTCAGAATAGTGAGTCGGGCCAGGCTTCCTCATATACACCATAACACAATCACAAGTCCAGAACAACTATCAAGATTAAAAACAAATCTTACAATTAATTAAACAGTGACAACGAAGTACGTGTTCATAACCACATATATAGTAAACAATCAGAAGGTGTTAAGAAATAACGTGAAGTTTAAATACCGATAAGGCAATGCGTTAACCCTCTCCGTGCACTTCCTCCTCCCCTTGATTTAACTTCCGGGTTAATCACGTGATCGTGGCTCCGAAGCAACGACCGGCTCGGGTAAATGATTGGATAAAAATAACCTCCGATTGCCACGAAAAATTATGAAAAGTATTTATTTCTTTAGCGACAATCAACGTATTAGTTTTAATACTTGGTGTTAGTATTGGATGTTGCTGAAGTTATAGTAGTATAATGTGTTGGTGACAGTGGTAATGAGAGTAGTAGTAGTAGTAGCAGTATCAGTAGTAGTGGAAGTTGCTGAAGTTATAGTAGTAGAAGTAGTAGTAGTAGTAGTAGTAGTAGTAGTAGTAGTAGTAGTGAGTGAGAGAGTTGGGTTTAACGCCGCTTTTAACAGTATTCCAGTTATATCGCGGCGTGTCAGCTTAATGTGGGAGGAAAGCCCCAAGTGATGCAGGTCTCAGACGTTTACCACTTCGGTGAAACCCACGAGCACGGGTATATGGTGCTGACAAACCTAGAAACATAATCGGGGCGAACCGGGATTCGAACCCACAATCATAGGTTTCTGTCGTGCCCAAGGGACGCAACTCTGCACAGCGAATCGCGGCGCCTTAGACAACTGGGCCAGTAGTAGTAGTAGCAGTAGCAGCAGCAGTAGCAGTAGTAGTAGTAGTAGTAGTAGTAGTAGTAGTAGATACAGCTTTTTGCGAAAGGATGTGTACAATGTGTACAATCTGTTTCTGTAGTGTGGATTCTCCTTTAGCAAGAAGTTTAAGGTAATCCATGTAAAGGAGGCGAGTAAGATGTGTTTGGGATCTGTGCTGAGGGGGTCGTGATGATAACCTTCCTCTTTGCTGAGCAAAAAGCTTAAAGGATTTAGTGACAAATAGTAAAGCAAAGGGCTAAAAGAATCGTCCTTAAATATTCCTCTTCTATATATTAGAAATGGGTTCCGAAGTCACCACCTGCCCCTACGAATACGTCTCAAGTTGAGTTGACCAGCAATGATTAAAGACTTGACTGAAGCAAGTGAGTGAGTGAGTATTGTTTTATGCCGCTTTTAGCAATATTCCAGCAATATCACGGCGAGGGACACCAGAAATGGGCTTCACACGTTGTACCCATGTCGGGACCCGGGTCTTCGGCGTGACGAGCGAACGCTTTTACCATCAGGCTACCCGACCGCCCCCTGAAGCAAGCAGTTGCTTGGGGAGGTCAATGCATTCCAGTGACTTCAGAATCCAGTCGTGAGGTACAGAATCATTTCTGTAGTCTATCCAACACATTGAGAGGTTACGGTGGTAAGTTTTAGCCTCTTCAAGGATATTTTTTAAACCAAAAGTTGACCCTTACAACTCTACCATCCCTTTCTGGCTCCTTTCTGCTCCATGTAAATAATATCACTGGAAGCGCAGAACCATGACATAAGATCTGAAGACGGACTATTATGTATTGTGTATTCAGACAAGTAATAGGGCGGAAGTTTATAGGATCAGTCAAATCACATTTCTTTGGGAGAAGTATTGTTCGACCTCTGCACAACTAAGGCAACTAATGAAACACAGCAATGGTGACCTTATTTTGTCATGTACACTATCCTTGTAATCCCCTACCTTTGGTTCCTGGAGGTTAGGGGACGGTCGGGTAGCCTAGTGATTAAAGCGTTCGCTCGTCACGCCCAAGACCCGGTTTCGATTCCCGACATGGGTACAATGTTTGAAGCCCATTTCTGGTGTCCACCGCCGTGATATTGCTGGAATATTGCTAAAACATACTCTCTCACTCCTCGAGGTTACAGTTGCCGGGTATGACTCACAACTGTTCAAAAACCTTTTACTGGAATAAATGGTGGGTCTTTCCTCATCACTGCCATTGGTTGCATTTAATTGCCTGTAAAAAATGCTTTCAGAGAATCAAGAATTTGATTTAAAATTCTTTCTTTTTTTGTTCTGTATTTTGTTTTTAATATTTTCAAAATTGATTTTTGGTGTTTTGACATTAATTGCCCTGAGGAATTTCAAGCAAAGTTCTATCCAGGATATATAATTTAGTTTCATTTGGAACCGGTTTTTCTTTTGATGATTTCGTTTATCAGCCTTTTGTCCTTCATTGTCTTTGGAAACTGTATGGAGTTCTTCTAGTGTTCGGACCCGGGGTAGAATCGGTCTTCAGCAACCCATGCTTGCCGTTAGAGGCAACTATGCTTGTCGTAAGAGGCGACTAACGGGATTGGGTGGTCAGGCTCGCTGTATTGGTTGATGCATGTCATCGTATCTAAATTGTGTATATCGATGCTCATGACATCGATCTGTCTGGTCCAGACTCGATTATTTACAGACCGCCGTCAAATAGCTGGAATGCTGCTGAGTGCGGCGTTAAATAACAAACCAACCAAATCATCCAGTGTTCGAGCAGCAGCATAAGCGCAACAGTCTTTGTCATGCAAAGAACAGTCCGCATTGAGAGTTACAGAAATAATGTCATTTAATGAATGAAGTTGATTCTGTGGAAATGATTGGTTAAAATGTTTTATTGGCATCCGTCTCTCAATAAGTAAATCAAAGAATTGATTGTAAAATAAAATATACAAGGGATCATCAGAAAGATCATTGAGGGGTCGAGATACGGGGAAAACTCAAAATCTTCAAGGCCAACATCAGGAATTTCCTTTTGTGAGCCACTGAGTGGGTCATCAATGACAACTGCATCCGGTAATTTAGGGAGAACAGAGCGAGCGTCCAGTTGCAGTGTCGGGTCCGCTACTGTTGGAACTGAGGGTTCAAGCAAAGGCGCCTGTCGAGTGTTGGCAGTTTTAGCTTTAGTTTTGTTGTTTAACAACGCACTCAGCAATATTCAAGCTATATGACGGCAGTCTGTAAATAAATCGAGTCTGAACCAGACAATACATGCAGTGAGTGACATCATGAGCATCGATCCTCATAATTGAGATACGATGACATGCATCAACCAAGTCAGCGAGTCTGACCACCCGATCCCGTTAGTCGCCTCTTATGACAAGCATGGTCGCCTTTTACGGCAAGCATGGGTTGCTGAAGACCTATTCTACCCCGGAACTTCACGGATATGATGTGTAAGACCTGTCAATTCGTTCATAAATGTCGAACATTGATGTGCTCGTGTAGTGCTCCAACCCCGGGCTGTGCTTATTCAAGAGTATGATTTTATGTTAAATCAATATTTCAGACCAATTATGCGTCAGTCGTGCGCCGAAAACGAGCTCACCAGACAAGCCACGGGGTCTTATGTCGGTTTCAGCATAATGCGTGCACACAAAGATTCTTTGTAAACACGTGGCATGTTATCGTGAAATATTATACGAAAATGAAAATGGGATGCTTGGCACACGGCAAATACGTGTAAGACTGTTGAATTCGTTCTTTCAGATATATATTATGTGCTATATTGAATTCAACGGCACATTTCAAATTATATAAACGGCTGATGAAAGGTTTTGATAAACAACCGATTAAAATGTGGCTCGTATCTTGAGATATGATATGCTTGCAGGAGTCTACTCTGACGTGTAATCGTGAATTGTAGACGTATTTCTTGATATAACTAATAAGTTTGTTTTTTGTTCATTTAAATGCGAAAACAAGGATGAAAGGGTCTAAATTATAAACCAGTCTTGTCATAAGTGATATCGTCGAATACACACTCCGTGGCATTTTAATGTAGCGAGGAGAACAGTTAACTGACAGATTTGCCTCAAATAAGTCTTTCAGTGATACTTTTATATAGCGTCAAAGACGAAACCCATTCAGACACCGAGGATAAAGAAACAATTGTAACAGTTTAAAAATTAAATAAACCGAGTGAAAACCTGACTCCCATTTGTCAGACAGCTTAAAACAATAGCCGTTATGGTTGAGGGCACATTATGTGTGTGATATATTCCCTTAAATCCGAATAGACTAGTCCTGTCGTCAACAACTGTCTGACAACTGGTACAAAAGAAAACAAAAAGTATACAAATCAGTGTTTATTCTTGATTTACTTTTACTTTATACTTTGGAATATATTGCTTAGTTAAAGGAGTTTTACATTATATACATGAAGTATAATACATAACATATACATAATATAATTATAATGATCATCAATAATTAGGAATATAGTAATATTTACTTCCACATCAATGTGAATGTACTGTCAGTCATTTATTTACCTTAATAAATAATGGAATTCATCACCTATGTTAGATAGTTTACAAAGTGGACATTTCCTTTCGGTTAAAGGCGTTTCTCTCCATCTTCCAGTTGCAATAGGTAGATTATGGTTACAAAATCTAAACTTAAGTAAGCCTCGCCAAACGTTTTCCTGCCATGAAGAACCCAGTGTGGCCATATTTGTTTGTTTGTTGTGTGTTTTACGCCGCACTCAGCCTTATTCCAGCTATATATGACGGCGGTCTTTAAATAATCGCATCTGGACCAGACAATACAGTGATTGGCATCATGCAATTCTACGCAAGTAGTTGGGAAACGATGGCATGCATTAACCAAGTCATATTCTTATTCACTGACCATTAGCGATCCCCTGTGTTTCTAACCCGCATCCTAACTGGTCTCTTACAAGTATTTATGTATCTTTTAATACTGGAAAGATGGGGTATTCCTTGTTTGAAACAAAACATACTGACTGATTGAATACAGTGAAATGGACAGTATGTGTTGCGTGTATGCTTGCTACTGTGGTTATAACTGAATTGGTTTTAATGCGATCCTGCTTGTTTTCATTCCTTGGGATTCACAGTTAGAATCGCTGGCGGCCATTCTCAACGCAGAATTTTGCGCCATGTCAAATAGAAAATATATGTGGATTCTCTAGATGCGAAGACTTCTCGTTTGTAAGAGCAATGACGGTGTTCAACTGGCGTTGCAAAACGAACCTAGCCGTAGCAGTCATACAGGAAGCCAGTTCGCTTGGTGTAATCTTTGAACTAAATCTGTTGGGTAGTTGTCACATGAGTGATGGAAGGTCGGGGAAATGCACATGTGAAGTGGTAGTATGGAGTCCTACATGTGACAGGCAGTGGCTGACGTGCATACACGTCAGGTCGGAACTCCGCGGAAGTTCAGCAACACACTTAGTTTTGTGCACTGTTAATTAATTGCGACTTAGTATATACAGTAAACTACGGTTATAACGAACATGCTTATAACGAACTGACGGATATAACGAACTTACCTTTTTGTCCCGACTATTTGCTGTAGTTATGCTGTATATATGCTTATAACGAACTATGGTTATAACGAACTAAAATTAGCAGGCCCTTTAAGTTCGTTATAACCGTAGTTTACTGTATATACCGTGAGTGAATAAAGGTTGTTCTTCACCTGTCAGTATTGTCCGTTGTTGCCAATCTAGTACATTTTCTCGAGAACTAGTGGAATGGATTAAATGTTGATTCTGACGGTTTGGTAGGGTGTTATTTTTTAGGGTGCTGTTGATTAGTTTTGTAATTGGAAACGGAAATTTGGCGCAAACTCTAATATGACCTAAATGTTTATGTTTGTTTACTTTAATTAGTAAACATTGAAGTTTTAGAATTAGAAGGAAGGACTATGTTGTTATTATTATCATCATCAGTTTGCAATCACACACACAGGTGCACTAATCTTTGGCGCCACCTAAACCCAATTTTATCTCACCATGCAAATGAAACGTTTGTTTGTTGTTTAACGCCGCATTCAGCAATATTCCATCTATATGACGGCGGTCTTGAAGTAATCGAATCTAGGCCAGACAATCCAGTGATTGACATCATGAGCATCGATCTGCGCAATTGGGATACAATGACATGCATCAACCAAGTAAGCGAGCCAAAACACCCGATCCCGTTAATCGCCTCTTACAACAAGCATAGTTACCTGAAGACCTTTTCTACCCAGGATCTTCACGTATCTACCCTTGAGGTCTGTTCTAAATTTTGTCACAATCTAAACGAATCTTAAAAGCGCTACCGAGGAGGCGTGGCTTAATTAACACGATCGGCTAGACCTACAAGCTGATTGGCTATTACCACCAGCCGGGTACAGAATAGACGCGATCGTTAGTTGTTGGGAGACCTATGTTGTATACTATAATACTGGATTCCATGTATGTCACGGGTATGGCTAGTGGGGACGTGTCAAGTAACCTTGATTTAACATGAATTATTTAATTTTAACATCATTTGGATTTTTAGGGGCGTGGGTTCCACACAACCCCACACCCGTTTAAAGATAGATAAAGGTAACCAATTAGTGATAATTAACCAGAACGGTATTTTTCTCACCTACAGTCACTCACCTCACAACAACATGTGACTGTAGTAGATTATTGCATAAATGTATGCCAGCAGTCAGTCCAATACCGTTACACTCAGCAATGTGTATAGTGTATAGTGTAACACGCTGTATAGTGTATAGTGTAACACGATGTATAGTGTAACACGCATTATCAACATGACACAGTAAGTGATCCTGTGAGAACGTTAGCAAGGGACATGGATTCACAGAGTCTATGAAATGTCGCTTCATCTTTGAGGTTCTCTTTCAAGACTACAATGGGATATTGTCATTTGGAGAAAATATACTTAACAAACGAACCAGTCTGTGTTTTGCAATCATTTGTATAATCCGTGTGTAATATGCTGTATTTGCATTTCAGCCATTGAAATTGCTGGTCCAGACTCGAATATTTACAGACCGCTGTCATATAGTTGGAATATTGCCGTTAAACAAAACAAACAAACAAAACAGAAGTGCAAATAAAGTTTATTTACACGTCGCTTTCGATGTTTTGAATACTATATTTTCCATTAACGATGTTACGATCTATCCAAATCTGCAAAGTTGTATATACCTATGAGAGTGAACCCCGATACCAACCTAACCCTAAACCTAACCCTCACCCTCACCCTCACCCTCACCCTCACCCTAACCCTCACCCTCACCCTCACCCTCACCCTCACCCTCACCCTAACCCTAACCCACGAACCCATGGATGTGTGTCCCCTCATCCGCTTAGCGTTTTCTTTTTCTATATGTCCAGAACTAATTTCTTTGATAGGTGTTCCTTGGAAGTTGACGGATGACAAAGCTGAGACAATTTATCGATACCAACTTCTTTATTTACTGTAAAGGCATCGTTTCGGTATAGATCCTTATACCGTTGTCGAGCCTTTACAGTAAATAAAGAAGTTGTTATCCATGAATTGTCTCTACTATGTCTAAAACTGATGACGGACGAAGGTATATATACATGGACACCGCAGCTATGGGGCCATTTGTCTACCTACAGATATATACTATTAGTATATCATTACAGTTTAATATAACACCAAAGAATGTGTAAATATGGCGCATCATGGGCGGACGATGAACGTTGGACATATGAGGGAATACGGTAATCCGGGCAACCATTGACCCATGTACAATTTCATAATTACAATACATATATTGTGCCAGAAGACAGACGGACTCGCTACCAACCAATGAGTGTCTAACAGAGGGTGCTTCCCTGAAATACTGAGGGCGATAAGTGAGAATAGTGGGATATTATTTTGGCTCCATGTTAACAAAAACATATGCTTGCTGTTAGAGGCGACTATAACGGGATCGGGTGGTCAGGCTCGTTGACTTGGTTGATGCATGTCATCGTATCTGAATTGCGTAGATCGATGCTCAAGATGTCAATCACTGGATTGTCTGGACCAGACTCGATTATTTACAGCCCACCGTAATATAGCTGGAATATTGTTGAGTGCGGCGTTAAACAACACACAAACAAAACATATTTCATTATAAACAAGTCAGAAACTGTTTTCTTATCACACTAAAATTTGTGAATGAAAGTGAAGTGCATCTTTTATTACTTCTTTGAGGGGCGTTTAGAAGTTGGAGTACTAAGTAAGGATAACATTTTTTGAGGATAAAGCCAGTCATATAAACATAAGGATTATGACTATCCCCAATCAGTCATAATCATTTTGTTTATATTACTGGTTTTACCCTTTTGTTTATTACTTCGCCGGTCAATATGTTTACTACCCTTTTTGTGTACATAACAGGCTTCTCCACTCCTGTGTACCTACATCTGATATCTATACTCTACTGTATACACACTGCCTCCTACCCGTATAGACCCGTGCAGATCCGGGTCTGGAATAGGTCTTCAGCAACCCATGCTTGCCGTAAAAGGCGACTAACGGGATCGGGTGGTCAGGCTCGATGACTTGGTTGATGCATGATTGATCCCAACTGCGTGGATCGATGCTCATGGTGTTAATCACTGGATTGTCTGGTCCAGACTCGATTATTTACAGACCGCCGTCATAAAGCAGGAATATTGCTGAGAACGGCGTTAAACAACAAACAAAATCCTACCTGTATTTATACTTGTCAGCAAACCTAGGTACATCACTTTCTTGATAACGGTGTTAGAACCTACACCGAAACGTCGCTCCTAATTATAATAAAGAAGTTGTTCATCCATCAATTTTATCCTTACATTGCATCTTTTATTAGTTGAAGATTACATATGCAACACAAAGTAAGTTTTTTGCACGTTGAAAATTTCTCTCCTCCCCTCCCCATCTAATTCCGCAGTATTACTCCACGGCCCCAGTCCTGTTTCCTCGACCCCGGACACTGGTGCAACAACACCCCCCGGAACTTGTGTACAGCCAAGATGTTGTTAATTTCCCAAAGCGCCGTTGGTGATTAAGAAGCTCGCGTGACTGAATAAACACTAATTAGATATGTGTAAACTGTAGCAGGGACTACAGGGCTATCACTCACACTGATCACCTCTCATCAGGTCAACCGGGCGGAACTAATGAGTCTTGTTACACGCTTCTTGCAATCAGGAAGAGAAAATTCGACTCGAGCCAGAGCTCGTTTTTTATGTGTGTTCTTCATCGCCTTTGATCATTTTATTGCCGACCGACAACATCTCGTATATGTGTCTTTCACCAACACTCGAACCAAAAACCCATCGCGATTGCTAAACAAGTCAAATTTGAAGTTGTATCCCTGTTTTATTTTTAAATTTGACTTTTGATGGTCAGATTTATTTGGCAGATATATTTTATATATGAAAGATCAAAAAGTTACTTTGCTTTCATTTTGTTTTCACTATTAGCTGTAAGATCGATCGTGAGTTTGCATCCAAGCTCATATTAACACGCACGTACACCCACACAACTGCTACTGCTACTGCTCTTGCTATAGACAAACACCTAGTCTCTGAAATGAACATATTTCACAGATAAAAACAGTGGTTCATTATAGTTATGAAATATAATAAAGAGGTTGTCTTCATTTTCAGATCCAGACTTGGATTTGTCCACCAAAAAGCCTTTCCAAAAATCACAATAGCGATATTTAAATCATTATTTATTTTACTTTAACATCAAATCAACATATTATCCGGGTCTGGGTGTGGACACCCCAGTACATACACACGCCCTCCTCACTCCCAAGGTGATTGTTAACTAATATGTTTTTACGCCAGCTATATACGTTTTGTATATGTAGAACAGTATCTATTTTTTTGGTATTCATCAATAATTAGATTTTTCTAAAATATTGACTTGTATTTTCTGTCTTCTTCTAATTCTGCTGGTTAACACTATGTATACATGCATATTCTAAAGATATCTTATGTAAAACATTGAGTTCTCTTCCTTGAGATATGTAATGGAAAATTACTGAAGCTAAAAATATTAAAAACATGTGTCCTGTAAATTGCAGCCTTCTTATCACTGGAGACAACCTGACCTTTGGCAGACAGAGTTATCGTACTTGATAAGTGATCTTTTTTCTCTAAGGGGATCGTTTTATGCAGGAATTGTAACATTTGTTTTCATTGGTTATGTTTTTTAGCAGTGGGCCAATCACATTCCTCGTTAGGAAAATGCACCTGTCTGCAGCAGGGATCGAGGATGGCAGTCTGGGAAGTGAGCTGTCTAGCGAAGTTGCTCCCAGCTCAGTCTTTCACACTTCAGTGATGATAGCTGGGATTTGACAAGATGGTTGTGTTTTCTCTAACCCTAATTAGGCAGTAAGTAAACGTTAGTAAGTCAATAGAGCGCAGCGATTGCGCAGAATTCGACTTCTTCAACGAGTTGTTGAATGCTTGAAAATCGGGCACAGTGACCCCCTGATGGTACTCATTGATTTGTCGGTGTCTCGCCTGTGGTTAACATGTCTAGACAGTTTAGCAGGAAATGCACTTAAAGTGCCGTTTGTTTCCTTATGCATGTGTAGTTGCGGCGCTTGGGCCCTCGACAATACCGTCATAATGTATAATTGACCAGTTGAACGCTTAAAACGACTCCCTGTCGACCAGAGTTTACTTTGAAATTGAGTATCATACAAATTTTAATTAGGTCGTGATAACATTTCCTAGCTAGTAAATGTCGATATGGTTGACATTGTGTTTTGTAAATTTGTATTGATGAAATATTTCGGTTCCTTGTAGATAACCATTGATTTCTGATTCATGTTATGTTTGTTTGGGAAGGAACTAGATCTAGGCCAATCATTTCATAATATGCTTCTAGTTTTAACTTGACAGTTATTAGCACTGTATGTCTGTGTCACCTTGACAATTTTGAACCCATTACGAATCACATCAATTATGAGTCTCGTCGTCTAACTTAGATTGGAGACATGGTCATTACGCAGATTACGCAGGTGTATTTCCTGCAGTCGTTTATGTTCTTGGACAATAATTTATACTTGTTTACATAATGTAAGGGCTTTTTTAGTGTTTCAGATAAATAACGTCAATCATGTATCTTAATATTTATTAAGATTATGCACCATGATTTCTTAGCAATCTGTCGTTCATTACTTTAATGTCCTTGAATCGATCAACTATTTATAACTTGTTGATGTCATCATCCGAAGAAGTTGGTGATCTTCATATTAAAATCAGTTATCTTACAGAGATAGAAATTAACTGAAATTTGTTACAAGACACGAGACTAGACTTGCCATTATTAGTGGTTTTCAGTTGTAACTAGTGCTTACAGTGATTTTTGATAGTGACTGCTTAAATTATGTACATGATGTAAATTTGGAGAAATGATATTTAGATTTTCATATATTATGATTTGAATGTCTGATATACATCTGAAACCCAAATCAAATCATTCTTCCTGAACATTTTAGCATCATCATCCAAGCACTTGTACTTATGGACGTTTTTGACCATTTTGTTTTATACTTCCATTGGATTTCCTTGTATGAATCAAATTTTTGTGACTGAGTAATGAAAATCTGATATGGACTGTTCAAACATTGATTGTATTTCTAATCAGAACAGAAATATCAGATAAATCTTTCGTACATTTCAACGAACTACGTTTGAATCACCTCCATCCTTTTGTGTCTTATGGGACTCACAGTGGACACTATTTGCGTCCATTAAGTTTAATGGGCAACAAGGGTGGCATAGTTGCCTAGGGTGCCACCAATCGCTTCGCAGAATTGTGTTCCTTGGGCTCCCAAGAAACCTATGACCGTGGGCTCAAATCCAGGTTCACCCCCCAAAACATTTTTAGGTTTGTCAGCACCATGCCTATACTTGTGGGATCCACCAAAGTGGTAAATGTCTAAGACCTGCATCACTTTGCGCTTTCCTCCCACATCAATCTGACACACCATGATTTAACAGGAATAATGTTAAAAGTGACGTTCAACCCAACTCGCTCACTTTAGCTTCATGTTTCGGACACAAATGTTTGTGTCCAGTAAAACCCTGAATTGACATTCCAAACCATGATCTCTGGTGACCTCACAGAAGAGACTTTCAAAATATGTCATCCTTCGTGAAACCTAAAGCTAAATACTCTTGTAATGTAAATCATTGCCATTGTTTCATCTGGGTCAACATGATGAGTCAGAAGAGTTTTAGAATGTGGTCAGTACATTAGCTTCAACTAGTGGGTAAAGTTGCAGACTAAGAAAGTAATTTTTCTTCACATGCTGCCACATCTTCCCGAGGTGGGGCGGTCGGGTAGCCTAGTGGTCAAAGCGTTCGCTCGTCACGCCGAAGACCTGGGTTCGATTCCCGACATGGGTACAATGTGTGAAGCCCATTTCTGGTGTCCCCCGCCGTGATATTGCTGGAATATTGCTAAAAGCGGCATAAAACCATACTCACTCACTCACTCACTCACTCACTCACTCACTCACTCACTCTTCCCGAGGCAAGCATTTACATTAGCCAATATCAAAGCCTAGTTTCTACCCTTGCCACATCAAGGCCTCTTTTCTTGGCTCAACCCTGGCGCCACCTCACATAGATCACAAGTTGTACCCCTTGTAATGAAAACGCGATATCGAATCAGATCACTGTTCTTATCTTGTATAGCTTCACAAAGATGATGACTACCATAGGTGACGACCTAGTTGATCAGATAACAAAAACATTCATGATTTCATCCCTGACACAAAAATGTAGGCAATTGTTTGGGAGGGGGTATAAAAGATGAAATAAACATATTTGTGTCAACAAAGACAGGCAGCGGTAAATCACATTCATACAAAGGTTTACCAGTCGTTGATGTTGTTTTTGTGTACGTTTTCTGATTGGACTATCGATATGTGCGACAGTCCAATCATAGTTAGCACAGGAAAGGGGTTGATGTGGCGAGGGTGGAAACAAGACTGATAAAAAGGCCAGTGGACACTCTTGCCTCGGGAAGATGTTGATGCCACATCAGGAACAAAGATGATTCTTGCAAAAATACTTTTCAGATTGTAATTATGTTGTTAATATTAATGGTCAGCACCAGAGAATAACCTGTCTTTATTATCTACCAAGACAGATAAGTAATGCTTTCATGTTGCTGAAATGTGGGCAGAAATAGAAGGATTGTTTTTCCATTATTAATCAAGTTAATAAGAATTCCAGTGTTTGAAATTAAGCATGAAAGTCAAGCGGTCCATGTCATGACTGTTGAATGTTAAGGAGTTGGGGATAGCCTTGATTCAAATACTATAGAAGAACACCTCAAGAACCCCAAGATCCCCTTCATTTCGAATACTGTTGACTTTCATTTGAAATATCTCATCAGCAGATGCTGATGTAACTGGTTTGATGGTAGTCAATCTTAGTTTTTGGATGTTATGGCATTGCAGGATTATAATCAAGAAAGATTTGAACAGTGCAATATTTCCTGTCCTTATAGCGATGTGAATTAACAATTAATGCAGTTAGATATGGTTAAAGGTCATTCTGTTAAAAGCAATATGTTTAAGTACTTATTTAGTGAATACTGTTCAAGTGCTTTATATCTGCTATTACATGAGGTACTAACAAAAAGTAGGTCACAGTGACCCAGTGCTTGTATGTCAAATTGGTCATCACCAAAATCTCATTAAGTCAGATCTTTAAGTCTGAGGACACCTCTATATAGAAGGCTGTCTCGGGTGAATTCAGACCAAACTTTGACCGACTTATCTCATTCTTAAGCCAATCATATTTCTAAAACACTTCAACTTCATTTCTTCACACATGCATTTGGAAACTACAACCTTAGCTAAAGAAAAGCGCCAAAAAACCCATTTATTCCCTCGATATTACAACCTTTTGGGTGTAGATAGTACTAGATACCATGGCACTCACAAAATATTGATGGCCATTACCATTATTACGCAGTCATGCAGTTTGTTAAAAATGTAACATTGACAGTAGCGGGTGACCTTGCCCAGGTTAACACCACCAAACTGACTGTTGTTCATTTCCCAATGAACGTCAGTATGTTACGAGATGACGTCAATCGAGCGAAGACACATAGAATCATGGAATTTTCTCATGTGAGGCACTGTCTTCATCAGATAATGAATGTCAACAAATACAACTTCAACCCTTAATGAAATTTGCTGAATGTGTGTAATTAGTTGTCGGGCTCAACATATATGTTCTGTTTTTGCGATAATTTAAAGTTTTACCTTGGTTATACCTTTGCACTTTGGATCATGACCTTAAATTCGCTCAAGAAGCATTTCCTCGCTTTGTAAACGTCCTCTCCTCAGAAACCACTGAGTCCATTAAGCTGAAACTGTACAGGCTTCTTCCCACAAATGATGACATCCTGATTTTCAATATGGCCACAGTGGCAGCCATATTGAAAATAAATGCTATTAATGACAATTACTCAGTCCTTTTTTTCCTCAAAATGTAATAAAAATTTGGAATATGTGTGGTTAATAGTGAGGCAGAATATATAAATGTACTGTATCTTGTGATATTTTACATTTTGAATTTTGAATCACCCAACTCAGTGTTGGTCTCCACTTATGACTAGCATCGGTTGTTGGGGACCTATATTCTTACCCAAAGTTTTCAGTAGATTTAATGTTATGTGGGCTGTTGTTGGCTAAGCATATGAAACTATAAACAGATTTGTACTAGACTTTGGCTTCTGGCTTGTGGCTAAATTTGCAGACCGATCACATTTTTTTTCGTATCATTTTTCGAGGTCATTTCGTATCCCGGTAGTTGCTCAATCCAGTGGTTTGGTTTTAATTGTCTTTTCATAACCTGGTAGAAAATTTATTCAAGGTTTCTGGTCATGTGAATTATATATATGTAAATTGAAGTAAACATCAAAATTGTCCAAATAAGATCAAATTGAAAGGTTTTGTATCTAATTGCTTCTAGGAAAGATATCTCTCATATCTCTCTTGTTCATCATTAATCTGAGTTGACCCTCACAATAGTGAAATCATGATATTATGTATAATGATACAGGGGAAAAAAGTACAAATTCGACAAATATTCTGTGCACAGCCACAGTAATTCAACAATAATAAATATGATATTTTGTATAGATATGGACCTGCGATATGATAGCCTTATTGAGACTAGATGTATGACAGTACATCAGTGTAATGGTAAATAGTCCCAACCTAGGCCCAACTGATACAACATTTCTGAAGTTTCTATGGATAATTTCATTTAAAAAAAAACTGAAATGGATACTACCGAATGTCATCCACAAATATTTACAGTCCAAGTTGATATATTTCAACCTACTTGCCAACATGATGACACATGGTTACAATTTGATTGATGGCTGTGATGTTGTTTACTCATATTTTGGTGTTTACTATGTTTACACAATCTGCCAAATACCTGTCTGCTGGACAGAGCAAGGCAACAGCATCGCATAGTATATTTACAGTATAGTTTACATATACAGTAATTTGCTGGAAACAAATTAGGACATCAACATGATTTTAACAACTGTTGGAAGGACATCCTTTGGTATCATTACCAAATTTGATACCTGTGAAGATCCATGTTAGGATAGTTCTTTACCAAGCCATTCTTGCCGTAAGAGGCGACTATGCTTGTCATATGAGGTGACTAACAGGATCGGGTGGTTAAACAACAAAGAAACAAACAGACCAAGTTTGAAAAAGAATATGTAGAACACTTTAGATGATGATCAGTTTGTTTATTGTTAAAACGCCGCACACAGCAATATTTCATCCATATGACAGCGATCTGTAAATAGACAAGACTGGACCAAACAATCCGGTAATTGACTTCATGAACATCAATCTATGCGATTGGGATATGATGACATGCATGAACCAAGTCAGCGAGTCTGACCAACCGATCCCGTTAGTTGCCTTTTACGACAAGCATGGGTGCTGAAGACCCAATTCTGTTGTCCAGTAATGTCACAGAAAATAAGCCAATCCGAAACCCTGACTATAAGTATAACATTTTGTTTCACTACAGGAGATATCTAACATGCCTATTAATACTGTATTTTTTCTTAAATGTTTTGAGAGTACTGTGGTCAATCAGTATTATCTGACATGATAATGTAGGCACAGGTGGTCTAGTGCTGCAAGTTTGATCTTTGGGCTTTCACCTGTAATTTCATCTAGACCTTCGTCCCTTTGGTCTTTCCTCCCACATTCAGCTGACATGCCATGTCATTTATAACTGAAATACTGTTCAAAGCTTGATTGGTGGGTGTGGGTGGTCCAGTTGTCTAATGAGCTGTATTTTGCTATTAAGAGTTGCCTCCCTTGGGAGTTTCACAACCTTTGATTGTGGATTTCAGTGCCGTAGCCAGCTGGGGGCCCCCCTAGATTTTTCATAGAAAACAGTTTTATTTGAATCAAGTTGGGGACAAGTGATACTTGTACAAATATTTGCACCCCCCTGTCAAAAAAAGTTAACTACGGCCTTGGATTTGAATCCCAGACTCTCCCTGATTGTGTTTCTAGGTTTGACAGCACCATCTCTGTGCTTGTGGGTTTCCTAAGTGGTAAACGTCTAAGACCTGCATCACTGTCCCACGTCAAGCTGACATGGAGTGATAATGGGGATATAACTGAAATACTATACAACATGTACAAGGCAGCTTGAAACCGAAGTCACTGAATCCATGCTACATAGCCCACATACTCAAACAGGACACTTTTGAAACACAATTGAGATTATGTGATTGCAGTGGACAGTGGTTTGATCTCATGTCTTGTGATATTTGTAATTTTTGCCGATTTTGTGAAGAAAAGAAGAGTTCCGTTGTTAATTTTGTAACTTATTTTTTTCAGTGGTGAAACTTTGGCAAATCGTGAAAACATTATTCAAGGTAAGATAATTGCTGTTGCATACTGCTAACAAAACACATGGGTAAACAACTCACCTGATGAACGCTGTTACTGTCTGCGACTTTAGCCACTCGTCTGAAGCCTGAAACAAGTAAAATTCTTTCGGTCTGGAAAGCTCAGTTTAACATGATCTATATTATAGCACTAAAATCTATTGCCTATGATGTTATAAGCCAAGTTCGGGCACATAGACGCAGAACCTTGACGCACTATGGCCTTGCTATATGGCCTTGCTATATGGCCTGTCTGTGACTTTACCCACTAAAGTATGGTCAAATTCTGTAATATAACAACACTAAGATTGACTGGAAATGATGCTGAGAGCCAAGTTCGGATTCATAGATTCAAATGATTTGGCTCAGACTGTGGCCTGCTTGTCCGTTGTCCGTCTGTATACACAGGAACAGTGATGATTAAACCTGGCATGTGGACCGCCTCCGTGGTCTAGTGGTAGAGCGTCCGCCTGGAGAGCGGAAGGTCCGGGGTTCGATCCTCGGCCGTGTCATACCAAAAGACGTTAAAAGATGGTACTTGTTGTTACCCTGTCTGGCGCTCGGCATTAAGGGGCTAAAACAAGGACTGGTCGGCTCGGAGTCAGTATACTGTGTCTGAGTGGGGTATTCGTGTTAAACTGCGGCATGGTATCTCAGTGAGCTGGCACTATAAATCGGCATCAGTCCGGACTAGTACAAGCAGCCACACAAACACATACACATACATGCATGTCGCTATATAAGTGCAATAATCTTGGACGCGACGTTAAACCCCATTTCACCTCACCTTACCTAAACCTGGCATGTTTGTTTCAACTGTGTTCAAGAGTTTTAAATCCCATTTTTAATATGGCCGTCATGTCACCTCCTTGTTCTGGGCCCACCCTGTTCTAAGGTAGCAATTAACTGACTCAACATATGCTAGATTGCATGTTGTGTTGCCGGTAACCCTACTGACCCATTGTTTCACTTGCGACCTAAATGTTTTTATCACAAAAGGAACAGCTGTCAGGAAATCCATATTTATCGTATAGAAAAACATCATCTTGATCACCAGTGACGAAAGAGGGGTCATTTTCAAAGAGGGGATGGGCGATCCTTTTCCTGTGACTGAATTTGATTTTGTTTGTTTGTTTAAAAGACATTAACTTTCGGTGAAAAAGCAACCCAAAAAATAAAGCCAACCATTTCTCTTGGAAAATGCAGCCAGTCCGGGATGATGTTTTGCCCATCTCACAAGTGCTGGAGTAGCCAATCATATGATTGTATATATATGACAAGAGCCAATCAAATGGCCTGTTTTACCTGTCCAATACTGCAAGAAAGCTCCTTACAGCATTATTTCATTCCCTGTATGAACAAGTGAAGCAGGTTGACACTAATTCATATGAGATTCTGTCACATGTGGGTTATGATTTGTGCGTAATTATCGAAAAAGAGACCATGCTCTAATGTGGACACTGCTCATAACATGAGTGTTGAGACAGGGACCCCTTGCCTTTCCTGCGTAATTTCGAAACACTGTGTAAGTAAATGAATTTGATTTTCACTTTGATCACAGTCAGCTTTATGTTTTATAGTGAAAGGTTTGGTTACAACATGTACAAAAATGGATTTATAAATTAAGCTTATCTGACCATGCTGACTCAACAATTTGTTTCTTCAGGTCAGTCCGACGTCCCTCTCTCAGACGTCGGGATTCAACAGGCAAAACTTGTAGGTGTCCGTCTTCAAAATGAACGCTTAACTCATGTGTTCGCCAGCGACCTTTTACGTGCAGCTCAGACAGCTCAGGCTATTGTTGAGGCCAACAAAGTCTATGTCAACGCCATCATCAAGGACAAACGACTCCGAGAACGGGTATGAGGAAAATCATCTTGTGCTTTCCACATGTTCCCCACATGAAAGATTCATTTTGGAAGATCCCCATCCATCAGTGAGTGAGTGAGTGAGTTTGATTTTACGCCGCTTTTAGCAATATTCCAGCAATATCACGGCGGGGTACACCAGAAATGGGCTTCACACATTGTACCCATGTCGTGAATCGAACCCGGGTCTTCGGCGTGACGAGCGAACGCTTTAACCACCAGGCTACCCGACCGCCCCCCATCCATCAGTAGTCTTTTCAGATTTTCACTAGTCTGGGGAGTAGTGGTTATGTCTTAATCAGTAGTGCTAAATTGCCTCTATGTCTTTGATAGGCATTTAGAAGTTGGAAGAACATGTAGTCATGAAACCTTTATGGATAACAACTTCTTTATTGTTTGTAATGATGTTTCCAAGCTACTTCTTACCCATGGAGATCCGGGGTAGAAAAGGTCTTCAGCACCCCACGCCGTAAAAGGCGACTATGCTTGTTGTAAGAGGCGACTAACGGGATCGGGTAGTCAGACTTGGTTGATACATGTGATGATATCCCAATTTCGTAGATCAATGCTCATGATATGAATCACTGGATTGTCTGGTCCAGACTCATTTATTTACAGACCGCCGTCATATACTTAAATATTGCTGAGAGCGGGGTTAAACAAAAACAAACAAACAAACATTTTACCCCTTCATCAGGGACTTATCTGGACTTGGTTTGCAACCTTTTTTATTAATTTTATTCAATATTGCATTGAGTATAGTTTACATTAATTTTGGCGAAATCTTGTGTGAAGTGATTGGTAGATCACACAACTCGCTGGCAACCACGATCAGATTACCACTATTGATGCCTTGAAACAAACTTTGGCTGCCAGAGAATGGATACATGTATCATAAATGCCATACATTGACTCGTTAAAAGTCATATTTGTTTTAGTTTGACTATTATATGTCAACATAAAGTTTTCACGAGTGCAGAAGTCTCGACTGTGCTTGGTCAAATTGTTCCATGCGTAAAAAATATCAGGCAATCAGCTGTAGCAAAGCGCATATGGTTATTTTTATTTTTGATATATTTAAAAGCTGCAACTAAAATAACAGCTGATTGCTGATTTACGAGACAATACACACAGTAATATTAATCTCTGCACATTAAACAAAGCCAAAGAGAACAGGAAATACAATTTAAATGGTAAATCATTATGTCTAGTGATTTTTTGTTTCCAATTTGTATTGACTAAGTTTATCACCTGTTCGTTTACCTGAATTCGCTGAAAGTATAGAATGTAAATTTCTTTCTGCACATAGGCCTAGATCTACTTGAATTTCTTTTCTCCAAACATGTGTTTATTGCAAAAGTCTTCAGCAACCCAATACTGTTCAAAGCTGCATTAGACCCAACCCACTCTTTCACTCTAACACTTTCCATACGGGATCGGGTGGTCAGGCTCACTGACTTGGTTGATGCATGTCATCGATCCCAATGGCATGGATCGATGCTCATGATGTCAATCACTGGATTGTCTGGTCCAGACTCGATTATTTACAGACTGCCATCATATAGCTGGAATATTGCTGAGTGCGTCATAAAACAACAAACCAACCAACACTCTCTACTTCAAATCCCACAAGGGTAGGTCATTAAAAGTCCATGAAAATGATCAAAGTTAGCTCCCAATTATCAAAATAAATATTATGTTGCAATGCACAAAGCAGTATTTTGGTAATGTTAATAACGTGTAACTGTTGCACATTTTCTGCTTTTCTCCAGAACAACTTGATCTATAATTGTTTTAAGCTATTGCTGATGATGAGGGGAGTAACCTTTATTCAAGACATCAAATTTGATGGATGTGATTTTCCTCTTAACATTAGACGAAAAAATAAATTATGAAAATGTTGAAAGATCAATATAATTAAAATCAGATCTTTCAGCGATAGAAATTGCCACTAGTCATGTAGTCCTTGCCAAACTCACCAATAGTTTAGGTATCAAAAGAACTAGTGATAATTTGGCATTTTTAAGGATTTTGTTATATATGTTGTATCTCCGCCTGGCATTATTCTCACTTATTGACAACTCCGATCGACACAAACTCTTCATATCAATCAAAACGGTCTTTACTACAACTGTCGCCTCAACCGCTATCACACTCCTACGTCATCATCTTATCAAGTTTCGAATACTATACGTCATCAACTTACCAAGTTTCGAATACTTACCCTAGAATGAATGATAGCTCACGATGAATTCATGGACATCGCCATGTTATGTCATGTGACTACTCTAGCTCCTTACATACAAAACTATCTGCATGCATCGCATGCAACTTACCACATATAACATATATTATCATTATAAGGACTAGTGGACTAAACATGTTAGTTTCTTTAGCTGTCTTTAACTTATCTGAGAACATCTCCGGAGGACATCACGTCTAGTAAACTTCCAAATCAGCCAATCAGCGTCATGGCTTATACTTTCTTGAAAGGTGTGAGCAAGCATTCATTTGTTTGTTTGTTGTTAGCAATATTCCAGCTATTTGGCGGCGGTCTGTAAATAATCGAGTCTGGACCAGACAATCCAGTGATTGACATCATGAGCATCGATCCACACAATTGGGATACGATGACATGCATCAACCAAGTCAGCGAGCCTGGATCCCATTAGTCGCCTCTTACGACAAGCATAGTCGCCTTTTACGACAAGCATGGGGTGCTGAAGACCTATTCTACCCCGGATCTTCACGGGTAGAGCAAGCATTGAGATAAGCATGTATTTATGTATCTTGAAAATGAAAATAGAATGTACATACATTTCGAATGCCAAAAAATATGTCTGTACTATTATCACATGATTATATTGTTGTGCATATTTAATACATTTTTTTGTTTATTATTGCCATGGCACCTGCACCCAAATGGGTGTACTATCGAGGGTATATTTGTGTTTTTCGAAACTTGAGAATGGAGGTGTATAGAATTGAAAGCGATTCATTTTAAAAGGCTGACATCTGAAACCATGTAAACCTTTTTTTCGATAAGGGGGTCAAGGTTTCACCTGACATGACCTTCTCTGAAGGTGTTGCAGCGTTAGAAATTGGCATTAATCCCATAGTCATTGCCAAACTGCCCAATTGGTTAAGGTACCCTAAGAACTAGTAGAAATTTGGTCTGTTTAAGGGTTTTGCTGTATGTTATGACTATAAGGACTAGTGCCATAAAACTGACAGTAGGGGTGACATAGAAGCTATTTTCACTGTTGCAGTTGTATGTATTACAATAGTCGCCCACACTAATGCAAGAGTATTGCGATTGTAGTAAACCAACCCAAAGGATTGATAATTATTGATCAGTGTAAAAGAAATGAATAAAGTATTGCTGACAATCTCAAAGACATCCGTTTGTTTCCTTGTTGGTACTCAAATCAAAGGGAAGTAACTCTAATCTGAAGTTGTCATAATCCTTGCTAACCAACCACACAAGCAGGTTTAAGATATGTGTAGTACTATAGTAGGGAAAAAAACTACTATAGTTTGATGTGTCATTACTCTCCTAGTTGTCCAATCTTCACATGGAGAAGTATCGTATCGGAGTAAAAGATCTAATCTAGATGAGATCGCATTATGATGGGATGGGGCAATCAACGTTGTTACAAGTTTGGAAGTTGTAGATACCAAGGTTGTGTTGCAAGAAGAACATATTCAGTGTTGAGCCATGCAGGTTGAGCTTGCTCCAGTTTGTAGGAGACGCAAACTTCTATTTATGTATCGGCTATCCATCACATGGTCAATTTATGTAGTGGCTCTCCTTCACATTGTCAAGAGGCGGTAGGGTAGCCAAGTGGTAAAGCCATTGCTTGCCACCCAGAAAACCCAGGTTCGATTCCCCACATGGGTATAATGTTTGAAGCCCATTTCTGGTGTCCTCCGCCATGATATTGCAGGAATATTGCTAAAAGTGGCGTAAAACCATGCTCACTCATTCGCTCACTCGCATGGTCAATGTGAGCTGATGTTAGGATTTAAGTCCGTCAATCCATCTGTCTATTGGCACTGATACTTACGTCCTTTCTTCTCCACATGAACTTAAACGTTAACCAGTGTTCCTTCTTCTCAAGCTTTTGTCCCACTGTAAGCTGACACCTCGTGATATCACTGGAATTCACTGTTAAACCCAACTCATTCACTCCTACTCAGAATGTGGTACTGATTTTGATCATACACAGCTTAAGTTTTTTTTGAGTGATCATGAATTCCCACTCAATCAATATTGTAAATGATTTAAATATTTTTGACTAAGGGTGTACGGTATTACTGGTACACGGGTATATTGTGGTGCAAATCTTCAGCAATACATATTGCGATACGTTTGTAAATGTAGCAATATTTTGGGGCAAATATAAATAAGTATATTTATGTGTTCCTAATCGACATTGAGATGGAAAATAGTATCTCTCTGATACAACTTGCCTCTGACGATCTTTTTATCAATTAGCGTGTACACATCGCGACTCTGAAGCTCCTCACAACGATAGCCGTCTGCATAGTACTCTATACTGAGAACGAAGGTGTCACGTGCTGGGAAGGAGCTTGATGGTATGACACTAATACAGGGTATAACTCAGATTAACTCATGAAAATGTAAATTGGCAATATATTGCAATACGTATCGCAATACAGGTTAAAGTATGGCAATATATTACAATACAAAATCCAGGTCAATACACAGCCCTATTTTTGACATAGGGACCAAACTGGGGCTGGGCTGTGGGTTTACTTGTACATTGACTCTGTGTGTATAGCTAATCATTTGCATATTCATGCTAGGTGAACAACACTTGCTATTTTACTTTAGATGCAGTCCTTTGTTAATTTTCATTTCTTTTCAGAAATTTGGAGTCGTAGAGGGCAAAACATTCAAGGAATTGGCAGCTGAAGCAAAGAGAAACAACAGCTCTATACCCAACTTTACTCCTTATGGTGCTGAAAGCATAGAACAGGTGGGCTACACAATATGGGTGACAGCTACGTGGTCTTTTGGGTAGTGTGTCTGCCTGGAGAGAGGAAAGTCGGTGGTTCAATCCCTGGCCATGTTATACCAAAAGATGTTGAAAGATGGTGCTTGTCTTTTGGCTGGCGCTCGGCATTAGGGGGCTAAAACAAAGGACTGTCCGGCTCAGTGTGGGGTATGCATGGTAATATGTGGCTTGGTATCAGTCATCTGCCTCCGTGGTTTAGTGGTAGAGCATCCACCCGAAGGTCTGGGCTTCGATACCCGGCTGCGTCATACAAAAGATGTTAAAAGATGGTACTTGTTGTTACCCTGTCTGGCACATGGCATTAAGGGGCTAAAACAAGGACTGGTCGACTTGGAGTCAGTATACTGTGTCTGAGTGAGGTATTCATGTTAAACTGCGACATGGTAGCTCAGTGGGCTAGCACTATAAATGAGCATCAGTCCGGACTAGTACGAGCAGCCACACACACACCAATGCATGCACGTCGGTAGATAAGTGCAATAATCTTGGACGCAAAGTTAAACCCCGTTTCACTGGTATCATAGTGGCCTTGCGAATAAAACTGGCTTCGTCTGGACAAGTACAAGCACACATATCTCTGTGTGAGTGCAATCATCTTGAACTCAGAATTTAACCCATATCACCTCACCTCACGGATGGCTCCGTCATCTAAGTGCCACAATTTTCTGTGCAGTATTATGTCGCTTGGGCACGCCAGAAAGTGGATTCGAACCTCTGTTCACCCCAGTTGTTTCTAGATGCATAGTAATATGATTATCAGGGTATGGAACTCCCAAAAATTTCAGCCAGACCACAGGACTGGCTAGCTGAAATACTTGCCAGCCCTGACCAAAACCTGCCTGCCCACTATAATCATATGTTTCTCAGGATAATTTAATTAAAAATATGAAAACTGATTGCTTGTAGCATAAGTGCATAGCTAAATGTTAGTTTGTCTAAAAGCTAACGGGGTTTCTTTTTGGTTACATTTTATCATTCATCTTTACATGTGAATTAATGCTTATCATCGGGAAATATTTAGAATATTTTCACCTATGAAATATAACCCGACCGTCGGGCAGGGGGATTTGAAAATCTGGCAGCCCGAGTTGAAATCAACCCGTCTCGGACGGTCGGGCAGGCAGTTATTTCGAACGCTGTGATTATGTTGCATACACACATTGCATCATGAAGCCATTTTGTCATGTTTTATTGTGTTATTCAGTCCACTGTGAAATAGAAGATTTGATTTTTGTATATTTTAGCATTTTGCACTTTTATGATCTTCTGACCTTTGTGTTGCTCTTGAATCTGGGGTTCTGCAATCTGCATTGTCATCTCTAAAATCAAAGTGTTTGCGTGTCTGGCTGCTCCTTGCAAGGGTGTCACTGAGAATTATCATAATTCCAAATCCATTTTGAGAACAGTTGCTGTGGCAACCCAATGGAAAATGTAAATTTTAAAACTATGCATTTCTCATTCGTGTTTTGATCCTAAGTAGGACGTGTGATCATATTAGAGAATGCATTTTGCTTTCGTGTCTAATTTACGTTCGTAATTGAGGGAAAATGGGACCCAAACATGAAAACGTCTGATCTGTTTTTCAGAGGTTGTGTTTGTGGCACATAAAACAAGACATGTCTTCAATCTCCCCATTTCAAGGATAATTCTTTAGTTTTTTATTTAAGCAGCTACAAAGACCGGCAATCAAAGTCTAAAGACATGTTCCTAGGATCTATTGTTCTTACAATCGACCATCTGAGGCCGTCAGGCATGGATTTTCGTTGACACTTTGGCTTTAGAGATCATCAATGCAGCTGGGTTTGATATCCCTCCACATTTGTAATCATATCAGCACAGAATACTTCATAGCAGATTAAAGTCGCTCCAAAGTCGACATTACCGATTTCATCTTCCAATTGCTCGCACAAGTTCGTTCTGCATTTCTCCATATAATAAAGGAGCCAGAATCAATCTCTCATCTGTACATTGGCTCAACTGGCTATTACAGATGTGCGCAAAGTGCTCTCTTGCCCTTGGATCGGTCATTCCAACCTTGCCTTCTCGGTTGGTCATGCCCTCTTTCGCTTCCAGGAAGTCTGCATTCAGTCGGTTGTCGCCTTCATCACTTCATCAACTGAGCCGCTATCAGTGCTGCTAGTAAGAGTTTGTCCCCTCCTCCAGTTTGACAAAGTTTTGAGTGTTACCACTCACCGTCTGCGTATCACTGTTCAAGATCCCCAGTACAATGCTGTAAGGACCGGCGCTCAGACAACTCAGGATCGGCGCTTCCTCAAGTCCCATCCTACAGTTATGGTTCGACGCACCTGTAGGCATCTCCATAGCTTTGTCAAAGCATTAAAAGAGATGCTAAGCATGCTTGTCCTATTGTCCAAGGAAGTTAGTGATATCCCTGTCTTGTTGATTTGATTGGCTGGATTCCATTTTCAAATCGATTAAAAGTTGTACGTTGTATTGTGGGGCTTTTCAATCACACTCTTTACATCTGAACAAGGTTCACATGTTGTTTCCGATCGCATGTGTTTCATTTCTTTCATATATCAGGGTCACACCACTTTTTGGAGTGTTTCTTCCCTATCCATGAGTTTTTGTCTTTTATGACACTAGACAATGTTACTTAATATTGTTCAGTATCACTGTTTAGCACCAGCTTCCTCATGTATATCCTACGTTTGTTGTCTTCATAGGCGAGGGTATCTGCGCCCCACCATCCAACCGTGGGATAGATGCATAGTGTGAGAAAGGATAAGTATGTAAACTTTAAACTTATCCTTTCTCACAAGCTATATGCTGACCTGTCCATCCCCGCATCACATTTCCTCCTGCCTGTTAGCTCTAGAAAGAGAATGAGTTGGCTGGGGAAACCACATGTTCAGCGCGGGTGTATATCGACCGGCATGAAAAGTGCACTTGACCCAGATTGTTGGGAGGTGACCATGGTGATGCTAGGTGTGTTCAGGTAGATTGCTTTTATAGAAGCTGGAAACCTTTGTTTAAGCACATTTCCACTTAGGATCGAAAAGAAGAATGAGAAATGCATAGTGTGAGATTGGATGAGTAATTTTATGAATATACAATTTATCGTAAAATTTCAATTATTTTTCATTACTCAGTCAGTTACTGATAAATCTATTTTTCCTGTTCAGCCTGAGTTCTATTAATCTGACATTTATTGAGAGAAACGTAAGAATGGACTTGATTCAAAACTTATATTAACCCATGAGATTTCCAGGTAAGAATAGGTACCCAGCAATCTATGCTAGTTGTAAGAGGCATATAAATGGATCAGATGGTCGGGCTGGGTACTTTGTTGATTGCATGTCATTGTATCCCTTCGTGGGGATCGTTGTTGGATGTCATTCACTGGATGGTTGGTCCAGGCCTGATTATTTAAAGACCTCTCTCATGTCGTTAGAATATTGCTGTGTGTGGTGCCCTGACATATTGTGTAGCATTGTTGAAGGAAATGTTGAACTATACACACACTTAATACTTGTTTCTGCTTCCAGGTTCGTGTCCGCGCCAAGTCTTTCTTCCACGACCTTTTATCGTTATTGAAGAACAATGCCCATGAAGATGGCAACTACATCCCTGCATCCATAAAGAGGCGAGCAGACCATGGCTTCAGTCACAGCTCAGACCCTGTGCACTGCTTTCCAGCAGTCAGTAGACACAACTCTCAGACAAATAATTTAAATCTAGACGTGGGGGACAAAATACTGACTGTGTCGAAACGTCCACGCCATGATGAACAGGACCTGGTAAATGGCTTACACCAGGAGTTTTTCCCACTGGATCTGGCTCAATCAGATAAGATCCTATCCCAGACAGACAAGGTGTTTGACGAGAGCCAACACCTAGACATGCCCCAGACTGCCATAGCCAGATCCAATTCAAGCAGTTCCTCTGGGTGCTCCAGTCTCCCGGAGAGTGCTGAGTCTCAGGAACAGGCCTCGGAACTATCCACTCCCACGGAGGAAGAACAAAAAGACTTTGATCCCCATGATGTTCAGTCATCGAGTCCTGTTGCTCTCGACACTGAAATCAAATCGAATATCCGATCCTCAAGATCTGATGCTTTTGGCTGCCCGAATGTGTCACTGTCACCTCTCTTAGAACACAGGCTTTCCAGCATCTCAAGCATCAGTTCAGGGAGGAATAACAGCTTTGATGACGCTGACGGAATTCCGCCCAGTATAGCAGATGTGATAGTAGTCAGTCATGGGGGTTTTCTCAAAGAACTTATTCGTCATTTTGTCGAAGACCTTAAGTGCAAAATGCCTGGCGGGAAAGGATATGCCTTGCGTGTTGGTCCGAATGCAAGTGTATCGAAATTCACAATAACTATTGATGACATTACGGACAATCCTATCATTACATGTTTGTTAATTCACGACAAAGAGCATCTGCTCCCTTTAGATATTTCTCAAGGCCCAGGAACGTTTTAGACAACATAAGTCGAAGGGCATATTTTAAGCAAAAATTCATGTTTGTATAGTATGCAAACGTTTATTTTTTTTTTTCTTTTCTAAAATACAAACAAAAAATAATCTTTGTAATCAAACATGATAATCTTTGATATATAAGTATCTTGATGAAATGCTTACTCGTGGAAATGTATCACATCAATGTTCTGCTTTGTTCTGGTTTAAATCAGATATTTCATACAAAAGCGGCAATTTGATTTCATCAAATTATCTTGCTTCTGTATGTTGATCAGACCAGTAGGGAACCTATTTAATTTTTTTGTATATTTGCTAATTGAAGGACTCCATTTTGAAAGGAAAAAATGAAGAAAAACTGTGTCCTTGCATACACTTGTCTTGTACTATCATGAGATCAAGATCTGGTTTTCTTGAATTGTACATTTATGTTGGGTTTTTAATTAAACATGGAAAACACTGCATATTTCGTGGTTATTGTTGGTGTTGATGGCCTCTGTTATGGATACTGTAAGTAACTTTTCTTCACCTGAGCATTTTTTAGCTGACCTTAATTTGCCATTTCAAGAATGCTTGTGGTATAACTGGCATGTTGTCATTATTTTACATCTTCTGAAACCATAAGTCCTGTGAAGCTTCAGCTTGCATGAATGATCGAAGGTACATTGTTTCAAAAGGTTGCGAGGACGGCCAAACTGAACCTCAACATGAAATGTCACATACATTAAGTGTGTGGTCTGCAGTATCATGCAATGTATATGAGATTTGGCCTCTTTTGATTTTAACCCCGCTGTGGTCTTTGAATTTCATTTGGCCTCATTTTCTATTTTGGTGATGAAATTGTGTGGTGTGATCCCTTAAATTCAAAGATTAGCTTTTTCTAAACTTCTCTGAAAACCTCCACCTGTCATGAAAGTTCACAAACATCCAGGGGAATGTACCATCTCCTTTGAAACATGTTTAATTATGGGGGTGGTAGGGTAGCCTAGTGCTAAAAGTGTTCGTTCGTCATGCAGAAGACCTGGGTTCGATTCCGGACGTGTACAATGTGTGAAGCCCATTTCTGGTGTACCCCACCCTGATATTGCTGCAATATTGCTTAAAGCGGCATAAAATCAAACTCGCTCACTGTTTAATTATGGATGCTGCAATGCATCACATGTGACCATGGCACATAGAAAGAAAACGTTATCTTTTAGTGTTGGTATTGGTGACAATTGCAACCATATCTAAGGCAGTGGCAGAAGCCAGAATTTGTTCCCATTATAAGCTACCTACCTCCCTTCGCAATGGCAAATATCAAATATATGCCAGAGTATGTTGAATGATTGTGAATAATTGGGGTTTATGTTGTCCAGGTGCAACAGTTCGTGTGCTGAGTTGCATCCCTTGGGCAGGTCGGAAACATGATCGTGGGTTCGAATCCCTGTCACCCTGATTATGTTTCTTGGTTTGTCAGCACCTTACCTGTGCTGGAGGGTTTCACCTATGTGGAATAGTCGCAACCTAGAAGACTTTAGGCTGATGACAGGTGATGAGACTGGATCCATCACTATGACCCCCAGAGAAAGTTAAGCCACCTTTCCTAGGACAGCAAAGGTAATGCCAACATCGATTATTTACCATGGGAACAACTAACTATACACCTCGTCATAAGTATGACACCATCCACTTTTTTTTCACTTAGTAAAACTGGATCTTCAACCTCATAAAAATGGTGCTTAGAAAAGCACATTAAACTGTTTATATGGCCTCATGTGAGCGTTCAGTCAGAAAATTGACAACACAAGACCGCATTTGAGCACTAATTGAGGGTTTAATTGTAGCAAAGTAAAGTTCACTAAAATCACCGTGAAATAAGTATGGCTGCCGGAGTCGTTACAACAGACACAACACAGTTCACATTTCATTAATGTCGAACACACTAGTAAGGTCCACAATGACTGGCTAACTCAGTATCTGGTGTAACCGCCTCGCACTTGTATAACATGTTCTACACGCCGTCACATGCTGGTCACCAGACGTCTGTATCTCTGTTGGGGGATCTGCTGCCACTCATGCAATGCATGGGTCAATTCCTGAAGGTTCTGAACTGGAAGATCCCTTGCTCTCACCCTACGTCCCAAAATGTCCCACAAATGCTCAATAGGATTAATGTCTGGACTTCTGGCAGGCTAGGGTAGTGTCTCAATGGCGTTGTGTTGGAGATGCTGAACAACAGCTCGAGCACGATGTGGTCTGGCATTATCGTCCATGAAGACTGGACGTGTGGCGAGAGCATGGTTATCGAAATGAGGCACAACAGCACCGTCCAGGATCAAGTTTTGGTACCTCTTTCCATTCAGTGTTCCGGGAACTGTGATGAGGTCAAGTTTACAATCGTAGGAATAACACCCCCACACCATGACGGATCCACCCCCAAATGGAACATCAGCTTGAATGTTCCTCTGATCTTATGCTGTGCCTCTCTGCCTCCAAACTCGTGCCCTCCCGTCTGTATGATGCAGCAAAAATCTGCTTTTATCGGCCCAGTGGGTCCTTCTCCATGTCCTCAGGTTCCAGCGAGCACGTGCTTGGCACCAGACTAAACTGCATGGCGGTGCTGATTTGTGAGGAGTGGACGTCTGATTGGTCGTCTTGCTCTCAATCCTGCAGAATATAGGCGTCTTCTGATGGTGCTGATGGACACTGTTGTATGGATGCCATCCACGTCGCAGCTGTGTACAAGTAGACTTTGGGCTTCGTCTGGCTTGGCGTAAGAGAGCACGATCTTCCCTGTCATTGGTTTTTCTGGGACGTCCAGACCTCGGTGCATCCTTCACTTCACCGGATGCAGTATGCTTACCTATTAGCCTCCTGATGACAGTGTGATTAATGTTCAGTTGTGCTCTAATAACACGACATGACATACCAGTCTGGTGCATACCAATAATTTGCCATCTATGGTTCAGAGGCAATGGACGCTTGGGCATTTCACTGGTTGGTCAAAATAAAGCTTCATTTATGCCTAAAACCAATTTTTAGCTGTGTCTGCCAACATGACATACGCCAAAAGAGGCTATGTGCACACTGCATGTTAAGCAAACCGACCCCCGGTACAAGCATGCTCAACGCAAGCATGCACGTGCAGCACGGAAAAGGGCGTGTTTGTGATATTATGTTCACAGATGGTGTAGTATATGAAATATGTACTTGTAGTATAAAAAAACGAAAATTATATTTTCTACTTTTACTTTAAAATGTGTGGTGCGATATTTATGACGAGGTGTATATTAATGGTGAATATTAGTTATTGAAAAGATTGCAGGAGACTATTAAAGAGGAACTTTGGGGCAAACTTGGACGTGGTGTCATCTAAGGGAGCAATGTTGCAGTTCACACCAATGCTGAAAGAAGTGAAGTTGATTTTTTTGTAAAAAATCTTATAAATATACACAGTAAAAAAAGTGTTGCACCCCCTATACTTTTTCATGGAGGGGTGTTTTGAAAGGGTGTAAAGATAACCGAATTAATATTATAACCAGGATTTCGTGTATACCAACAAACCAGTGTATTGTCTATACAATGAACTGAAATGGGGTATTCCATGACCTTATGGCATGTAATAATCTCATGCTGAACTTTTACGAAAAATGAACGAACAACGAAGACGCATTAAGTATGGTGACATCTCAATAATTTTTAGTGACCAAATTCATCCAATAGGGTAAGAATGTCATATGGAGATTTGACGAACACAGTAAGTCAATATCGAGAACTTCCACCAAGCACTTGGATCACAGCTTGAAGTCTTCGTCTCATACTCCTCACCAGACGTTGGAATCGCTCCATGGGCAGCTGCTGCCACTCCTCGTGTAATGCTGCTTCCAATTCACGCAAGTTCTGTGGAGGAGGGTCCCGACGATAAATCAGGCGTCCCAAAATGTCCCATACATGTTCCAGAGGATTCAGATCTGGACTCATTGCTGGCCATGGAATCTGCGTCAGAGCATTGTTGTGGATAACCTGGGTCACAGCTCGTGAACGATGTGGTCTGGCATTGTCATCCATGAATATCGGTCTGGTGGCCAGTGGATGATTGTCAAAATGGGGCACCACAACTGGATTCAGCACCTCTTGGATGTAGCGCTCCCCTGTCAAGTTGCCTCGTATGGTCACTAAATCAAGCTTACAATCAATTGAGAAGCATCCCCAGACCATAACAGATCCACCTCCATATGGTACAGTTGGCATGATGTTTCTTGCAGTATAAGCTGTTCCAGGACGCCTCCATACTCTCACTCTGCCATCCACAACATGCAGAAGGAACCTGCTTTCGTCCGACCAGTGGACTCTTCTCCAGGACCTCAAGTTCCAGTTCTGTCTCAGTCTACACCAGGCTAGACGTAGTCGTTTGTGGTTGTCTGTGAGTTTAGGTCGCTTGATAACCCTTCTGGACTTCAACCCTGCAGCTTTAAGACGATTTCTCACGGTCTGGGTACTGAACTGTTGACGAGGAAGCCAAAGACGTTTCAAGGTTGTGCTTGTAGCAAATGGATGACGCCTTACCACCCTCAACAACGCTCTGTCATCTCTAACTGTGGTCTTACGTGGTCTGCCAGAGGGTCTGCGATTCCTTACATCATTAGTTTGTGCGTGTTTTCTGACCAAACGGCTTATTGTTGAGTAGTGATGTCCGGTTCTTCTGCCAATCTCCTTGAACGAAAGACCTGCTCCATGAAGGCCAATAATCTGCCACTTGACTGCTTCTGACAATCGTCTACCCGGCATTGTGGGTTACAATAAACTGGGCTGTCAGAGAACATCTTTTATAGGCGATGTTGAGCTTAAGAAGATACTGCAATCTGCAAATGTCATGCACCATGCAATTCACGTGCTGATTGCTACGTTTTGGTGATCATCTTCCCTCCGAAAACATTACACATTTAACATCAGATCCCCAAGGAATACCTACCATTAAAACCAGAGTCGGGCGTTTTAAATGTTGTGATGTATCAAACGTATTAATGTGGGGGTGCAACACTTTTTTTACTGTGTATAGCAAAATAAAATTTCACACTTAATAAATATCATCAATGTAATCTTGTTAATTCATACCCAAAGGTATATTAGACAACTGCTTTCTTGAAATATTATTTATGATTCCATTTCATGCTTTCTTCACCATGCCCTGTGTTTCTGTGTTTTGAAAATGTAGCAATAGCATATTTTCGTATAGCAACAAAACATGAATAGATGTAGGAATATTTAGGAGTGTAAGTGAGTTAACATTTGACGTCGCATCGGCATTATTTCAGCCACATAGCAACGAGAGGATGATTGATTATTTAGGATTTGTCGAAAAGCCTATGCGCGTTTGCAGACAACTGCGGATAGGTGACAGTTAAGGATATCCACACCTCTGTTGTGGAAGATTTCGATCTTAGCTAAGATCGCGATCTTAAATCTAAGCCGCCTTACAA